AACCTTTTTGTACCCGTTAAATAATACAGCTATGTTTAAACTTGTTGAATGAAGAACTTTTCCCCTTGACAGTTTCCCCTTGTTTTTAGTCCTTGTGTTGAGCTCAGCTAAATGCCTCCTGTCCCAGATCTGATTTTAATGTGAGAGGTCAAACAAAGTCGTATTAATCTGTCTAACTCTGTCGACGTGACAAGAAAGATAATACAAGAAACGTTGGTTGCTGTTCAGTTTAGTAGAAAACGAACAACCAGAAGTTCAGAAGTTCCTTTTTTTGATTTTTTCAACTTTGGATAAAGTTTGGCTTGCTGTTTCCAGTCTTAATGCTGAGCTATGCCACCATCTCTTATCCTGAAATGCATTCAGGCTGACAGGTGGCATTTAAGGTCACATTTAGAAGCAGGAATATAAAGGGATATCTGGTAGTCAGCTTCAGATTGACATGCTCCTTTGCTCACCCCTCCTATTGTTAAAGTTCCAGATGCATGCTGAGCATGACCCTGCTTAAGTCAAGTTTTTATAATAAAAACTTTCAATGAAAACACAACAACGACCTTCTTCTTCTTCTTCTTCTTCTTCTTCTTCTTCTTCTTCTTCTTCTTCTTCTTCTTCTCCTTTTTCTTTTTCCAACTAGTGCATTTCAGAATACAAGAACACATTTGACCTTTACTAGTTTGTCCGGCCACATGAAACCAAAGTCTCAAAATCAACAAAAACAAATCAAAAAGTTTGTTCAGACAATTGAACACAAATCTAAACTTACTCATAAATGTTTTCCTCCACATGATTCAATAAGAAGACACTATAGTACAAGATGGATGGACAATATCTGATCCTTTTACTCCAAAATGGGACCTGCTCTCTTTTTGTTGTGCCTGTTTTCTGACCAAATGCAAACAATTATTTTGATTGTAAACGTTTCATTAACTTGATGAGAAGTTTATTGCAAACTGGACAATAGACTGAGAAAATTTTACTCTCCTGAACCTCAATTTTTGTGCATCATCATAAACAGAGGGTTGTTTTTGTGTGTGAAATATCTAAAGTAATAAAAAAACTGAAACCACCCCCAAAACAGTCACAGTGTTTTTGCTCCCCATAGACCAATCCAGACCCTCTCACATCAGACTATTAGCCCAACAGAAAGAGGTGTTAGTAAATCTCCTGCTGACTTTTTTAGGCTGAAAATGAGACCACCACTCCAACCTGACACCTCCAAGACTCTGACTACTCCACTGTTGAGATACCTCTATTCTAACACCCATTTAGCTTTTGTGGACCTTAATAAGCTACACACTTCCACTGAGGCTGAGACTGTCGCCATTGTGTACCCCTCTTTGTGTCACGCCTTGCAAGAGACATCTGGACTGCTCCTCTGTTGCCCAATTTCCAGTCCTATTGAAAGGGGACAAAAGAGAGCAGGCGTCTCACAGTCCAAAAGTCACTCTCCATCATGTCCTGCTCTTGCAGCCTGACACAGAGACAATGAGGTGGGGGGTAAAAAGCAAACGGCACCGAGGAACCAGCCTGGTCTGTGCCGAAGGAGGGGGAAGAGAGTGAAACATAGATCATACCCCCAAGAGAGCTGTGTGCGTCTATAAGTCCCCAATAGGAGGACGAGGCCTGCAGTAAGGCCAGATTGTGGTGGAGTGGGAGTGAAACAACAGCTGCTAAATAAATCAGCGAAAAGCAGGACTGCAACAATGACCGTCAGCGTACACAATCGATGCTCCTCATGGTCTTTGTCATTATTAGAAACTGTGAACAAGATGAAAAAACTGAGGAAGCGCTGGTTGCGTCGAGGTGTTGTGATTGTCAATTTATAGTCATGAGTCATCAGCATATTACATCACTAAAAATGCCTCTGTAAAATCAGAAACACACACTGTCTTCTTGCATTATTCAGAGTGTTATGAAGGTTAAACTTCAGAGAGGGTTGATCTCACAGTCAAGCATGTGGACTTCTCTTTATTTTGTTGCCCTGTGACATCCTATCAAATCGACAAAATCACCATACCGATCATGCTAGAGAGCGTGCGGCAAGAATAGATCACACTTGTACTGCGGGGGTGTTCGATGGAGGAAATAGTCGGGAATGATGTACGAGCACTATGGGAAGTGTTAGTGGGTCGAGAGGCACATGAAGCGTGCTGTACTACATGATTTACAACATGAGAAACAAGAACTTCTTAGTGTAGTGAATAATCATTAACCTAGTAAAGACGGACCACCACCAGATACTCAAAGAGATGCGGAGTGATCAGGGTGAACATGCATTTAGAATTTAAAAACAGGGATCTGGGGTTGAAGTAGACAAAAAGTAGATTGCTTTTATCCATTATGAGGAATTGACGGACAACATGAAGGTCGGGTAGCCGGTCTCTGTGGCTCACGACTGTCAGGATTGGTTACATTTATTGTCGTGAAGCAGCAGAGTAACCAAATGTGATATTTTTTTCATGGGGTCCAAAACTCCTGGCAGCCATGACTGCTTTTCTTAAGGGTCTGAATAAACCTGGAACAAATACTTCATATTTGAGATGTAGTTTTATTGGTATTGAAGGTTATTGAAAGTATTGAAGTTACTGACCATGAGGGTCAGGTGGTCAGTTTCTGTGGCTCATGCCTGTCAGGATTGGTTACATCTGTTGTTGTGAAGCAGCAGAGTAGCCAAATGTGACATTTTTTTTCATGGGGTCCAAAACTCCTGGCAGCCATGACTGCTTTTCTTGAGGGTCTGAATAAACCTGGAACAAATACATCATATTTAAGATGTAGTGCTATCAGTATTGAGCTGTATCTTGGTAGAGATGGCATACGTGTGGTTAAATCAGTATATAACCACCTGAATATGTCATTTTTGGGAACATAAGCCTTTGTACTCTTCCATTGTTCCCACATAGAAGCCAAAGGCAGTGTATTGCAGAGGGATGCAGACCTTCTAACAATGAAGAGCCAATGCAAGATTACAAATCCGCTCTTACATGAGACTTTTATGTACATAAGAGCAGACCCCGCTCTATAATAGGCACCATCTTGCTCTGCCATGCCTCAACCATAGCACACAATGGATAAACAAGTAAGATACACATTGTGCACAGCAGGTGAATGCGTGCAATGCACATGTTTACGGTGCTGCACAAAAGAATTTATATTGATCAGCCTTACCATGGTAGAAATGATGGAGTGTTATCATGCACTTTGTGGCTGTCTGACATTAAAGGCCAACATTGCTACTCATGGTACATAGCTACTGTGCTCGGGAACTGTGTTCAGCACTCAAGAAAATATATTAACAGAAAGCCAAGAACATGGTAACCCTGGAACACTATCACCTGGTGATTTTCACCCAACCAAACATGTTTACATGATTTTCATTATGTTGCGTTTGACATCTTTGAAGGCATATCTGTTTCCCTGATCCGAAACCCGCTTCTTCCTACAGGCTTGTGTTCGGGTGATTTTCATCCAACAATAGTGATAGAGGGTAAAGTAGGTTTGGGTGGATTTAATAGCTGCATGTAGACGAATAAAGTCAGTAAGAGTGGTCCTGGAATTTGCATGCTATCTTTATTTAGCGCAGTGGTTATGAATAACTATCACAAAGTAGTGATTTTCAAGGGAATTCATATAGTGATAAGAAATATTTTAGTCATATTTTGGTCATTTTTACTCAATTAAAAATCTGCCATATTTTGGTCTCTGACCCTGAGTCTTCACCAGGAAAGACTCACATGCCCCAGGACTGGGTGGAAAAGAAACTAAGTTTACAGTCTCTATGTACCCACTGAGAAATAGACCAGAGCAATTAGACGTCTAGTTTTTTAAGACCTAATTTCAACCATCTAGATTCTATATATTTTTCGACGGAATTTAGATGTTGCACTTTAACCCATTTTCCAATAACTATTTATTTAAAAAAGCAACTGTGAGTTGCATAACTGATCTCCAAGTACTTAACCAGAAAAAAGAAAAGAAAACTACTTTAATTTGTCATATATTGTCCTATTTTGATATATGTTGATGACAAGTACTTTTTCTTGGGTATTTTGATGGTGTTACTTATCTTAGCAATAGTGTTCTAGGGTTAAGATGGTCTGACTCAACATTAATGACTTGTCATGCTAAAACTAAAATATATATACTTTATAATTGGTATTAATATCAAGCCTCACTGAGTGTTATCTCACACCCAATAAAACACACTTTTCCTGCATCTTTACATTGTATGGTCAAAAAAGCCATTATGAATTTACATCCTCAAACTCACTTCTTAGACTAATTTAAAATCCTTTCCTTAACCCAAACTCAATATGATAATCAACCTCTCTTTAGCTACTGCGTCTTCAGATGTAGCTGGAGATTAGGCACACAAACACATGCACAGTCTCAGGAGGAGGTAGATATCGTGCCTGTCTCTTTAAAACACGGACTCCTGGAGGTTGGCGAGGATTTGGTGCGGATAGCAGTGAGTGCGGCGCTTTAGCTCGGCATGTGCACAGCCTCAAACTGACGCTACAACCTGCAACTACCCGGACCAGAGAGACAGAGGGGGAGATTATTTTATTTATGACCGGGCTAAATTTAGTTAAACATTTCTTTTTTCTTTTTTTGTTTTGAGCAGGAGATCTTAGAAAGAAGTGGCTGCGTGCGAGAGTGTGTGTTTAGTGTGTGTTTTGTGTGAGTGAGCATGCGGGGATGAAGAAGTGCAGCAGCTGAGTTTTGTTATTAGGTTTCTCCGGGGCGGTGCTGCTGCTGTTTCTGCTGCTTCTGCTGCTGCTGCTAAGGATCACCCTGCTGCTGTCATGGGTCTCTGGGAGTGACATCAAAGTTTTTTTGAGGGGATGATTTAACTCGCTTGAAATATTCCAGCTGAGGCTCCAACTCTAATCCTCGCAGATTTGCAGATTTCAGTCAAATCTGCGCGTTTTCATGACCCGATGAGGTCTGATTTTAAATTTTAATTCGAGTGGAAAGTCAAGAGGTTGAAGGAGCCAGTGGAGATGAACTTTGGAAATATACTACTTGTGACGGTCTCATGCATCACCATCACATCAGGTAAGTGATCTCATGCTTTCCTGGAGGTGTCTCTGCCTCCTTTTCCTCATACACTTGCATGTGGCGTCTCACTTATCTCGTGTTTTTTAGACGTTCCTGCTAAATAAACGCTCCCCCTTTATAAATAACCAAGTTGTCTAAAGAAATATCACACACACGCATTGGTTTGAGAGGTTTAATATCACTGGTGTGCGCAATTTGTCGGAGTTTCCCCCTGAGCCCCCGGGTGGTCACGCAGGGGGCCATTACGCAGCAGGAGAGGTCAGAGGTAGCTCCACACTACAGACGAAGTGAAACCATTTAACTCTCACTTTTAGCACATGAACTCTCTATGACTGTGGCACACTCCACAAAACCTCCACCCCCATCTCTAAAGGGTTTTGTGGTTGCGCACATAAATGCCTTCGGCGGCTCATTTTGATTACTACTCAGGATAGGATTATGTTTTTTTTTTAACCATTGCTTTTAAAACAGCTATGTTTTGAGCTTCAACCCAAACCCCCCAAAATTAAAGCTGGGATCAGAGAAACAATTAGTTTGAGTGCAGTCATTTTTATTGAGTTTTATTGTCATACTAACTGGTTACAGCTTTTGACACACAAATAGGACAGATGACCAGACATTAAAAACCTGAGTGGTTTTCAAGCATTCAAATTAAATTAAGCTTGATGGGCGTGAAATCAGGAACAGGTTTTTACTTACAGAAGCAAATTATTGGGTTTTGGCAACCCCACCAAATATCTGCTTGGTTGTGAAAGATGCTTTCTCACAAACTGTATCTCAGTCTGTTTTGTTGTATGTCTGTAAAGCTTCCCAGTGGCGCTATGGAGTTGTGTTCAGTTAAAGATGGTCCCTCTGTTGTAAATAATTAACTCCAGGTGCTGTATTTTTTGGGGCACCTTGGAGCAGTGAAAGCTAGCTGAAAATACATTAACTCGCTCTACTAGCTGATAGCATGTTAGCATAAAGTTGCCTATGTGCACATTTGAATACAACAGCCAGCTACATTTTGCTACTAACAGAAGCAAATTATTTGGTTTTGGCAATCCCCCCCAAAATATCTGCTTGGTTGTTAAAGATGCTTTCCCACAAGCTGAAACTCAGTCTGTTTTGCTGTATGTCTGTGAAGTTTCCCATTAAGCTTTGACTGATAGTGGCGCTATGGAGCCCTGTTCAGTTAAAGATAGTCCCTCTGTTGTGAATAATTTACCCCAGGTGCTGTATTCCTTTGGGGGGCACCCAGGAGCAGTGAAAGCTAGCTGGAAATACATTAGCTCGCTCTACTAGCTGATAGCATGTTAGCATAAAGTTGCCTATGTGCACATTTGGATACAACAGCTAGCTATGTTTGCATTTGGATACAACAGCTAGCTACAATTTGCTACTACCAGAAGCAAATTGTTGGGTTTTCCATTAAGCTTTGACTGATAGTGGTACTATGGAGTTGTGTTCAGTTAAATATGGTCCCTCTGTTGTTAATAATTTACCCCAGGTGCTGTATTTTTGGGGCAGTGAAAGCTAGCTGAAAATACATTGACTGGCTCTACTAGCCGATAGCATGTTAGCATAGAGTTGCCTATGTGCACATTTGGATACAACAGCTAGCCACATTTGCAATTTGGAGTCCTGTCTGTGCTGAACTTTAGAGGGTTTTGTTCAGTACATTTGTTGTTTTTCTCTATTTTGGGTCTCCACCAACTTCTGAGTGATTAATTTTTGCATCTTCAGCTGCGTAATGTTACACTTTTCACTAGCGTAACCTAGTTTTGCAGTTAATGCCAAACAGAAAGCAATAGTAGAAGTGAGGTATCTGAAAACTTAAAGCTCCAGTGAGGAACTTTCTTGTTGTGTAAATGTTGCTGCCCCTTATGGACTAAGCAGTATCTCTAACATCTTTATTGTCATATTGTGTTCATGTGTAAAAAAGCTTTCTCATGCTACCCCCTCTCAGTGGTTACCTGTCACTCAGTACTTTCACATGTTGTTAAAAAAATCTATTTTTGCCTTAGTCTGACTGAAACTAGCATAATAAAAAGATAAATAAAACAGAAAAGCATTAGACTGAGTGAAATCACACTCAACTGAACCTCTTGTTCTAACAAACCTACATAATACGTATTTTCTCCTCTGTGTACATGACTCAGTTTGACTGAAACTGGCCTTCGTGTTCTGCACATGCTCCAGTTTTCACACGCCAGCTGGAAGTTGACCATCCTGAATACATTGCCAAAAATTCGAGTAGTAAACAAAACCCAGATGGACAGAGAAAGGACATAAAAAAGCCAAACTTTACTATCAAAAGTGACAGTGTTTACCATACATCCTGTAAGTCTCTTGCTAGCGTGTGTAATTGATAGTTATGAGCTCTAAATTGTGAGCCTCTGTAGCATAGATAGGCATGCTTATTAAGAACAGTAGTCCAGTTAATTTGCCTAATCAAGCTGTGACAGAAGCTCGACGTAACTGTGCATGTGAATGTACCAAGTGATGGTCTTGTTTGCTTTTGTAGGGCATAAAGAAGCATCACTGTTAATTTCAGCCTGTGACACAAGCAGCTAAAAACTTCTCACTGGAGCTTTAACTCAGGGCTGCAAAACCAAATTAACCGAAATCGTTATCTTTAGCCAAAGGGGAGTTTCAGAATCAAGAGACGTTGCTCTGTGAGATTATTATTGATTGTAGCAGCTTCAAGATCTATAAAAGTGAAAAAATTAATCTTGTGTCTTTTTGGTGTTTCTCCAATGCAATTTCTTTTAACTTATTGGCCGATATGCTTGTAAACCAATGCATCTGCTATAAGTTAATATGAGCCGATATATCTCTAAGGCTGCTTTGCCAGTCTGGCTTTATTTCAGTGCTTCTTCAATGGTGCGCTGGAACAGTTTTACTATAAATCCTGAGCGTCACGGCCACTTGTGTCGCTTTCTTTCTCTCACCCACGCCATCTGTCTACATCTATTAATCTGGTGTAAGCATTATCTCTTATTCCCACCTCTATTATACTTTGCTTCCCCATAGGGTAGTGAGTGTTTGAATAAAGATACTTCAGAGGAGAGGAGTCAAACAAGCTTCATGAGCTCCCTGGGAGTCGTGTCAAGACTAATACCCCTCTGGAGGGATTTAGTCTGTAGTTTTTTTAGTGGTGAAATCAAAGATGTGGGAGTCAAAGCACCGTATGTGCTCTTTATGTCAAATCCAGCCAATAGCAGCTCGCCTCCTGGCTTTAGGATATGCAGGGTTTTGTGTCTGGTTTCCTCAATGCTTGATGGGAAAGTGAGCAAAAACAACACATCCTCTTCACAAATTGCAGCTCTTTCTCTCCCACACACTCGCTCGCTCTCACACATATGCAAATAAAATCTCAATTAAGACGCCATCAGTGCAGCCCCTAATATATTTCATTGAATCTGAGTTATCTTGCGCTGCATTCAGACTCGGCTCAGAGTGGAACCAATCGATCCCAAACAAGAGTTAGCCGGTGATTTGTGTCCACTCTGTCCCTCCGCTCATTACTTGGTGACAAACATAGCTGACGGCGGAGTAAAGCCTCTCACCGCGCCTCTTGATGAAACAACCACGGGCAATGAAACCTCTGCAGGAGCTGGTCTGTCCTGTAATGTGCCACAGGCTTGAGTCATGTTGCCGGATGTTGATGATGTCCCACTTCTGGTACAGTCAGGGATGACATCATTCAGAGATGAGATTGTGGGCTGGTCGCCAAACAAAAGGCTCAAAAAGCCCCGACTGTTGCCAGAAGAAATTAAAACCTGACTTCTTTGCTTTGAGATGTGGTTTGTGTGGCACGCTATCGCCTTCCCGCAGAGATTAGCTGGCAATGTCACAAGAACTCCTTGAATGTTTTTGGCCTTTTCAAGTATGTAAATGAATTGAAATTGAAAAAGACACGAGTAAATCTCAGCAGACAGCCACCAGCCTCTCAGACAAGCTGCCAGCCAGCTGCCTCTGTCTTACTTTAACTTGCAGGGGGAAGTTAGACTGTGAGAAGTCTGCCTATCAGGTAGATAGTTATGTTTTCGGGCAGATATCAAGCTCAGATCTGAGACAGGTCCAGCTTTTTGTATGTTTTATTTTGCTCCAAGCCTGGCTGTCGCTAAAAGGCAAGAAAAATCTGAAGCCAAACAGAGACGTCCCTTTGAGGGTTTGGATGTTTTCACACATTAGCGTGACAGCAGTACACTTGTGCCCCTGGGGAGGATGTGAGGTTAATATTTAGACATACTAATTAATGAAAGCCCCCCCCCCATTATGCAATGCATCAGCTTGAAGCCAAGAAATGCCATATATAGCTAGGATCAACAGGGTTTTCATGACGTGATCTTGATCGCCCCCTCAGCTCTTAGCCTGCTAACTCTGTCTGTTCAATGAGGCAGAAATGTAGGCGATGCCATGAGCAAACATTTGGGCGCGTGTCTGAGTTTGCAATTAGCGACAATGTGGTAGCATGTCTATCAGAGCTGCATGAGGTGCTAATAGGCTCTCATTTTGACAGCGGTTGCTTTCTTTCCCTGGATTTTTTCATTTGCTTTGTGAATAAATAAATACATTATTACTTATCAGAGTCAATCTTGACAATTAGCACAGTGAATCCGCCTTAAGAGAAGATGATATGAATTAAGTCAGAGCTCTGAAAACAAAGAGTCATGCACATTACTGTCCCTCGTCCACGGTCTATTAATGAAGCGTCAGCACTCAGATGCACCACACATTACTTGCAGCTTTTATCATTTAATGATATTAATGCATCTATATCTATTATAAACCTATTTAATAACAGAAATGTAGTGATGGCAGTGTGAAAACAAGGTGAAAGGGGATGCTTGAAGAGAGAAAACAGAGAGCTGTGCAGCTCTCATCAGCTTTAATTTAGCTCAGTATTGAGCTGCTCTTATGGTTGCTGTTAAGTTTTCTGTTACGATGGTCACAACGAGAAAAACTTTTGAAAAATTTAAGTAACAGAAATTTACAGTTGCTAGTTTTAACTAACATTACCATATTGAGACTTGACAGCTGCCTTTTTTTGTTTTGAAATTTCCAAGCTTTGGCGTTTAGGGTGAGGATATTACGTAAACATGCACCAATAAATGGGCCGGCCGATCAATCGGCACTGATTCCCTCAAATTTGGGGGATCGCTGATCGGCTGATCCTTACATATGAAACCAGTTTTATCCACCAATCCTATCTACCTCAGTAAAGGTCTAAAAGTCAGCCGTTTTAGCTTTTGGATTTGCCAGAATGACAGGCCCACCCACCTGGTCATATGTGCACGCATGTTATAAAAAAAATCTGTATCGGCCAAAATCGGTATTGGCAGGTCAAGCTTTTTAAAGATCAGTGATTGGCCAGAAATTTGTGACAGTGCACCCCTAATATTGAGCAAATTCTAGCGTTAAGATTCCGGAGTGGGGCCCTTCCTCGCCAATCACTCCAGTGGCAACAGTGGTTGCCCAGAACCAAAAAGTGATTTATGCAACAAAAACTGCATCATCCACACCAGACGCAGGTAATTAGATTGTTTAAGTGATGATGTGTTTATGTTTTTGGTTATTTTATCTAAAAATTAAAGTAACACAAGCCGACATTGGTGAAGTGATGCAAAAGAAAGTCATTATTTACAACAGAGTTTTAGGACCACATACAAAACTATGACTTATTAATGTTATTTTCTTACATTCGTTTATCTTATGAGATTAAACACATATTGTTTAATAAAATCCTTTAAAGAAGTCGTGTTAAGTGATGATAGTATGAGAATAAAGTCTTCAAAGGTAATGCTAATGTTAACCCCAAAATTTTCTTCTGTTGCCTGTCCTGATCTGGTTTTCCTTCTTTCTGTTTTGATTTTTTTGGATGGAAAATTTCCTCTGAGCTACTGTAGAAAACATGGCAGTGCAACAAAAGCAATAAAATCAGAAATACATCATCAGAAATGAATCAATTATAATATTCCATTCAGGATAAACTAATATGAACATACTTTTGCATAATACTTTCTATTTCTTTGGAAAAATGCTGCTAAATTTCACACAATTTACCTTTTAACCTGTTTAAAAGTGTCACATTCAGTCAGTTGTTGCAGTTTTACAGTTTAGGGCTCTTCAATTATTGAAAGAAAATTGACAGAAAAGAGCATTTAAGAGTGGAATAAGAGGTTCACATCACACTGTAGGAGGATTCAAGGTGCAAGAGATGCTTATAAAAAAAGACTGAAGTTACATTGTTTTTAGGAAATATTCCTGCAGAGAGGTGAAAAGTAGAAGTGAGCAGAAAAACAAGAAAAATGTGCTTTACCTGCAGAAACCATGAATGTAAAAATCTCAGACTGTCAGTGTCAAATAGTCCAGGTTAAGAGGCTCCACAAAAGACAACATTACGAACATATTAAACCAGAAGTGCTGAGAAATAGACTAAAGTATCTTATTAAGCAGGTAAAAATAGCGAATATTAGCTTCAGTTTCAAAACGTGTTCAACAGAAAGAGCTGTTAAATGAAATTCAACGTTTCTCCCTGAAAAGCATTACTGCCTCCTGCTCTGACACATTCATTTATACACAGTGCAGCCTTGAGAGTGCACTACACAGCAATAACCTTGCATGAGGCTGCCACACTCTCATTCACGAAGCCCCCCCCTTTTGTACGGGAAGACAGCTCAAGGTTGACTGCCATTCACTCTTACGGATTATGTTGGCTCTCTTTAGGCTCTCAGGCCTCAAGTCTACAAGGTTTTCAAAAGTTAAGACACATTTTTAAGAGTTTTATTGTCTTATTATCTGTCAGCTCTGATGTGACGTCGGCGCAAAGATGACATGTTTAGTAACAAATGCGGCTTTAAAGACACATTATGGCTTTCTCTTCAAGCCTCTCGGATCAATACAGATGGTATTAAATTTCAGATTTTTCACTCCCGTTTGATTCAGGAAACGCTCTGATCTCTCGCTGTTTGTGTTCCTCGCGAGGCGAGGCTTTCACATTTTATTTGCTGCGGAGAAAACACTAATTGCTCTGACACCTGACTCAATTGTCTCATTTCAACACGCCCAAAGCGAAATGTTAAGTGTGTAGTAAATTGAAATCTCCTTTTATAGTGAAAATTTAACACAATAATAAGTGCTGCAAACTTTAAAAAAAAGTGAATTGAAGCTGCAGTTTAAATCCCAAAACTACTGCAGGAGAAAGCCATGTCCTTCCCTTCTTGTTTATCCCTTGTAAATTTAAAAGTGATTTCACACCAGAATGCCCGGATTAGTGTTTTTTCCACACAAATCACGTCACACCCTAAATTCCCACATGCGCTCGGATATCTCTGAGCACCCACTGCCGGCTCTAATGGGCCGTGTTTATGATCCGATCCCCATTATCAGCCGTGACGTTTATGTTTCTGTGTCACAGGTGTGGCTGACAGAGTTTCTCCTCGCTGAAAGGTGCTTTCATCCACTGCACAACAATCTTCCTGTCACGAGGGCAACATTACTATGAAAATATCATACATCTGAGAGAAAATGTTTTGCTGTCGTGCTCAAGGTGGCGAAGACAGGTTGTTTTTTGTCACTTTCGCCACTCGAAGGTGTTTGTGATTCGTTTTTGAAAAGACAATTTTCTCAGTAATACATCAGAATGGAGCCTGATCTATTCTTTTGAAATAAGCACCCATTAAGCCTCACTAACAATCCCATCGCTTGTTACATCAGTGAAAAGAAATTTGTCTCTCAATTTGACTTTGTCTGCAAAGATGTGGGTGTTTAAACTTCTTTTTTGATATTTCCAAAAATGCGTCTCTTGTCTTATTCAAATAACGCAGGCACCAAAGAAAACGAGAACACAAGAACTTGTCACAGTGACAAAGTAAATGAAAAGAAGCAAGAATTCACAGTATGTGCTGATACACAACATTCAAGGACAACTGCGGATAAGTTAGAAGACCTAATAGAAAGCCATGGAGTACGGCTGCTGTAAATGTGTTTGATAAGAGAATAAAAATTATTGATCGTATCAAATAGCCTGTAGATGCTTTTGTTTAGTGGTTTTGAATGTTCCTATTATCACGGATCAAAACACGTCAGTATCACAGAGCCCATTAAACAAAGGCTTCATTTTCTTATGTTGGTAAATTTGAGATTCGTGAAGAGAAGATGATCAAATGTAAGTGTCGTAAAGTTGTTTTAGAGTCCTGCTGATGGCTTGAACGACTTCTATGTTGACACCAAAACTGTTGTGTTTTCAAAGTGTCAGGCATTCAACACTCAGAAGAAAAACAAATTGAAGTTTATTAGTTTCACTTCATCCATTCAGGTTATCTCTAAGGAATCAATACACAAGCACAGGCGCACTAATTAAAACAACCATGCCCATTATCAGAAATTTAAGCTGGTAGAAGTTTAAAGCCCCTCAGGGCAAACATTAAACCTGCACCATCATTTTTCATGGTCTCATTAGAAGTGAAAAGTCAAAGCGGCGGTCTTTAGTGGCCAATCAGGAGAGAGTTACCAAAGGTCTCTGCGGCTGCCCTCAGCTTTACAAAGACTTTCAGCACCCTTGAAAAAGCTGGTTTGATGAACACGGCCCCAAACTTTCCCTTTTTGACCTTCACGGCATCATCTCAGCTTAAAGGGCTCCAAAAAACCTCCCATAAGTCCAGCTGAAGAGAACAGTATGAAATCTATCATATGAAAATAATGCTGCTAATGTAAATCACCCGAAGACTGTATACTAACTTGGTTCTGCTCTCCTTCATTATACGAATTTGAAGCCAAATTGCTCTTGTTATTTCCGGGATTTTCTCCATTCCCTGGTACCGTCACTTGCGCTGTAGAGTTGCACGCGTTCGGCGGGAGGGTTGCAGAGAGTCGCTGTGATGACGCTCGGCTCAACCAGTGTATCCCCCTGGTGAGCTACACAATCCTCTTACGGCTATATCAAGTGTCAATCATAGAAAACATGAACCCCTTAATAACTAAAATGGAGCTGCACAGAAAAAAGAGGACTTGAGCAAAAAACAGTCTTACAGTAACTACATGTTAACATCATATCTGTGTAATAAATTTTGAAAGTTTGTCCGGGATTTATGACCTATACTGCAGCCCGTTACCAGAGGGTGCTGTTCTCGCGGTGGTTTCACTCAGCAAGGAGGCAGATGGCGTCCATTCTATATACAGTCGATGAAATCACCTAAAATGATAGTTTTGACATGAAAAAATCCCACTTGATGAATTTAGATAGACATCCTTACGAAATTCATATTCTGCCAGAGTTTTTAAGTCAAAGACAAATTATTTAAGTCCTTATAACAATGTAAGAGTTATTTGGGGCGAGGTCGTGGTCCTGTCCTGCGATTGTGTACTTTTGTTTGAAACCTAATCTGAACCCCCTGATGGTAGTTTTTCTCTCATTTTGGCTTTATGGTAAAATTCGGCCTGTTTGGTCTTATCACAGGTTTCACATATGCAAATCATGTTGTAGATAACTACTGTCTAGAATGGAGCCGTGAATTTAGAAATTGTCTTGAAGTCTGTGACTCTGCAAGATTCCCAGAGAGTCATGGCTCTGTTGGTGGCATAACATTTTTTTGTCACAGTGACCAGAAATCCTTTTTTTTAACATGATGAACCGTACAGAAATATCATTCCTATAACGTAAAGTCAGAGATTTGGATCTGAATCCCAATCGGGTTGAGATATTTTACGTTATTGTTGTTTATTTTTAGCTTTTAAGGAAACAAACCTTATTCCAGTGCAAACATTCGACTGCAGAAGTAATCTTGAAAGAGGTCAGCTCTCTCCCTGTATTTGTTTTTGTGGGTAAAATCCTGTTACAGTGTTGATGTAAGAGTTCAGGGTTCAGTGTGATGTAACTGTATTACATGAGATGGGATTTTAAACTGAAAGGGCATGCTTTAAAAACACGGTTCACAAATAGGACACCACTGAGCCACAGTCAAATGATGTGGTGTGAATAAATGTTAAAATCAACCAAGTAGTTTGACTGGAAATGAGAATTTAAATGAGTTGAAATAGAGAGTATAACAGCTCTTCCATATTCTGCATTTTATTAATATGTGTTACAGTATTTGGCACAACAGCACTTCATCTCGTGTGATACGGTTTGCACGCACTCCTCACTGATATGATAGAAAATATTCGAAAGGAAATTACATTTAAAACCTGGAAGGATGAGTTTGCGGGACCAGCATGAAATAATTCACACTCGTTCTTTTGTAAACAAAGCACATGTTTTCACTGCGACTCACTGGAGGTGCCGTGCCACATTGTAATGGCCTCGATTAGTATTCATCCACATCCTGCATTAGTGTGTTGAGCTGTCCTGCTTTGTGACCTCGGGGTGTTAGCTGAGAGCGCTCAGATCGCACTTTAGATGTTTACTTCAGGTTTACGCCGCGATGTGCAACTCCTGGCTCCACCCTGAAATCAGTTCAGGAAAAGACAAATCTGCTTACAGCTGGAAAGGGAGGGCTTATCCTCATGCATGTAGATTTAAGAGCAATGCCACAGCAGCGACAACATTTGTGTCATTGGGTTGCTCCTGAATGCTCGACCCCAGTGATAATGGAGGATTTTCATACCGTGTAGATTATGTGCTGAAAATAATGCCTCAGACAGAGCAAAACAATAATCAGTGGCACACTGACCATTTCATTTTAGAGCGAGGGGGAGACCATCTGTTTCCTAAGAACCAAACTAAAAGCGCTGGCATTTTGAATTATTCATTTTTCCAACTGTAACACACTGTTAGAGACATTTGGTCTTGCTCTAAAAGCTTACCTATGACGTGAAGCAGTGCGCCTTCCCCCACAGTCAAGGGGAGATAGTAATGGATCCCTGGAGAGAAAAATATGAGAGTTATCTGTATCCTCACTCGTTCTCCCCACCCGGGTCTTTCTCCCCTTGAACGTATACTGTGGGTCTGTCTGTCTTATTCACCGCTTCCCACCAACTATCATCTCTACCTCTGCGGCAATCCTGATTGACACAGAGATTGGCCATTACCATATCACATGGGTGAATGCATCCTCTGTTCAGGTGGTCCTCTGTGAAAAGACGCGGTATAGCTCAACGAAAGGGTATCGGGTTTAGTGATCTGAAAGGCGCAGGTTGTTACAAGAAAATGCCTTACCCTAAATTCAGAGTCAACCTTCAAAGAGAGAAGATTTGCTGCTTGGCTTCACACATCTACCTGATACACAAGCAACATTTCTAGAAGAAGGTATTCTTGCCTTTCAAATGGCACCACTGCCTGTCACAAAGAGATTATATGTTTTCATGAGTGGCAGGGGGTCCAGATGAAGAGGTAACATCTGTCCCCGTCTTTGCTCCACAGGGTCCCGGGCTCGGTTTGAAGACAGCGCACCTCGGATTGTGGAAGACCCGTCCGATTTGATCGTCTCCAAGGGGGAGCCTGCTACCCTCAACTGCAAGGCGGAGGGCCGGCCCCCTCCTAGTATAGAGTGGTACAAGGATGGAGAGCGGGTGGAGACGGATAAAGATGACCCGCGTTCTCATCGCATGCTCCTGCCCAGCGGCTCCCTCTTTTTCCTTCGCATCGTACACGGACGACGGAGCAAACCGGACGAGGGGGTCTACACCTGTGTGGCCCGCAACTACCTCGGAGAGGCCATTAGTCGTAATGCCTCACTCGACGTCGCCAGTAAGGCCATATTTTCATTCATAATTGTTCTTTAAGTGTGTGCTCCTGCAACCGTTCTGCACTATGTGTAAGTTCAGTGTGTGCGTGCACAGCATGCAAAACCTCCACAGTCCCGTCCCAGATCTATTTGGAACCGTCTGGCTGTTTTGTGGAGCTCCACCGGAGGTTTGGCTGAGCTTAAAAATGACAATATGAAACAACCAGATTGTAGGAGGCCGCATCTAAACACAGGGTGGTGTGAAGAGAGATAAATGCAGTTCGGAGTGAAAGCCTGTGGACTTGTTCCTTTTTCAGGCTTCTATGACAGTCATGTCTTTTTGTCTTTGGCCATTTGTTTATTTATTCCAGGAATTAAATTCAAGAATAAAAGAGGAGGATGTTCCCTGTGGATCTGAAAGCGAAGCCAATATGGAAGTGCTTTTAAACCTGCAGTCTTTCTGAAGCCCAGCTGGGGGCCACCCCGTAGATAGTTCTGAAGTTTGAGTAACTGACCCTTCTTCTCTCTGGATTTTTGTCCCCCTCCAATTATTTTGTGTCTCAAACAAAAGTTGTGATTGTACCCTATATAGCAGTCTCATTATTTCCTGCAGTGCATTGTGGACAGTAACGCACAACCAGTGGCCACTATCTAAGCAATATCCCACAGATACAGAGAGGCTTTTGTGTCACTTTAAAATGTTTTATGAAGGGTTCAGACTTTTCTCTGGTTTAGTTTATGTTTTTCCTCATAATGATATCAGATAGGAGAGCATAATCTGTAGGTACAAGACTAATGAATAAGTAATGATTGAGTTAAAGCTCCATTAGGTGATTAAACTGGACTGCTGTCCCAGTTTACAAGCACCGGGTAAGAAACATGTCTGCCTCTGCTACAGTGGGGCGGCTTCATGCTATTGGGTCATGTCCTGGTTGACTCATTATCTATTAAACACGTTAGCAAGAGGCTGAGTGGAGATACGTCGGACGATGAAAACACTTCCTTTCTGCAGGTGTATGTGGTCGCTTGTTATCTTTGAATTCATGCGACTAATAATTATAAATATTTTTTGATATTTTAGTATCAAAAATGTTTTTTTCATCCTCACTATTGAGCTCATTTTAAAGTCCGCTACAGAGAGTTCACTGTGTAAGGAGTAAGAAGAAGGGAAGGAGTTTGTGGTTTTGGACTCAGCTCAAAACAAAAGTGGGTGGCATCGCAGGAGAAATCAATTTCCTCTTTCTATTATCACATTATTGTACTGTCTTCTTATGTTTTACTTCAGATTACACTTGACAGATCTGTCCAATACCTCCTCCCAAGTTAAAGATTTGGGCATCAATGAATCTCAGCGTCATTTTAACAAAAGTTCTTATTTCAGTATCCCTGCTTCATCATAAATCACACTTGTTAAATCTAGATTTACATGAGATTGGTTGTAAACGCTGAGTTTGTTAGCTTGATGCTCCAAATGAAGATAAAGCTTTCAATACCAGCGTGAAGGTTTAGAAGGAGCTTTTTGAAAGCATCAATTCTGCCAAGATCAACGTCAAACGGTAAATGCTGGCAAGCCTCCTACAGCTTTCAAAACACTTCAGTTTAACCGGCAAAACATTCCCTCAAACACTTGTCTTTGTGTCAGAGATGATCAGTAATGCTATGCGGCTCATTACAGCAGCCCCAGGAGATTTCAAGGGGACTATTTTCTGTGTTTACTTTCGGTCAATCTCAATGACAAGTGTTTGAAATCATTTCTGTTACACTGAAGTGTTTTGGAAAGCTGTTGAATTCTTCTACTTCTTGGACCGAGTCTGAGTTTTTTTTAATCGATTGACGGATTTGGCACACCAATGATATCATAATAAATCGACAAATAAGGAGGACAATAACCAGATTCGTAAATATGACTTACTGTATATCTTTCCTGACTTCACATACACATATGTATGCTGTTGTTAAAAGCTGCGACCATCTTTTGAATGCAAGCTCCAAGAAATTGTTATTTTTCCCACAGTTAGTCAGAAAAAGAAGATAAAAACTGTGCAAACTCCAAGAGTGTAAAGCCTTGAAGCCCTCAAGTTGTCTTTCTTTCACAGTCCCCAAAGATTTGTACTCATTTGTTGCTGAGCAACTTAATAAGCCAAAACTGCTCATTCATTCTGAGATGATCCCACTGTCTGATTATAAATTATTCTTAGGAAAATCACTTATTTTAGCTTGATCGTTAGTGAAAGAAGACGGCAACAAAATAGCCGTCGTAGCTCACCTTGAGCTGTCAGTTTTCTCAGCTTGTTCAGGAAGGGCTCGTTCATTCCTCTGTATTTTAGGTGGGTTTTGACAACACATTTAAGTGCTTTAGACTGCGCTCCCAGTCCTCACATCATTTATTTTTTAACAAAGTTTTGGGGTAGACATTCGTAGACATCAATCTAGGGACCTACCAGCTCCCAACCAATGAGGGCCTAGCCTAAAAGAGTGATGGCCAAATTTGAGACTTTTCAGTGTGATCCTGTACATTTTTTATTGTCTAACTAACACAGCCTTTTTGTATGTTTGCAACTGAACAACAAGGATAGTGTTGTTGGTTACTATTCTTGCAATGATGTTGAGAAACGAAATCCTCTTTCATGGTGCAAAAGTTTTCTTTTCCCCGTGTACAACCAGTGTCTGTTGAGATGCAAGCGAACATTACACTTTGTTTCCACTTGTACAGTATATCCACAGAGGTAAATCAAGCAGATATCACTGCTGCAAGAATCTCTATGATATCTGATGTTCCTGCGAAATTTCACACATCTGTCATATTTTGGTCCAAAATCGACCTTGAGTACGACCTTCAAAACACTGAACTCTAATGTGTATTTTTTTCAGACACACTGATAGTTTTTTTGCTGAGCTCCCATCATTGAAGGGAAGTAGAAAAAGTCTCTTTTGCTGCTTGTGAAGGCCATTTCCTTCATTTCGGGTGCCTTTATGTTGATTTTCGAGTGAGTTTGTGTGTTGAAACAGATTAGTTTGAACTCGTCACCAATCTGAGTAGTCTCATTCTGCTACAATATAGTTAAATAGTACAAATGTTTTAATTATCTTTAATAAATTCACGAGTTATTTGACAAAATTTGCATCTTCTCAGAGCTACAAGTAGATTCACTGGCTTTTATCCATAACAGGTTACACTTCCATAGTTTCTCTCAAAGTGATGTTCTTTCTATGACTGTATAAAACTTAAGTTCCCTATTGGTTACTGTCATCATATTGTTTTTTTTTTACTACTTTATTGCAAGGCTTCTTTCTTTCACAAACATAGTCAGGCTTTCATTTTACAATATTATACCTTACATTTTTTTTCTCTTCCTTCCCTTTTTTTTTTTTTTTTTTTTTAACATACAGAAAGTAAATAACAACCAAAAAGTAACCAAATCGACATATCTCCAAAAATAAGGCAAAACATACAAGCAAACAAAATACAGAAAATAAATGCATAAATAAATAATAAAGTGAACTAAATATAATTAAATAAACTAAAGAAAACTGGTAGGGGTAGGGGTTGGTGCATGTATGTGTGTTCGTGTATCTGTGTGTGTATGTACATGGATGTTAGAGTTGGGGTGGGGACCTTTTAATCCATCTCCTTAATTTGATTAAATATTGACTCATATTGTTAATGCTAACTCAAAATGACAACTCGTTTAGCTAGAGACTGACAAAAATTGAGTCTATTTGTTAGTAATAAAGAGGTAAAGAGGCATAAACATTGTTTTTGTACTGGGCAGTAAACAATTCTTATTCTGTTTTATTAATGGGCTTTCTCTAGTTACTTAAATCATCCTCAAGTGGACATATGAGGTATTGCAATTGTGTCCATTGGCCTTATTTTAAATTTTACCAAGGTTTTCCATCTGTATTTACTCCAAATCCTTAATTCTGCTCTTATAAAATAATAACAGCAGCCAACTGTAACATTTAAAAAACTGGAACTTGTGGGTTTTGTTCATTTTTGCTTTGTCAGGTCTACAGAAAAGGACTCCGAATGAAAAATGTAATACCCAGCAGCTGTTGCTGACCTGTGGAGCATATCTTGTTATTATCCTTTCTCCTGAATATCCTCTCTATGTGAGCCAACATGATCACATTAGCCAACAGTACACTTATAGCCGTTCGCTTCCTTTGAGTCGTCGTGGAGTCTGCTGCCGCTGCTGAAAAGTGTGAGCTTTCTCCTATATCTTTGTGAAAGTGCAGTGAAGTAAAAAGCTCCCAGTAGGAGCCGTGTCTATTATTTCCCCTCCTTGGTTCAGGACACGTGCCATTGTCTCCCCCCCTCCTTCCTAATTGTGCCAGCGTGGCTCGGCCCTGGGCTGAACTGCAGCTCTGTTTGGCGTGGGGAAATGGATTAGTCTGTGGGTTGATTAGCGGAGGGAGCATAACAAATCATCAAGGTTGAACTGTCCTCGTTTAAACACCAAGAAATGTCAATTTGGGTACAGTCTTATCTCCTAGTATATTGAAGCTTCTTTACTGGCTGTGTAAGAACATCTCATGGCTGAATGAACCCATCTCCAGCTTGTGTCCAAATATAGGAACAGCCTCGTCAGATATAATGTATACTTGGACTAATAGGCAGCTAACTAATGCATATAAGGGGAGATATGAAGCATGCTTTATCATACAGCCCTTCTTTAACAGCTGATAATGGTATTTGGAGACGTGCATCTGGAAATGATAGTACACTCAGATCAGTAAAAGGATGAGTCACCTACAGGCACTGAGTGAGTAACATTATTAATAAATGTCTGTTTTTGGTCCGGATCTCGCTGCCTCTGGCCAACAAGGGCATATGCTAAGACAGCATGGTGGTGGTCTTAGCCTCTTCCCCACCCCTCTGCGTGAGGTTGTGCTGACTGTGGGGTAAGTAGTGACCCAATTAGCTCTGGCAGGGAGGGGGGAGAGGGAGAAGAGCATACAGTGTTAATGAGCGGACAGTTTTAAGCTGGTGGTCTCGCAAAAAAAATGTGCGAGTGTGTCAGCGGCGGTCTGAGGGACAACAGGTGGGAGGAGGAAGAGCTTAAAACTCCCACTGAGCCGTAATTAATAGTAATGCATCTGTTCAGCTGTTTGTGTGGCTGAGAGTGAGGAGTAGGAGTGCTGACTGAAACCCGGCACTAAACCATCAATCAGGCCTTAACTGACAGTGAATTATGCATTGTGTATTGCGCCCCTCGCTTCCGTCATGTGTTCTTCAGCTGCAGGATACTTCTCCGCCTGAATTATTGATGTAGCTTTAGTTTTAAAACTTGAGCTGCTCCTGATGTAAATCAAACAGCCATAAAGGAGACTGCAAATCACACAGAAGAAGAAGTTAGTTTTGTATGATTGTTCGGGGTTACTTTTTTTTATTATGCAACTGCTGTAAAAAGCAGAGGTATGACTTTATGAGCCCACTTGAATCCATTAAGAGACTTGGTTCCTACCTGTAGCATGTCTGAGTGGTATATGCTAAAAGGAATAACTTATATACTTATAGAGGGTTGGCATGGAGATGCATTTCTGTGCCATTAGATAGAAAACAGCATTGCACAGATTTGTCCTTACTGAGTCACAGATGTCCGTGTCAACACATAAAAAGGGTTTCAAGGACATGTTTCTTTGTCCTGCACACTCGCTCTCTATTAGCCGCACAGTTGCAGTCGAGGTGTTGTTTTTGAGCCCAGATGCATTTTGTGCACCCCGAGGTCCACAAGCGATGTTCTGTGAATAGCCAGTGCTGCTCTCTTGTAGTGCACCTCATGGTGGGGAGCAGGCTTGCTTGAAAATGCCAGCAGCAGCCATTATTCAGGTTTTTTTCCCCTTTACAGTAAGCTGCCAGTGACCGACTGTGTTGCCTAGCTATTAAAAAACAGAATAATGAGACAGTGGGAGTGGACAAAATCCCCAAAATGGTTTTTGGCTTTAAAAAAAAGCAAAAAGGAGTGTGAAAAAGTCATTACTTAACACTGTTTACCAACTGTAAATAGTGTTTTTTCAACATGATGGATGTTAATGAGTGCCAGCCTCATTGAGAAGATGGTCACATGATGATCGCTCAGGATTAGAATAAAGTAGGACAAATAAAAAATACAACTTGTATAAAAGGCTTTAGAGCCAGATGTTCCTCTTACTCCTGATGAGGGATTATGAAGGAATCAAACTTCTGGGCACAGCTTGGTTCTAGTGTCCATCGCTCTGTGCTCTTATGTCTGTATAGATATAAATCGCCCCAGATGAATATGATTTCATGAGAAGTTTAAAAATCAGTCTGTCGAGGATTTTGTGGCTTTTGGGGAAATATGGATTTGACCTAGAATAACTAAATTTGTGGCATTGTTGGAAAAGAATCGTTGTAACCTCAAGTGGTTTGATGAGTTTTTTTTTAACCCCAGCAAAAAAGGCTTTGGGTCACAGAAAATGCTGTTATTTGGAGATGAAAAAGTGAACCAAGAAGGTTTTTGTAAAGCCCTAAAATCTTAGTAAAAACCCCTTTTTCATTGTACATACTGGTAACTTCACATTGCAAACTCAAGAGTCCTCACAAAATGAACAGTGACTGGAGTTTTGCCATCCCTTGGCCTACGTAACTTACACATGGAACCCTGCAACAGTGTAATATTGATGTCCCAGAGTAATCACACAGTGTGTTGAGACATCGCAGAAGTGTGAGAGGCACAGCTTGTAAACACTGCAGGAGGGCCACTTGCAAACATACTCAGACAAACAAAGAGTGTAGTTCTGTCCTGCTGGGCGTCCAACGTTACGTATTGCCATTTAGAGTTTTTACATGCATAGTAAAGTTGAACTATGGTCATAGCTCGATTAACTGGACTAGTGTTCTTGTCCCTGTTTACGAATAAAAATTTAATCATGAACAGAAACATGTTTGCCTCCACTGCAGTAGGTGGCGATATACCTCCTTTTAGCTCGTTACCACTGCGTGGGCAGACCTATATGACCTTTTGAGTCAGGCACCAAAACAATCAACAAACACATTACGAAGAGGAAATTGATCCATGACTGCATTATCTCAAACCGACCATGAGAGGGTGAACAAACTTTGATTACTGAAAACAAGAACACTCGTCCCAGCAACGAGATACCGAATGATACGCTAAGTTTACTTAAAGATGCCTTATAATTTCAATTCATTTAAAGTATACCTCCTCTGTATGGATAGAAAACTGTTATACTACCAAAGACACAAATTCAGATCAGCTTCTCAGAGGTTACTCATTATGTTTTACTATATCAAGTTTCAAAAATAACGATTGAAATAATGATGGAAATAATATCTCCTCTGTATTAGAAAAATAAATAAGTACAAAATAACAAAACAAAAATACCACTGCTCGATTACTTGAACAAAAAATATCTCTAACAAACTTATAAAAACTAACTGGCCCAATGAAAACCAGGACATTTTCATCAATATATAAAAAACAACCAGGATGACCAGGACAGGGTGTAAAAACAGGATGTTTGGTCACCCTAAAAACTATAAGAAATCCAATTTGGTGCAACTTTAGCCAGATGGACATGTTGATATGTATTTTTAAAAGTCCAGATTTGGTCAAACAAACTCAATAAATCAATGTTTTGGACTACATGTAGATATGCTGACTGTCCTCAGCTCTTACAGGGGAGGATTAGAGGTGGAACAGCTTTACCCCACCTTTACACCTTGGTGTGTTACACATTGTAGATAAAGTGTAACACTAGATATAGTAGATTTCCTGTTCTGATTTGACTGTAGTGACAGCTACTCATAAATTTCTGGAAGGACTGAGTTGATCTGAACTGCTGCTTTGCTTTACATGATAACTGTCAAACCTCAGCTAAATGTATTATTCTGTCTGTATGTATGCTGTGTAAGTGAAATATCAACACATTTTTTTTAAAGCAGGAGAATTTCTATCCATGGGCCTCTCATGAAGGCTATTTGCCCTGGAGTCTCTCCTCATCCTCCATCAACAAAATCAGACAATGGGTGGATTAAAGCAATCTCTCTTCTCTGTAGGCAAAGCCTCCATTAGCTGTGACAGGGCAGTATCATGGCAATGGGATTAGACCTCCTCCCTAACGGGTTTACTGCTCTTTGAAATAAAAGAACAATAGGAGCGGGGCGGCAGGTCATCTCAGGCTTTCCAAAAGTGTACACCTCTGCTGCCCTGTAACCTCGCTCCCCCTTTTTTCCAGCCTACTGCATCTAAAAACACACAGCCTGGTAGCCATTCACACATCTGTCCAGCCCACGCTGTCTGCTCTGTCTGCTTCCTACACTCACTGTCACCTTGTGTTTAATACAAAAGCTTTTTTTTTTTCTCTCTCTCTCTCGCTGTCCTGCCTGTCAAACTCACCCATCATGTTTCTTTCAACCTGCTGGGTATGCAAATGGTCTGTGAACTGTTCAGTAATTTGCCCCGTGGCTGCTTTATTTCAGACAAAGTCACAATCAATTAACGCTTAAAAGGACTCAACAAACACTGCTCGTGCAACACAAAGAGCCAATGCTTTACATTTCAATTTTCTTGTGATTAATCCTTCGTTCACCCTCTGTTCATTTTTCAAACAACACTAACAGATGGCCTCTCTGCAGTCCGAGAGCTTCTCTGCTCGACACTCAGCCATAATGGGGAGATAAATGTCACTTAAAAACGGAGTGATGAATATATTCTCGAGGGAGATTAAACTTCTAATCTGTATATCCCTGAAATATTAAAGTTATGAAAATGAATGGGTGTTTGCAGGGATACTGCCCACAGATATAATGAGGAAACTGCTTTTCCATTATTTAAGCTCACAGGAAGTGCCTTGGGGGAATATTCAGATTTGTCTCCACACTAGCGGGGTCAAAGCCTCGCAGTCACCAGGCCCAGTGTGGACGGACTGAAGCGAGAGTGCCGAGCTGGTTTAGGAGATTATTTGGCTGACAAAGTCGTATTATGTCTGAGAAGTTAAGTTAGAGACAGTAGCCCCCTCGGGGGGTGTGGGGAAGAGGGGAGGGTTCTCAGTCTGAGTTTTCCAGGAGGTTGGTCGATTCTGTGGTTGGATCATCATCATCATCATCGCCTACAAACATTCGTGGGAAACTGTTTAGTGTGGCGGTGCTTTAAAGTCAGAGCAAGGAAGGATCACATTAACTTGAGCGCAGCTTCAAAGAGAAATTTCGAGCTCGTGTTGCGCAGTGTTTTGGGGGCTGTAATGTCAGGGATATATTCAGCTCTCTGGCGTGTGTTTCAACACGCAATTGTCCCACTTTCTTCCTGTCTGTGCCCGGAGAACTCTGGTTTTTAAATGCAGAAGGTTTTTGCATGCCTGTGTGTCTGTGTGCATATGTATGCGTGCGTATGCGTGTGTGTGTGTGTGTGTGTAGTTCAGGGATAAGCTCTTTGCCCATAACTTTTTCACTTCAGTCACCATGCCAGTGTAACAAAGGTCTCTGTGCAGCCATCTAACCAGGCCTTACAGACGGAGGTCTAAAAATAATGCAGTGCTTTCAATTAGCCCTTCAGCTCTGCAAAGCATTGGAACAGGCAGTCAAGTGAACAGGGTCGGGGTATTCGGTGAACAGACCTTTGGGAGGAGTCTGAGTGGTTATAGCCCACACTTGACTTTTGTCGGCTCCATAATTGTGCAGTTTTGTGTGGATATGAACATTCAATACCTGACTGTGGCAGATGTCTGTGATATAATAGCCTGCATGCTTTACCCAAACCTCGATTAGAGGAAGTTTATGCACCATTATCTCTTCATCAACAGCCCTGAGCTGTATGACAGAGTTAGTCTTTGAAAAATTAGAAGATCTCTAGTGTGTAATGAGAACTTAAATGATGTCAATGAGGTTAGAAATACTGATTGAGTCTTCGTTTCAAAGATTTTTCACGTTCCTTCGTCTAAATGTCAGGGTGTTGGAGTAAAAAGAGAAAGACGAGTGAAGTAAAGCTGAAGTAAAGGGAGAGTAAACATCCGTCTTCTTTGAACACAGCAGGTTTGTGCAACTGATCCAGACCCAGACCCAAGGGGAAACAGTCTCCTGGAATATCTAAAACAATTACCGTATTTTCTGGACTATAAGTCGCTCCGGAGTATCAGCAAAAAAACTGCATAATGAAGAAGAAAAAACATATAACGGTGTAAGTTGCATTTTTTGGGGGGAAATTTGTTTTATAAATCCAAGACCAAGAACAGACATTTCATCTAGAAAGGCAAGTTATAACAATAAAATCGAGAACAACAGACTGAATAGGTGTACGGTGAATATGCTAACATAACACGTTGATGGTTATTCAGCTACATGAAGCATAAGCAATGATCTCAATAGGTGTCTGGTATGTTAACAAAACGTATTAACAGTTATTCAGATAATTGTAGTATAAAAAGCATAACAAAACAAGTTTACCAAACTCTCGATCTCTCTCCAAATCACTAAATCCATCGAATTCTTCATTCTCGGTGTCACTTCTGAATAACTCCGCCAACTCTGGAGGTGGACGAAGTGCCGCCTTATACTCAGATGTGACTTATATATATGAACATATACTCATACATATAGAGGATAAGTCGCAAACTCAGCCAAACTATGAAAAAAGTGCAACTTATAGTCCAGAAAATACGGTACATCCTTCAAACTAAACCAGTTTTTGTCTTTTTAGCAGCTGACATGAGATAATTTGAGATTTTATTCCAGCTCAGAGGGTTTAAATATTGATGCTGAATGAAAGGCCAGAGCAACCACGGAGACACAGACCTGACAGACGTACTAGTGGATAATTAATGTGGCATAGATATAGTAATTGGCTTAGAGCAAACTGGGGCTTAGATAGATTGATTAAAGGTGGATTACACTGACTCTAAATCCTAATGAGTGAAGACTAACTGAGATTATGCTCGTGGATTGTATATTCTCTTGCTATGCCTGATGAGCTCTCTGTTATAGCATGACACATAAGCCGTTTTAAATGATTAGGAAAACCAGCAGATTAACACCTCTATCTTAAATGATTGGTCCTCTGTTTCATGAGCATCTCACACAAATAAACAAATGCATGAAGGTTTTTAACGGCTGGAGATTTTATGACTTTACTTCTTGTAAATTGAGGTCGGACCCTTACAGCTGCTGTGCTGAAAGGTACCCAGCTGTGATTTCAATGATGGGATTTTGATTAAAACTGGTTCTGCTGGTATTGGTTATAACTAGTTTTTAAAAAAGATGAGATATTGATAATATTGTGAGTTTAAAGTAGTGGTCTTTGACGCTGGTTGTGTGGTCCTAAAGTGGAGGACAGATGAGGAAGAAGAAGCAGCAGCTGCTAGTGAGCTAACTATAGGAGCTCTATGAGTGATGATTCTGCACTTTTAAAACTGATGTTTTGTTGCGTTTAAAGGGGGTGGTGATGCACTTTTATGCACTTGCGGCCTCGGCTAGATGTTTCGGATTGCTCATTGATTGTCCATTTAATGGTTTTGTTAAGTTTAAAATAATAAAACTTCAGTATGCAAAAAAACTTCATTTCGATATACCAATCCGTTTATTCTTTTGCGAAACAAACCAAATGTCAAAATCATAACCAGCTGCCAGCCTGCGGTCAAAAAACAAAAGCTTCTTGTGCGCCACCTGAAGCAATTAGTGGGCACCTTAAATGTCCTTTGGCGCCTCCACAGCGCCACACAGGCGAATTAAAGAATGGCTCCACCCAGGGGCGGACTGGGACCATAATTCAGGCCAGGCCAATACACATTGACACGGAAATGCCAGCACCGAAGAAACGTTTTGGACATTTGAAGCCAGATTTAGTGAGTATAATGCTAATGTGAAGAATTCAACATTGGCTACATAACTGCAAATTTAATATGAAGTAATTTTAACAGGTGCTTTATGGCCTACTGAGCTAGATTTTACAGAAGGATATTCGTCACGTTTATAAAAACTCCTTATTAGTCATGCCTTTAACTATTTGTTTACTCATTTAAACTAAGAATGCAGCCTACCACATTGCTGTTATATTATAATAAAATGTTAAAGGCCTGTCAGAAAAAGTCAAAGTTCTCGAGAACTTGGATTAGCACGCACCACTAGCATTGTAGCCGTCTCAGTGTTTGTCGGCGACCTTATTAAACGGCCAGGCCACCGGGAATCAGCCCAGTGTTCCCGATGGTCCAGTCCATCAGTGGCTCCACCAGGGTATTGTGCATTTCGACATTTACAACGAAAAATGCAAAGTTACAGAGTTTGGTGTCCATCCTAGATGTATTGCAAAGTTTCAAGTCACAACGTAATTGTATGTAGTCTTAGTCTTAGAGAATAGATGTAAACTGCTCAAATCTCAGACAAACGCAAGAAAATAAAATCCGAGGCTTTTCTGAGAAAGGAAGTATAGAGTCTGAAAGAATGCACAGTACCCCCCTTCTGTGTGTTGATTTATTTTCATGTTGTCATAAATACAGTGAAAATGTCATCATCGTGATATTTTATGTCTGTGATAATGTTGAGGTAAAAACCTGATATGTTGTGACAGCCTTGATTTAGTAAGATCTGATTTTAATCATTTTCCACATATAAGACGTTTAAAATGCCAACACCAATCATCATAATTGGATGATTTAAAAAGCGGAGGATCATTCTTTGTATGCGTGAGAAGATGGATTAATATTCATGAGAGAGTAAAAAGAGATTGTATTGATTGATCATGCTGTAGTAACACACTGGCAGAGAGAAAAAAAAAAGACCTTAAGGCTGAATCTACAGGATGTGGTCCAACATGAGTGAATCCATGTGTGTGTGTATGTGTGTTTGCAAATGTGAGCCTGTCAGCAATGCAATAGGAGTTTCCATCGTACAGAAGGTCTCATGAGAAGGCTTCAGTTCACAGTTCACGCTGTGGCTTTCATCTGTCAATCACAGCAGAAGATGAGAAGATAACAGAGGTGGCCGTGTCAAAGACTCCTCATCCTGCCGTCATCCACAGGATGGAGGCTGTGCAGACTTCAGGGGTGACATGAGGAGAAGCTTTTCTGGTTAGGAGCCGATATCATCGGAGTCGGTGTGAAGCCGAGTTGTCAAAATTGTTTTCTGACACAATCCTTTCATTAATGCGGAGGCCGTTTTTTCCCCCCCCTCACACATGAGCTAAATTATGAATGCGTTGTTATTTGTTTACTTCATGTTGGACTGAGAGATGTGCATTATTCATCTGCTCTGACAGGAGAGACAGCAGAGTAGGACACTGCCCAGGAAAACATTAGAGCACTGTCTAACAAGGACGTTGTTGCCAGGGATTTGGGCAGTCATGCACATGCAAACACAATAATCGACTTTTTTCGCAACAAGCTTGTTTTCAGGCAAACCTCGGTAAGAAGACAGCAATAGAAAAAAAAAGCCAAAATGATATCCAAGACAAATTGGTGCCTCCTTTGATGGTAGCCGCTATTGTGTCTGTGCTGCTGCTGCTCACCGATCTGTGGGTCTGATTTCCAGTCTTTGTTTTAAATACATCAGACGCACAGACAGGGCCTCTGAAGCTAATTGGATTTCTTTGTGTTTCCTTCTCAGCCCTGAGAGACGATTTCCGGCAGGCCCCGAGTGACGTGGTGGTGGCCGCCGGTGAACCTGCAGTGCTGGAGTGTGTACCTCCGCGTGGTCACCCTGAGCCCGCCGTGTCTTGGAAACGCAACAACGTCCGAGTCAGCACAACCAAAGATGAACGCATCGCTGTGAGTGCAGCAGAAACACAGAACACCTACTCAACAAGTCAAGCACCCATTTTCAAACAAAGAGGAAATGCTTTTATAGCTTTTAAGCCTTTTAGACACTCCATGTTGTGCATCGAAGCAAATTTTCCCCGAGCATCTACAAATTGGACAAAGAACAAGAAAATTGGTACCTTAAAATCCCGCTAGAGACACAAATGTGTATCAATCTGTGCTTAAAAGTATCTCTAAAAATTTCATTACATTAACCAACTGTTTTATTAGATCGTCGAGCCTTTTGTGATGGAAATACAGCGCCGCACATGTTACATTATATTTTATGTCTGCAAGAGGAACAAATGGCTTTGGATTACAGAGACATTTACAGGATTGGCAGGAACGAGGGTCTGGCACATTGTTTCTTTTCTGGTCTCTTAATTGGCTTGTTCGAATATAACATGGTGTTAAATATACTATCCTTTCATACTGAGGCAAAATAAAAAGAGACAGAGGCTCATCGTGAATTTTCAGTTCATTTGCTGCTTCTTCGCTTTGTTTTTGTCGATACGTAGTTAAACAAAAGCTTGAGTTAAAAAGAAATGTTTGATAATGAATAAAACCCAAGGCGTCACTTTAAGGGTGGCTTTTTCCTTACTGTGTTTTCAATAACCCGACATTTATTACTCTTATTTCCGCTCAGGGGAAAGATAAAGTGCACATGGTCCTCCTTAACATCTGGACAAAATCTATGAAAGCTCTTAAAAGAAGTTGTTTCTAATATGAAGAAGAAATAGGTCCCTGAGATTGTTACAGGATCATCTTATTGTAATTATTCCTAATGCATGAAATTACAAGTGATACTCTAATTGTATTTTAGCATCAAAATGGCTTATATCAATAGATATGAGATGCATATAGGGGAATCAGGTGCAATATTCCCCTTTGAAATGAGGCATAAAGTGAGTATAATGTCAGTGTGAATAATTTATATCAGAGCGTTATTTGAGTTAATGTGCTAAGTAACATTCCTCCACTAAATGGAAGTAAACCAAAGTGTACGTGAGAGGTTTATATCAGAAGATTTGCTAATGTGGATTATTTTTCCATTACAGGCCGTGATGAGAAGTTTGATTTTTATCTATCTAATGTCATCAGCCGGAGCACTCTGAAGTCTAATCTCTTGAGCTGTTTTTTTTTTCAGATGCGTGGGGGCAAACTGATGATCTCTCACACCAGGAAGAGTGATGCTGGCATGTATGTTTGTGTGGGCACGAACATGGTTGGAGAGAGGGACAGCGATCCTGCAGAGCTGGTGGTGTACGGTGAGTGCGCGGTGGCGTTTATTTCGTGGATGTTTGGCGTTAAAGTGTTTAAGAGACACAAACAAGACTCAAATGATTCTCTGCAGAGCGTCCTGTGTTGGTACGGAGGCCGGTGAATCAGGTGGTCATGGAGGAGGACAACGTCGACTTTCTGTGTGAAGTCCACGGAGACCCTGCCCCCACTGTGCGATGGCGCCGGGAGGAGGGGGAACTTCCTCGTGGGAGGTGAGAGAGTTAAAGACACGAGCGGAGACCGATAGAGAGTCACACTAGTGATGCATGAACATCATACTGCATAAGAAATCCAGAGATACAAGAGAAGAGTGGTGCACTGGAATAAAAACTCATGTGACCCAGAAAACATATGTGGAGTAATTGTTCATTAATTCATGCCTGTCTGTCAGTCTGCTAATACGAATTCATAAATGGAGAAGAGACCAAAGAGGATTCATTAGCTGGATGAATCCTCCTGAGACCACTTTCAACCTTTTTTTCCATCTTAACCCAATATAATGCACATTTAGCCAGACCTATTCACTAATCACTGTCACTAATTTGAGTTGATTTAATAGCATTTTGTTTTTCAATAACTCGTTTTATTGAAAAAAACTGCAAACATTGAAATCATAAATTAACCACAGTCAAGAACTACACAGTAGTTTAAGAAATACTTCATGTTGGAAAGAAATTATACATCATACTGATTCATTTATTCAGTTAGCAAATGAATGCAGATGATATAGTTATAGATTCTCTATCTATGTAACCTTTAAATATTCGCTTTGAGTTGTGGAGAAGATTTTTACATCAGACTCAATGAAGCAGTCATACAAAGTGAAGAAGACTGAAACACTTTTGGAAATGTGCATCTATGATCGCTTAGATGAGGGGATATAAACCACAGTAGATGGTTTAACACCAAATTAAAGTTCTACAGTCAGCAGAATGTGAGCTCAGCTTTGCACAAATAAAAACAGAGATGTAGAGCTAATGCTTATTTCTTATTTGTCGATCTGTTTGTAAGAGGAGAGATTTAAGGGCTGGTGGGCTTGTTTTTTTAACTTTTTTTTTAGTTACTTTGCGAAGTGAAGTTGACTGTCTGCTAAAAGTTTAGATTTTACCATCCAGAAATTCTTGTGCTGATTTAGAAAAGATACCTATGGCCATTGAAAGTTTCACAACTTTTTTTTTTTGGTCAGTGGTGCTTACTTTTTTATTATTTTTTATCACCATTCCTCCTCTGCTCTGTAAATCTAGTACAGGATGCTGCAGGAACCAATTTTTTTAACGATTTAATCACTAATTAAAACGAAACTTCTCAGAGTAATAAGCAACAGGACATTAATTAGCACAATAAGAACAACCCATTAAGACAGGAACCATGGTTGAGAAAAAAATCTGATGCATATTTTAGTTTTATATTTATGTCCCATCCAGATTGATTTTTGCCATCCGCCAATCCCCACTGGATTTGTTTGTGAGGCAAATTTCATGGTAGTTTATGGACAGCTGGACTCGCGAGAAGTCACAAGAACCCACAGATTCACATGCAATTGCGCGATACTGAGTTGTCTCTGTAAAGACAGACACATAACCATTTAGATTATGTCCTTTAAGAAGAGGAATACCACCTCTAGACTTTGAAAATCAGCATATCCTTATCCATGGTGTCATCAGGGTGAAATGCTGTCCATAAACCTTTCACTTGTTCGTCCCCGCCCCGTTTGCATGGTGTGATATACGATCCGCCTGAAACATGGAGTGTTTTCTTCTGAAAAGAAGTCGGATGCTTTATTGTGTGGGTTAATCTGTGCTTAATGTATCCGGCATGCTCCGGCGTCTGGAAAAAATAGAACTCTTGCGATCTTCCGTGGAATCCGGCGATCTGCAGCAGAACAGAAAGAAGCCGGTGGAAATTGACGCATTAACTTGAAAGGTTACGATCAGCTATGATCAACGGATATGGCCTTTTCGTAGCGGTTCCAGATGTGGTAGAAATTGGAAGTTAACACAAAGGAGGTGGAGTTTATGACCAGTACTGCAGCCAGCCAGCAGAGGGAGCTCTAAACCTTTTGGCTTCACAGTCAGTGAGAACTCTAGCATCCATCTGAAGCTCCTGTGAGGAAATTTTTGACATTATTAAAGCAGACTTATAGACCAATAACAGACTTTGTCCACAGGGGGCGCCAATAGTTCCTCACAGGAGTTAACACTCTTCTGTATTTACCATACAGACATGAACAGGGGATTGATCCTCTCATCTAAGTCATGACAGCTAACAAAGAGTACATACCCAAAATTTCAGATATATAGTAGTGGCCATCTTCTTCCATTTTTAATTTGAATTATTTGAATGAACATGAGCGGCACTTGATATCATTATGTTATGACAAGAGTGTGTAGTATACGACCTCTGTCAGATTGGAGAACTTTTCACTTTTCAAACACTTAAAGTCACACAAAAGACTCTTTGAGGAGAAAGTTATTTCTGTATAAATTTGAAGTAAAGTCAAACATTTTTCTCATGACTGTGCCCACACATCAGGCAACAATAGAGCACCTACAAGTTTCCTCTGTAATTTTTCACTGAGCACTTTTCACTCGAGTCACTGTGACTCCACTGTCAGAATAGGTAATTAATGAAACAGCCACTTTTAATGACTGTGAAGCGTTATTATACTCTTTCATTTTTGTGTTATTTTTCACCTCTTATCTGTAACCTCTCTGGTTAATGACTGTAGAGTATAAAGCTAATGACTCTGCTTTAGTTCATAGAATCGCCTGCAACGACTAAAGAGACAAATAAGATTTCACCGCTGAGGTACGATTTGTTAACGTGAAAAAAAAAAACTCGCCTGTGGAGAGTCTGTTATAACTTTATATTTAATCTGCTGTTAAGATAAAAAAGTCAAGTGAAAAATGTCCAACACATTGAAATATTCTCATTCGTTTAAAATTGATTTTCAACTGGTTCAAGAAATTCTCCTGGAACCAGCAACTGCATCTGAGGCAGATAAGGCACATTGTTCCACTCACTCCTTTCAAGATGATTTAACCTGATTGGAAAAGCAGAAAAAAACTGAAATAGTCTGATTGACAAGAAAAAAAATGACATTATCTTGTTCTGCTGGCAGATTTTTCGCTCTTTGTGTAGATTAGCATTGTCCCTTCTGTCTGTGATGCTTCTCTGTTAGATCTTTGATTATCTCGCCTCTCTTCTTACTCCAAAGGTTTGAAATCCGCAACGGCAATAGCCTTCGTTTGTTCCGCGTGAAAGAGCAGGATGAAGGAACGTACACCTGCACATCTGAGAACAGTGTGGGCAAGACGGAGGCTTCGGCCATGTTGCAGGTCCATGGTAAGAGAACGGCGTCATGCATATTGTATACGGGGCGCACACACTCACACATGCACAGACTTATCATGCATAAAAAAAGGCCTTCATATCAGGAGCCATATTCATGCATAACATCCAGTCACATGGTAACAGTATCATGCAAAAGCCAGTCTCCTTTTTTGCGTCCAGAGCTCTGTGTTTTTAATATCAGTGTATCTGTGTGAGTCCCTGTCCAGTGGTGCTGCCAGGAGCTTATGCTAAACCGTATGGATTACGCCATTTGACAGATGTTTGGTAGATGTGTGCTTTAACTCAGTGCCAGAGAGCCGTCCCAGCATTAATAAGACATGACTCTCTCCCCCTCTCTCTTCCTGTCTCTTTATCTCTTTCCTCTCGCCTCCTCCCCGCTCTCCGTGCCCTTTTTTTTTCTGTCTGTGTGTCTCGGTTTAAATAGTCTCAGACGACTTCATCCACTAATGCTTTTATCAGTGTAAATGAAATCCAAACCCAGCTTTCACTCCGCTTCTTCTTCTTCTTCTTCTTCTCTTTTTTTTTTGTGTGGTTCTTTTCCATGCTTTCACCCGTTTTGTTTTGTGGCTCAGCTTTTCATCCATCTCATTAATTTTCCATCTTTCTCCATCATGTTTCAAACCCTATCATCATTCCGGTCGGTCCGCTCTGTGAGTTCACTCTCCATCTAATTCTGCTGTGGAACGTGCATTTGTGTAATGCTCAGTTATTGTGTGCTCATGTTTGAACGGCAACGCTTTTTAGATCAACAATCAATGCTTAATGATGTAAATAAGTCCCTCCATTAGGCACTGAGATGTTTACAACATGCCTGTTGCTGCACTCAGGCATTAAGTAAGCTTAAGTAAGACATAGGAACTTAATGTACAGCAGATTAAGGAATCCTATCAAACGCACATCTGCTGTGTGGAGGAGGAGGAGGAGGAGAGTATGTCAGGATACTGTGACACCATGCGAGCCCTTCCCCGCATTTCGAAATGCTTCTGAAAGAGTTTTGATTTAACACAGCGGTGGTCCGTGTTTAATTTTGAATCAGAACATGGTGGGTTATTATTATTAAAGAGGGACTCTGAGAATTTAGCGCCGCTTTTCCACTCCATCAAGGGACTCATTAGTTGCAGTTAAAAGTAAGAGAAAAATAATGGTTAAAAAATTGAATTAAAGGCTGAAAAATCCTGACTTTGGATTTCTTAAATAGGTCAGATTACAGAGAAGAAGAACCTTACATTTCTCATAATGCCGCTCTGCAGGATTTCAACTTTTTGGCTGTTGCAAACCATGGACAGAACAACAGCTACCCCAGCTGAGGCCAAAACTTGGATATAGGTCACACATCCTCCATTGCCACAGATGGAACCTCATTAAAGTTTTCTCTAACATGCCCTCTGCCATAACAGTTAGTTTTCATCACAACCCTTTATTTCCCTGAGAATTTTAACTGTAATAAAAACTGCAGCATCATTGAGCCGGACCTCGCACCCTTAGGCTTTTTGATGTATGATGCATGTTTGCAAAGGTTTGCCTTTTCAGTTTAGCTGAGATGCACAAACCCAGTGAAGCACATCTTTCTGCACCATTTAAGACTGAGCTGGAGCAGTTTTAGGGTCAGGTCCAGAAACGGTGTTTTCTGCATAAAAAGCTGTGATCAATTTTGATCATTTGTTTTTATATGCAATGATTTATATTCATCCATCCATTTTCTACCTCTTATTCCTGTTCCTGGGGTCATGGGGGGGCTGGAGCCTATCCCAGCTTCTTCGGGCGAAGGCAGGTGACACTCTGGACAAGTCGCCAGTTTATCGCAGGGCTGACATATAGAGACGAACAACCATCCACTCTCACATTCACACCTACGGGCAATTTGAAAGTGGCCAATTAACCTAACCCCACTTCTGCATGTTTTGGGGATGTGGGAGGAAACCCACGCACCTGACACAGGGAGATCATGCAAACTCCACACAGGAACGCCCTGACCCGGATTCGAACCCAGAACCTGTGAAGTGACAGTGCTAACCACTACACCACTGTCCCGTCCACTAATTTATATTCATATAAAAACAAATGATAAGAATAATTTTGACTACAAATCAAATCAGTGAGACGCTGAGATTGAGTTTGCTCCCTTATCTCTGAGCAGTTAAATGATAGATATACTCCACTGCAGAAAATGACAAACATCTATTCCAACATCTATAGACTCTATTATGAACATGCCTGGTAAATTGTGCGAGGGTTGTTCCTACTCTGTTCGATCAATATCAATTGAGGACTAAGTGTCTGAGACATTTTAACAGCTGATAACAGGATGTCTGTTTTATCCCACAGAAATATGAGATGAATAGCGCGCAGCAGATTCAGAATCCAATGCTGCATCATTTATTCAGACTTTTTCGTTTGTTGCACGAAAAATAAAATGAAATGTAGGCATGACTTCTGGAGAGATGAGTCACAGTTTCTTCACCTAACAAACTCTCAGGTGTCCCGATTGTTTTAGCATAACAGCGTGAACGAGGTTTTAGAAGGTAAACACTGTCGAGACTTCAACACACATTTTTTTTGCATGTAGGTGGGAAGCTCTGCTGATGGTGAGAGGACAAAATTAGACAAAAATAGTCAGGAACAAGCATCTGTGTGGAGTAAATCAGTATGTTACAGTCCTCTCAGCCTGTAGCTTCGAACACAGGATGATGTGCAGGTCACTCTTTCGAACCCTCCTCATAGCTATCCGTACTGACACGGTGCGACTTTCACTGATGGTAACATTTATAAAAATCGATAGTAGCAGTAGTAGCACCTCTTGTTCTAAATTTACTCCTAAAACTTTCCAGATTATCACCCACACATTGATATATATTTATGGTCTTTAAATTGATCTAAAAAAACAAAACTGGCGGGGAACTGCATGTGAGTCATCCATGTGGAAAAGGTGTCTGTAAAACATGCCAGAAAGTCTTTTATTCACGTTGAGCTGCGGCCAAGAGAGTACTTTCATCTGAGCTAAATAAAAACACCAAAATAAATATGTTGAAAAAGGCCAGGACACCCTGACAGGAAAGAGGAGGAAATGTACAAAACTGCTGCTACACTTCTGCTGCTTCTATTCAGTTTTTTTTTTTTTTTTCTTTACCAGCCGGGGAGTTATCTCACGCTGTTAATTCAAGCGAGCGATGACCAACAGTGATAATGTCCTGACACGACAACATCTTCTTTATCCACGATAAACACTATCACACAAGTTATGTAACTGAAATCTGCAACGACAAGGAAGCGGCATTTCCTAACGCAATTAAGCAGCCCCAAAATTAGGCTGATGCTAGAAGTCATAAGATAACGGCTGCATGAGATTAACATCAGATTTGTTTTTAAGGAATTACAGACATAGTTGAAGCAGTCAATTGTTAATGACAGCGTGAGAGAATCTGCCTTGTTTGGGAACATGCTGTCAGTGAGAGCGTAACGACTCAACACAGATGACTCAGATCCTTTGTGTATCCGGCCAAAAATGTGTATGCATGTGTGTTATTGTGTGTGCATGCAGAGATTTGTGGGGAGGATGAACCCTCGCTGCACAAGCCTCTCAGCCTCCGACGGGAAGCGTGAGCCAATTATTCTGACTGGAGGTAGAAGGCAGTGGTCAGTGTAAATCTACAGAGGCCAGGATGATGTGGCCAACGCAATGATCTGACCCGAGCTGGAAATTGGCAGCTCATGCCCAGACCTTTCCTAAAATAACCGAGTAAATGTCAACGGTACAGAGCGGCCGTGCTCTGTGATGATTTGTTATTTTCTGGAGACGGGGAGGTGATGGCTCTCATTAGAAACAAAGGGGGCGATGAGAGAGTAATGGTAGATCGAAGGCTCTGAAGGTCGAAGAGGCGACTCTTAAATCTTGACCAGATTAGTGTTTTATGGATACTTTTCTTTTAGCAGTGATTTTAAGTTTCTAATTGCATCTTCATTTTCAATATGCAGGTTTACCATCAACTTTTGTTTTTCCATCTTCTTCTTCATGTATATAACATTCATCATGTAACCTTTAGAGTGACTTGATAGCCGGTTTTATGTAAACCATAAAAATCTATCTCTACCTCAGGGCAGTAAAATGCTGCTCAAACATTGATGCAAAAGTATTTATAACTCAATAATGTCATTTATAATGATTTACCGTCCTTCCGTTGGGGACATTTCCATGCAGACTTAGTACTTTTAGCTCTGACATTTGAAGGAAATTGTACTATTATTGCGTTCTTTCACGTTGGTGGTTCTTCTTGTCATATTGGCTCTTGTGCTTTATTTAAGGACACTACGTCTTAAAAAAAAGAAAAAAAAAAAATTAGATGTGGCTTTAAGTGTAAAAATCATCTTCTTAAAAGCATTTGTAATGTTTTTTTGGTGGTATTCCCATTCTTTTCTCTCTTTCAGTCCCTCCTCAGATTGCCACAAAGCCCCGAGATCAGATCGCCTCCCAGGGGAGGAGCGTCACCTTCCAATGCGGCACCACAGGAAACCCTCCACCTGCCATTTTCTGGCAGAAAGAGGGCAGCCAGGTAAGAAGCTGGAGCAGGGAAAGAGAAAACCTCTAATCCTTTAGCAGCAGACATTTCCAGCACAGTATATTCCTGTTTTCATGTGATTGTACGGTTGCATCTGCTCTTCACAAGCCTCAGGTTTTCTAAACCTTACTCATGCAGTATTGCTTCACACCACCATTGTTTTAAAGGCGAGAAATACTTGCTGCAACACGAACAGGTTTTGTCTGATTTAATCCTACTTTTTTCTGACACCTTTTTTTTTTTCTTTGGGTTGCCCACACTCTTTAAAACACATTTTTTTCCGAGCGAAACGGGCGAGAGGCGAACAAGAGAGCGCAGCACACATTTGCATTTGGCTCAAAGATATGAGGAGAGACAAAGAGTTGGAAGGCATTGCGGTATTGCGTTGGCGAGAAATGTTTCTCCTGCTTGCGACCACAGTGCAAGAGAGTAGTGATGAAGAGAAAGGGGGGGTGAAAAGTAGAAAGGAAGGAAGGAGAGGAGAGGTAGCAGGAAGTAGACCAGGTGTGGAAGCTTCCTCTTCAGGGCAAACCTGCAGAAACACACTGTCCTGATTCCTCACTGTGCACAACTATAAATACCCTGTTGCTCAACAGCAGCTGGGATCACTGACTTGTAGAAGCAGCTTCAGATGTTTTCTCAGAAACTAGTCTTGGTGAAAACTGGAAGTTCAGCCCCAGATTTTGTGAATAAGCTTCAGAGTGTGGGATGGTTGAGGCATGGCCTGGCTGTTTGTCGGGCTTTTCGCTGTATTTGGGGGATTATCTGTAGCCTTATAACCTTGTCCCTACACTGAAGTCTAAGCCTCTTAGAGGAATGAAATGGGTGGATGGATGGATTGATGTGCATCCCCTTCCCCCTTGTTCACATCCATCTCCCTTATACTAAAAAAAACAGTGTTGGACAAACCATAATAACGTCTGTTTGTGGACATCATCTTGAAAAACATTAAACAACTCAACCTCTTTATCCTCTGTCCTGTTTACATTTTCTTCTGCCAACATTATCAGTAGGCGAGCATTTAATAGCAGAGTGGATTCTCTGAAAATTGCCAATAATTGTAGATATATTTGCTTTTAAAATGTTATCTTTTTTTAGAGAAATTAGCTTGTATTAGTGTGCCGAAAGGGTAACCTATGAAGTTGAACTCCTAAATGTTGAATCTACTAAATATTAGCGTTACTGCTAGCATCAACAGTGTGCGCTTGTTAGCACAAGTTAAAATAAAAAGTTATTAAAGTTAAAAGTACAGATTACCTCAGAGAAAATTTTTGTTTTGTGTCGGTTTTGGCGCCCCCTTCTTGCTGGTCTTCTCCTTCACATGTCTGATAGTTAAATTTATTGTTAATTTTTTTTTTTAGTTTTTTAAAATATATTTTTATAAAAATTGCAAAAGCAGGACTGTTTTATCTAAATATCCAACTTTTTAGCTGACACCTACCCTCTCACACTGGTTTAAGGCGTTAAAAATTACAACACAAAGATGTTCAGTCTTGCTGCTGACGGTCTAATTTGCTTTTGTAGCTCATAAAAAAAGCATCAACCTGAATCTAAGTCTGTTTTTGTTCAAATAAAAAGTAATGAAAGTTAAGTTTAAAGTACAGATTAAGTTAAAGCTCCTGTGAGAAACTTTTGATTTGTGTCAGTTTAACACCCTCGTCTTTGCTGGTCTTGTCCTTCACATGCTTAAATAGTGTCCTCTGACAAATAATCCATCCTGGTGATGTCTAATGGTCAAATTTATTGTTTTATGGGATTATTTTTAATAAAAAATTGCAAAAGCAGGGCTGTTTTAATCTGTTAAAAATTACACCACAAAGATGGTCAGTCTTGTTGCTGATGGTCTAATTTGTTTTTGTAGCTCACAAAAAAGCATCACCATGAATCTAAGTCTGTTTAATAAACATAAAAAAATCCCTTACTTGAGCTTTAAGTTAAAAAAAACAAAACAGTGAACCTGTAATGTTGGAGACGTAATTGCACGTAAGAGCAGCAAAGTTTTAAATGCTCTGCACATGTGTGGTGGTGATGAGTTTATTCTCATTTGGCTGTCTTACTGGGAACAAGCTCCATTAAACAAATTGATTTGAGGAACGGAAACAACTCTCAGTTGAGTTGGTTCCTTAATTTGCGTCTCGATTTTTAAAGGTCTACTTGTTTCCTCTGTTGTCTCTGCTCGTTAAATTGATTTCTGGACTTTGTGATGGACGTATTATAAAAGTTTGTGAAAATGTTTTTGAGACAGAGACAAATTAAAACAACTTTAAAGACAGAGAAAACAGTAACCTCAGTAATTAGGTGATTTAAAACAGTGCGATTGATGATTTTTTGAACAGAAGCCCAAAAAAAAGGAAAATACTGATTAATTTTCAGAAGTTTGACTCATTATTTTTGCTAAAAAACATACACAGTATTAACTTTTCTCTTATGCAAAATTCTATCTAGAGGTTATACTTATAAAACAAGTGAATAAAAGATGCAACCTCGGGGCGACCAACTGGTTAGCTGAAAATAGCTACGTTATATTCCCAGTCTAACTAATTATTTCTGTCTAGATGTTGTTGTTTCCCGGCCAGCCGCCATCGCAGTCTGGCCGTTACTCAGTCTCTATGAGCGGGGAGCTGACCATCACAGACGTCCACCCTGAGGACTCGGGTTTCTACATCTGCCAGGCCATCAGCGTGGCAGGAAGCGTGCTGACCAAGGCGCTGCTGGAGGTGGAGGGAGGTGAGTCTGCACAGTCACATTTGAACCTCGGGGAGGTTTATTCTTTATTCTGCTCTAATGAGAGGAAAACATATTAATTACTTAGTAGGTGCATAACAATAAGGTTCATAAAGACTTAGAAAGGAGTCAGTTTGAGACCCCATGCTGGATGAGCAATGAATTTCTGGCTTAATGTTCCTCCCCGGGCAGCTTGTAAGCACCAGATTTAAGCTTTTTTTCCCCCCTTTGTGCTGCCTTTTGTTTTCTGCCTACTAAGCAGCTAAATTATTTTCACCCTTTGCACTCTAACGGCTGGCAGCTTTGTAATCTTATTTTCCATAGGCCTTCTGTTCCCCTTCGATTTTTTTTCTGCACTTGCTGCAGAGATGATCAACCTAAAATTCTTCCTCCTCCACTCTCAAAATGCCAGGTCCTTCAGGTCGCGTCCCGCCGATTATTCGCCAAGGCCCGGCCAATCAGACGGTGTCTTGGGGAGCGACGGTGCAGCTGCACTGCCGGGTGATCGGTGGGCCCGCGGTCAGGATTTCATGGGAGAAGGATGGAGAGAGACTACAGGGAAATAAACTGCCGCTGACCTTGATGGATAATGGGACTCTACAAATCACAGACATAAAGGTGTGTGTGTGTGTGTGTTTACATTAAGTGAGGGTCATTTCTCCGGTAGGGCAGGAGAGGAGGAGTTTTGATAGGTGTTTGTCCTCAAACTGGAGCGAAAACTGACTCTTTGACTGACGGAAATTGCTGGAAACTTTCCCGTCTGATCTCCACCCTTGTCTGACTTTTTCCCGCTGCCCGTGAGGCGACCTATCTCTTTCTCCTTTCCTATTATGAATTCCTCTTTTTGTTGGTAAAATTAAGGTGAGGCCGGGTTTCAAAGACCAATCTCTCTAAGGCAGGCCATATCTCTCCGACGCAATTATGTGCTCATGCGGTGTGTAATTGTTATGTTAATGAAGGTGCTTGTTTGTAAATGCTAATGCGCTCTGCTTTGATGGAGGAGCAGTCAGAAGCCCCCTTTGTGCTATAACCCCACCTGGAGGTCAGTGGGTGCAGGCAGGACAGAGCAAAAAAGCATCATTTCCATTAATTGACTGGCGATAGATGATTAATCATCTGACCGGCTTTTAATTAAATCTCTTGCCCGTGACTGTATTCTCGCTCACTTCCTTCGCCGTCCTGTTTTCTCGTCCTGCTGCCGTGCTCAGCAAACTCTGAGAATTAAAGTTCGGTCCGCTGCGCCTCTGAGGCAGGGGAAATCTGCCATGCCAATGTGCTCAATGGAACAGAAGAGATGCATTAGTGTGGCATCAAGGGGGCTGACAAGGGAGGAAAAATAAGAGGGGAAATGGAGATGACGAGCCAGCGACTAAAAATATTTACCCTGCTGATGCCCCCACCCACCATGAATATTTCAGCGGTAGTTTGAGTCATCTAAAGAAGTTCACCTGCACCACCCGCCGCGCTGTCTGTCTGTCAGCCGGAGGTCAACGCTGCGGAGGATGATCTCATATGGTCTGATTATGGTTCCAGCAGACTGGCTCTCAGCCGGGGCAGGGCTGCTGAGTGAACACCAGCCAGTGTCAGGTGTATACACTTTATAATGTAAACAGCGGGGCAGGTAGAGTGGAGGGAGGTGTGCTGCTTCATGGTTTGGAGCAGGGATGCTTTCTGAGCCACCGGGAGGAAGAATTGGCATCGTTTAAGTACGCAAGAAGTGACGGGAAAGTTGACAGCAGGGGTGGAAACATTTCAGACCTTTTACATGACGCTTCAAAACTCCTGATAGGCGAGGGGTACTCAGGACTAACAAAAATAGCGATTAAAAAACCAGGTAAGGATGGAAATAAAAAGAGAATGGCAAGAATATGCAATAACTTGTGTATTTTAATAACGAAACTTAGGTCAGGACCACTACAAACATAAAACAATCCTCACAGAGCTGAGGATGATAATAATTATAACACAAAATGATTCTCTCAAAAACAGGACGACTACCAATAACAGGTGACAGCTACAAAAACTCACCAAAAGGAAATAAAAGAGACACCACCCCGTCTAAACAAAGATGAATCACTTTTCCAATCACTACTGAGAAAATCACACTAAGGCTGCTGCTGCTCCACTGCAGAATGTCACTCTGGGCTGAGAATGAGAGAGAGTGAGACGCATGTCCTCTGCAGCAGCTGCAGGTGCTGGGCATCCTGCAATCAGAGAGACACTCACAGACACTCCCACTCACTCTCACTCTCACTGAGACACTCCCACACAGGTACATGCTCACTTTCACATGCAGACACATCCACACAGATACTCACACACTCACGTTTGGACACCCACACACATATATTTGTAACAATCAGATTTTATTTTATTTTCAGAATTTACATAGAACCATACATCACTTCAATTCAAATAAGGTAGAAAATGACAAGGAAAGGATAAAACATGAGGGGAAAAAAGATATCAAAACATAAAGGGTAAACAAAGAAAAACCTCCACAACAACAACCCAAGAGCATGTCATCAATCAAAAAATATGTGTCCATGTACTTATAAAAAAGTGTTTTTTTGTAACCAGTCAGCTCAGTCTGGGACCTCCTAAACCTCCTCTGTATAGTTTCACTTAGATCTTGAGGCAAGTAATTCATAAGGGGCTGCCATCTGTCCATAAAGATATCATTTCCCTTTAATTTAGCACTTAGCCTTTTCATCGGTAAAACTGTAAAAAATTCAGTTACAGTGGGAGGTTTGTCGGAGGTTTGTTGCGTGTCCAATTAAATAGTATACATTTTCTGGCCGAAATAAGAGTTTATTAAGTAATTTTGATCGTCTCACATCCATAACTCTATTTGTAACTCTGAATTTTTAAAATCACCATATGATGATTGATTAATTAAGACCAAAAACAGAACAAAAAAAGACTGGATGTTGTAGTTTTGGGTGTGGTGCACTGAAACTGAAAATTTTAACTTTTTGTATTAGAAAAACAAAAAAAAGTTCTGTGATTGAAGTGTTCAGGGGCTTTTCCACTCTAGCATTTTTGTTTTCGACTGACAGCATCAGTGACCTAAATTTCAGAGCACTTATTGACGAGGTCTTAAGTTGCTAGGTTACAGCGGATGTCATTCATAGTGGTCTTTGGCTTTATATGAAAGTGCCCTGCATGCGTCTTCATTGTTTTTATTGAATGACATTTTATACAGAATAGCTGATACAAATCATGTCATTGCAACAGATGCTGGGCGCAGACGTCAACAAACTGCAGTTCAGTGAGAAAATATGCGCTGCCGGTCGATAAAGCGTGTCAGCAGACGTGATTTCAACATCAGGAGTTTGTGTGAAGGGAAATAAAAACAATGTAGGAAAACTGTTAAAGTGAGATCCGTCAGAGGTTTAGAAATACAAGATGCTGCGGGAAATACTGCCAAAAAATTGGAATTACAACAGCGGACAGGGATTAAAACATGCTGAGTTAGCGTCTGTTTTAAGGGCACACCTGTAGAAATGCATTTTTAAAAGAGAGCTAAAAGATGATAGAGAAGTTGCCGCTCTGATCACCTTAAGGTGGAGGTTGTTTCAGAGGGTGGGGATCCAGTCTGAGGAATGGTGAGCAAAGCCTTGGCTGAGGACTTAAGGTTATGAAGGGAGGAGGTGCTTTAAAGGTTAGTCTGCCTTGCTCCTTGCTGGGTGAAGCCACTGTGAGAACAGCACCCTCTGTTGATGGGCTGCAGTATAGGTCATAAATCCCGCCTCCTCCAGCAAAGCTTATGGGGCTGTGGACAAACTTTAGAAATTTATTACACAGAATATAAACTTTTCTTCCCCTGCCTTCGATGTTGACATGTAGTTACTGTAAGACTGGTTTGTGCTCAAGTCCTCTTTTCTTCTGATCAGCTCAGTTTTTAAAAGTTATTAGGGGGTTCATGTTTTCTGTGATTGACACTTGATACAGCCTATAGGCGTATGAAGATTGTGTAGCTCACCAAGGGGATACTCTGTTTAAGCCAAGCATCATCACAGCGACTCTCCCACCGAATGTGTACAATGCTACTGCCCACTGTTTGTTTCGGGAAGTGGAGAAAAACTGTGGAATTACAGAGAGCTTTTCAGCTTTAAATCTGTATACAGGCAGAATGCGGAACCAAGTTGTCTGTAGTATATACAGTCTATGGTCCAAATAGGTCAAGATAAAAGTATGAATGAGCTGTTGTCTGGATAAAAACAACCTAACCTTGGAGAGTCTCTTCAGCTTCAGAGTCTCTTCACTATCGCACCGCTAGGTTGACATCCTGATTCTTGGGGTCAGATAAATAGTAATAGAGTCAAAGTACTTTTCTATGTTTAAACCTAAAAGATAAAATAGTAACATGATGTTTGAGTAATTCAAATTGTCTGTTTAGTCAGTACACGGGTTTCAGTAAATATTTATGCATCGACTGCCACATACACACACACTGAGAACATTTTCGGTAAAAGCAGGATTTTGCTGTTGAGGTTCTTGATACAAACTCTTTTAAAGTTGTTGAGGTATATCAGAACCATTAAAAAGTACTCACAGCACTTGTTCAGGATGTGGCTGTTGGGGGTGTTTCTGTCTTAAAAGCCGACTTCTGTGTAACAGGACACGGACTCGGGGATGTACACGTGTGTGGCATCGAGCCCCACAGGGGAGTCGAGCTGGAGTGGGATGCTGACTGTCAGAGGTACTCAGACCACTCACACTCACACTCTTGTCTTTCTTTTGCACTTCACACTCTGTCACTCTCACACTACACCTCCGTGCTTAAGAAAGTACTTACTGTGCCAATGTTTTTCACAAGAGTCTTCAGCCTTAATAGGACTAAACCAGCTTCAGTTCTTCACTTCAGCCCAAATGTTCATCACAGCTCCTCCACTCTTGTGATGTAATATGATTGTACTTTTTCGCTCTGGTTGTGTAACAGAGGATGGAGTTTCATCAGTTTCAAGAGTTTCTGAGTTCATCCAGCTCCCGGGTCCTCCGCAGAAACCTGTGGTGACGGAGGTGACCAAAAACACCGTCACCCTCACCTGGCAGTCCAACCCACATGAAGGCGGAGCTGCTGTCACCTCCTACATCATCGAGGCCTTCAGGTACACGGTGACACTCAGGCTTTTGAGCTCCATTGTCTGAGCTGGTCTCTTTGAATGTTCAACATATTAACCCTCTGGTTTCGCCTTACTCTTGTTTACACTTAAACCCTTATGTTCATAATATGCTCATTTAAGAAATAAAGCTATAAAAACATACTTAAATATTATTGGATTGTAGTTTTTTGGGGCTGTTTTTTTGTCCACATCTGCCCTAATTATAGATAAAAAAAATCAATAATTTTTCAATTTTTTTAACCCTTTTAGTGCCAGGTTTTTGCGATGATGCTAGCCTGTTGAATGGGTTTCAATTGAGCGTGTTATGCTCATAATGTTTCCAATTTATGCTATTTGCATGAACACAGTCAAAGTTATTGAAAAATTCAAAACAAAATGAGCGTATTATGAGCCCAGAGTGCCCAGAGGGTTAAAGACCCACTCTGATAAAAATCATGTTTTTCTTGTTTTTTATATGGTTTTATGGCATTTTTCTGATGTTACAGGACATATCATGAGAAAACTAAATGCGAAATTGCTTTTCTGTTTATTTCTTTATTCAAATCACTGTGAATCTCTGGCAGACCCGAACAGCAGGATCAGACACAGTGAGATTTCATATGTAACCAATCCAAGCTCCGCCCCCTGGAGCCCCACTATGCAGGCCACACTCTGAAAAGTAGAGAGGACGATCCCGGAGCAAGCGTGTGCGTTAGCGGATTGCAATGCTCGTAAGAAAGCTAATTTTGATTAGCTTTCATCGTGTCCCTAAAGACATTAGTATCCGAGAGCTGAATTGATCCTTTGTTACCTGCCACTTCTACTACACTGACAATATGAGGCTGCAAATGTGACGTCGAGTGTGCAGAGCAGCGCTGACTCCACCCATGGCATATTGCTAATGAGCTACTGGAGCTCTGCAGAAGAAAAACTCTTGAAAATGACACAGGTAATGTGATTTTGGAAAACTCCATAATCACAATTTAAAGAGCACTAAGAACACTTTAAGTAGTAAAAAAACAAAACAATCGGAGTGGGACTTTAAAGCTCCTATGAGGAGGTTTTGTGACACATAAGAAACAGACTTATTTAAAGCAAACAAGACTGTCAACGACAACAGAGATGATTTGTTAACACAGCATGCTCATAATTTTCATTAGAAATCTTTCAATGCTTGTTTGTCATGTCGGAGACCACTGGGATGCATATTTATAATAGTATTTATGATGCAAATGTTCTATCAGTGTTATAGGGTGGTGCACGAGGGAAAAGAAACAAGCAGGAGAAGCGATGATTGAAGAGACGAGAGGATGCAAAATGATGGCAGGAGCACAAAGAAAGTACAGGAGCATGTTTGAAAAATAGATCCTGTGAAGGTCACCACCGTCACTAAGACAATGAAGCGCTTAATTAGTTGCGTAACAAACTTTTGAAACTTAGTCATCAATAATTGTTGCTGTTTGATTCCGCAGGATGTGCAACTTTAGTGTGTCTGCCAAGAAGGGTGATGCTACAGTGACCGAGCCGGATCAATATGACTGTCATGTTCTTTTTTTTAAAGTTTAGAGGAAGATAAGTCCGTGTTTTTTTTTTTTAAATCAAGACAACCAAAGAAAACTGGCATCCTTGCTCCTAAAATCCTCCTAAATCAGCAGACACCCTACAGGGCCACAGTCTGATGCACGACTTAAAAACAGTCTGCAGCTCTTGAAGATGGATCATCATCTGTTGCTCATGAGACTGTGCCAGCGTTTCATGGGGCACTCAAGCCGCCGTCACGCATTCTTTACAGCTGGTCAGCAATATATCTGGTCTGATAAATGCCCATAAATGCCTGGGAAGACTCTTTTTAGGCTGCTAAAACAGGCCACAGTGTCTAATCTTGATGTCCAGAGGTATTTCTTTTTAGATTTCTTTAAATAGCTCATGAGAAATGACAGAAACAGATAGGTGTGTGTCTTTAAATCTTCTCCTCCTGGCCGCAATAACAGCAGCCATCTGTGCGCAACACTGGGTGCCTGGATTTGCACCTTCTTTCCAAAGGTATAATATTTACACGCAGTGAAAATAACAGAGGCTGTTTTAGCCTTAGGAAATCACAAATGGTGCTGAATTAACACATTTGCATTTTCTCCTCTTAGTCTGAGAGATGCAGTGCTGTCAGTAGATCAGCTTGCACGTTTTGTTTTGCAGGTGCATTGAAGTTTCTGCACGTTCACGTCGTAAATCAGGCCCTTAATAGCCTGTTAAGCTGCGGTATTTCTTTTATCGGTGGTCTGGCTTCAGTTTGGTAGCTGTGAGAGCGCCAGGAGTGAAATTTATTCTAGTTATTGTCATTGTGTAACCTCATTTCACTTCTCCCTGAGTTTGGCTAAGATGGATTAATTCAGGCTGAACACTTTGAAGCACTCTCCGCTCCTGATTCAAACCTCCCTATCTTGAAAAGATACTCTCTCTGTTTAATAATAATCTGACTGTTCCCAGATAATGAAGTCGTCTTCATTTAGACTCATCAGGATTTCAAAATGTCTCATCTCTGCCCGAGGGAAAGAGAGTCCCCGTTAAGTGACGTCCTGAAGTGAAACCACGACACTTGCTGGATCAGTTTTTAGCTGCGGCATCCCGAGGAGAGCCGGAGACAGTGAGTGAAGGAGGAGACAATTACTGCAGTGGTCAGCTCTGTCCTGTCCCGGGGCAACAAAAGGAGGAGGGGCGCTAGCTGCCCGTTTGGAAAGATCAGTCATTACAGAAGAAGTGGAGAGGGGACAAAACGAGACGCAAACACACAAAAGTCCAGTCAGCTGTGTGTGTGGAGAGGAAACTCAGTGTCACGTAGAGCTGGTGATAAAAGGATGTCTCACTTTAGCGCCGACAGCATCAATAAAGACGTCAAAACCTAAATTTATATGTCAGAGGACCGTTTATTGTATACAGTGGATAAAAATACTGAAACTAGTGTTATGAAAGCGGAGGAATCTTGACGTAGAAGCAGCCTCTGTTGTTTTCACTTCAATCCCATTAAAATCTGCTGTTTGGAAAGAAAAACTCAAGAGTCTCGATTTAAATGGCAAATAGTTTCTCCTGGGAACATTTGGTGAGAAGGGTGACAGAGAAAGAAATCACTGAGGATGGAAAACGCTGCAGCGTGCATGTTGTAATTACCTCGCCATTTTCTTCTCTGTGGAGTTGCAAAGGAAAATGTTAAATTGTGCTCATGCTGTTTGATAGTCCTCGTCCCCGAGCAATACCGGGGCTGTTGTATCCTCACTGGACACATTTGGAAACCCTCCTCATAACCTGCTGCAATAAAAAGAAGAAGGGAATAAAGCTAGCTATTGCTCTGTGTCTTAGCTCAAACTGGCTGTATGTGTTTTAAGGCGCTCTGGAAACAGCTAAAATGCTTATTTAGTTAACTGTACACTTTAAATCTGGGTTAGTGTTATAACGTTTCGAAACAGTCTTGGTTATTCAAATCAAGTGATATTTTTGTTGGTTTTATCATCAAATTATAGATTTGGAACTCAAGTTTTCATGATAACACAAGATTATTGTGTCACGTGGCGAGTTTTTGTCACTGCTAGGCCGGCTTTTTAGTGTTAAAGCTCCAGTGAGAGTTTTTAATTGTAGGGTGACCATACGTCCTCTTTTACCCGGACATGTCCTCTGTTTTGGGGGCTGTCCGGCCTTGTTCAGTCTTGTCCGGGGGAGTTTATAAAATCCTTCAGATGTCCGGGGTTTTGTATGGAAGTATTGAGTTTGTGTCGCGTGGACTTACTGAGTTAGAACGTGACTCCGCCCCCGTGTAGTCGTATCTTCTTTTTGGGGATTCAGGATATGGTCACCCTATAACTGGTTATGAAACAGACTGAAATTAAGAGTGATGTATCTAACATACAAAAGTAAATTTGAAAAATTCCATAGTTTTAGTTTTAGACACGCTGAAGAAATAGCTTCAGGTTACTTTACCCAAAGTGGAATAGTCACGGTGGGGGATACATTTCACTGTGGAAAGACAGTAGGAGGAGATGTTGTTATTTTACATCCCTTTAAGATGAAATTATCAACAATTTGAAGAACCACTTTGTCCACAGGAGGCGCCAAAGTCAACACAGGCTGAAAATTCCCCACAGGAGCTTTAAAAAACAGTCAAAATATATATGTATTTCGTAGTGTCTCAGTTATCTCTTTAACAGTCAGTACGTTCATGTGACACTTGAGAAAACCGAATTATTGCCTTACTCTGATTAAGACCGCACAACCGAAGAGCATGTTAACACTTTCGTCCGACTCCAGTCGGAGTTTGAGAACTCCGATTGAAGTCGAAAAAGTCTGATTTAGACACCCAGATAATGCGATTGGAATTTGATTTTCTCTACCAAGTAACCAGCGTAGTCTGCGAATGATTGGTCAATGCATGTGCTCATGCGTCATGCCCCCGTAACAGACAGTTGTATTGGGTCAACTGGAAACAGCTGAAAAAACCCATATTGCTCCCTAGTTTAACATACAGTAGACGGACTTCTCTCTCTCTCTCTCTCTCTCTCTCTCTCTCTCTCTCTCTCTCTGACATTGCCTGGTCCACCTTCATCTGTCTGTTTCTATCAGACTATCAGCAAAAGGGCAAAAGGTGGAGATCAAATCTGCTGTTATCTGAAGATGACATGATAATGGAGCCGTATGAGGCTCGTACGATAACAGGAGAGAAACGACGTGGGCTGCACATTAGCACATTTGAAACTTTACATCCTGCTGAACATCTTCCTGATTAAGATCTTGACTTTGCGTAGCACTTGACTTTCCTTGAGTAAATTAGTAAATGTGCTCTTTTTTCTCACAGTTGGGATAAACCATGGTCATATATACATGTTTATGTTGTGAGATAATAAAATAAACGTGTCTTTTTTCCTTCCTTAGTCAATCGGTGGGCAGCACCTGGCAGACGGTGGCGGACCACGTGAGGCAGGAGAGGCACACAGTGGTCGGACTTTTCCCAAACACCGTCTACCTCTTTATTGTTCGAGCCGTCAACTCTTACGGCCTCAGTGACCCCAGCCCCATATCTGAGCCCGTCAGGACGCAGGGTAAGTTGTGTTTGAGAGAAAAAAAAATCAGTTTTCTGTTTATATTTTCCTCCGATGAATCATTCCCTACTATCTTTACAGAAGTGTATCTTTATAAAGCAGGAAATTAGAGATGCAGATTGTACAGCAAACACAAAGATAATGTGCTTCATGGTTTAGAAAAACTTTGCATATGAAGTCTGAAAACTAATTGCTTTCTCAGTGTGATACTCTCCTGCCTTAAGCCACGTTTAATTATATCAAAAAGCTTTCATTTTGTGAGCTGAATATGTGCTGTTCAGCAGTTATTTTTAATCCTGGATTTAATGTTTGTCTTTGTTGTTTCAGATGGGAGTCCTACAGAACAAGGCGTGGACCACAGACAAGTACAGAGAGAGCTGGGAGAGGTGTCTGTCTACCTGCAGAAGCCTGTCGTTCTGTCTCCCACCAGCGCCAGGATTTCTTGGACTGTGAGTCGAGCTCTTGGCTGATGAAAACGTCTACTTTTCAAAGTCGGCTTTTGGATGTGCGGAGGACACGCTAATCTCTAAACATTAACTTCAAAACCTCTTCCAAATATTACGTGACACAAACAGATTAACTCTGAGTTCAAACACAGCTCGTTCTGCTCCTGTTTACTGATGTAAATATTAAACTCTCTGACTGTATTTTGCTGTTTTTGTTTTTCCAACATTCCCCAGGTTGCCCGTCAGTCTCGGTACATCCAGGGTTACCGTGTATTTTACCGAACCATCGGCAGCTCCTGGCTGGTCCAGGATGTGGAGGCCACCTCTGACCATAGCGCCATCTTAGTGGATCTGCAAGGCAATAAAGAGTACGAGATCAAAATACGGCCGTATTTCAACGAGTTACAGGGACACGACAGCCTCATGGTGCTGCTGCGTACACCCGAGGAGGGTAAGGAAGTGCATCAGAATAAATAAAAGCCATTATCATGGTTTGATTATCAGCTTATCAACAGAGAGAGTCCACTTAAGCGCTATAATGCAATAATCTGGCCGGTATCTGTTTGTAAAAGAGCAAATTAAATCTGTAATTTCCTCTTTTCCAGCTGTGAAACAGCCGAGATACAAACTAAGTGGCTGCTAGCTCCAGAGATAGAGATTGATCAGAATATTTGAGGTTTATCCAATTACAGTTTGCAACACGGCACTTTAAAGCTCCTGTGAGGAACTTTTTGTTTTTGTTGATTTTTCTATTAGTGTTTCTTGGTGAAAAAAAAAATCATCCTGCTGTCTTTTACAGTTAGATAGAGAAAGTGGAAAAGTGCAGTTTATCACTCAGTCTGACACCTACTTCCTGCCAGACACTAAAAAGGACAATCTGGAAATAGTCTCTCTTCTTGTCATTTGTCTTGTTTGCTTTTTGGGGCCAGAAAGAAACAACAGTATTTCAGATTGTTTCATAACCAGCTAAAAACTCCTCATAGGAGCTTTAAAACACAATAAATTTAGATTATTTAAAGCTTATGAACCTGGTTATGAAAAAGACAGATAAATTCAAAAGACATAAATTGTTGTTTTTAATGCCACTGTCATTAACATCACTTTTTTTGTGTGTTTTCCCCCCAAAAAAGTTACTTCATGAGTGATAAATCTGAGAAATTTGTTAAAATCACCATTTACACCTGATCATTACAAACTAGGATGAGAGGTGACACTTTGTCCGCAGGGGCGCAGATGTCAACACAAGCTGGAGTGTCTTCATGAGCGCTTAATGAAATTTACTAAAAGGCCCGTAAAGATGTAACACCCCGGAGCATAATCCATAATGTCTTATCCATAAAGTAATGATTAAAAAATGACATTTGGAAAAGAAAATAGAGGCAGTGTTGAAGTGTTGCACTTAAGATTCATGCATTTGTCAGCTGGCATTTAAGTTGATCTTTAAAACATCCCAAAAAGTGACATATTGAGACGAACACCACAGCTAAGCCAAGCCTTGTTCATTCATTCAATTAAATATACAAGTACAACTAAAATCATAGAAAATTACACGCCTTCTAAATACATCATGGACCTCTAAAATAGTGTGTAACTACTCCTTCTGTATCAGTCTTTACTCATTTTAATATGAATTCCTTCTTATCTCTGTCTGCAGTGTTAAGTGCAGCTCCACAGGCGGTGTCAGTGGTTCAGCTCACCAACAGCACCAGCATCAGCGTGTCCTGGGAGCCTCCGCCTCATAACACTCAGAGCGGGATCATCAGAGAGTACAAGGTGAGACTGCAGCTTTCAGGATGAGTCCAAACATCTCCCTAGACGTCATCTGACAGTGTGTATCCTCCTCCTCCTACTGAGTGTTTATCCTGCTTTTAGGACGGTCAAGCGGTGACACAGCTGTAGGCAGTGGAAATAGAGTGGAACAAATTAGCCGTCTAATCCACCATGTTTGTATTTTTATCCCCAAATTTGTTGTTTAGACACTCATGAGAAACACTGATTTTAATTAAGCATTAGTAATTACTCATCGCCTCTTATCAGCTGCCAGAACAGAAAGAGACTCGATTTTGTCATCAGATTCTGGGCTGAACGCTGACTGTCCTTGTCATCTGCTCTTCTCTGTGAAAAACACCGAGTTCTGATTATCAGTCTCTTAGCATGAGCGCCACGCTGATTACTAATCACCCGGCTGCTATTCCAGGGGAAAAAAAAGAAAGAATGAAAAAGAGAGAGAAGGAACACACAGTTCTTTTGTTTTGAAGTATTCTTCCAGTCAGCGTGGAGAAAGTTATGAGAAGTCTGATCATGAAACAGCAGATTCGTTCGGTCTGTGTGGAGGCTCAGCAGCCCAAGGCAGGGATCACACTTAATCCCCTTAAAGATTCAATTTGCTAAAAAGTTCAGCCTCACAAAGCCGTCCGAGGCAAAAATGTCAAAAAATGAAATGTTCCATTTGTAGTTTTGTGAAGCAGGTTTCGATGTCATCATAAAAACTTTATCATTTCGAGGTTTATAGCGTTGACTGTTATGTAGATTACATCGTAGGTGGGAGGTGATTCATACCTCGATTTAAGTTTTGGACTAACTTACATTTATGCTCAACTGTGGCTTTAGTGACCTTATTAATGAATTTCTGCAGATTTAATCGCTCATCTGAATAACAGCTGAAGTTTACTCCACAGGGACCAGCTGCAACATTAAGATGCTAATTTTCCGCATGAATGCTTTAATTGTGAAAGCATATTGCGCAGTTAATTTTTTAAATATAGAAAGAGGCCAAGCAGCTTTTGACAAAAGAGAGGATAATTTCTCATCCACTCAAATAAAAGCCGAATTAATAAACGGTTATTTATTACACCGAGAACCTGCTGCCACAGTTTTATTTAGTCCAAAGTGACAAATGATTTATGTTTGTGAAAGTAAGGGAACATTTTGGAGAGTATCACTGAGTTCACAGATTTAGTTTGATCCTCTTTATATGAGTGACTTGACGATACAGTTTATTGCAGTGACAGCATATTTACTCAAGCACTTTACTGAAGCCGCAGGCGTAGAATTCAAGTCTAAGATTCAAGATTAAGTCTAACCCGAGTCTTGGTATTCAGGACTTAGACCTGGTTTCGACTCCAGCACTGATCATTAAGATATGAATTCAGACTTAAAGCCTCAGTAAGGAACTTTTAGCTGATGTCAGTTTTTGCTGTCTTTTCTTATTCTGTCTTTTACATGCAGAAATCTCATCCTGCTGACTTCTGATACTCAAATTGATCATTTATTGTGAATATTTGATGTAGAAATTGTAAAAACAGAACTGTTGGCTGACACCTACCCTCTCCCGCTGCTTTATGGTGTCAAAAATTGAATTACAAAATTGGTCACTCTTAATGTAAATAGTCTTGTTTGCTTTCATTTGTCATAAAAGAGCATCAGAGTGAACTTGAGCCTGTCAAAAAACTCCTCTCTGGAGCTTTAAATAGTGTCTGCTGTATGACTCACAAAGTAGAAAGTAGTGATGATTACATAAGATTTTTCCAAACAGACATAATAATTGATGTTCAAAACCCTATTCCACTAAGTTGGGAAATAGCGATAAACGTAAATAAAAACAGAATATAATGATTTGTAAATCCATTTCAACCAGCCATGAAATTCTGAGTTAATTATGATTTCCAAAAGAAAATAAAGTTTATGAGTTTGAACATGAAATATCTTGTCTTTGTCGTGTATTCAATTAAATATAGGTTGAAAAGGATTTGCAAATCATTGTATTCTGTTTTTATTTACGTTTACCACAATTTCCCAACTTCAATGGAATTGGGTTTTGTAGTTGTAGTTTAGTAGTTGTAGTTTAGTACATTTGTTAAGCTTCATGTGTGCTAATAGGCCACCCAATTTAGGACAGCTGAAGACGACCAGAAAAAGTGGCGAGAAGAGTCTAGGGGGGAGACATACAGCGACGGGTCATAGCAGGGAGACTGCAGCCTCTGTATACAAGTCACACACTTGAACTGCTTGGAAAGTACCACTAAATCCATTCTTGTAGCAGTGATTTATCCCGGACTTGGCTCTGATTCCTCCCTGGTGACTCCTCTACAACACTGACTTGAGCACAAATATAGCCGTACATGAGTATTTCTGTTTTGTGCTACTTTTTACTCCTTCTCTACGACAGCTTAGTCCACAAATGTGAGACTCATACTCCATCACACATGCGGTGAAAACTCTAATCTCAAAGTTTGATGCGTTTTATTGCACACCTTTGAAAAAATAAACTCCAGCTCAGCCAGTTATCGAATCAGAATAGCAATTACATCTTCTCGCACCAATGCAACGCCACTTCTCCTGTAATTAAAAGTGACTAACGTTGATCAAACATTCTGCATAATGTGCCATTTCACTTTAGGAACTGTGAGTACATCTCGCTGTAATAGTGTTCCTGCTTTCACGAATGCAAAATCGATTTGATAAGCAGTAAATCCTACCGTTGTTCACTTTAAAAAGCACTCTGCTATCACAGCCTCTGTGGGTCTGACATGATGGATGCTGCTGTATAAAAAACATCACAGGGTCAGTAAACCCACCGTGCTGACTTCAGAAGTCTTTCTGCTGGAGCAGCCTGTGCCGCACATTTTAATATTGTTTCAGCACTTACTGTTATTCATAACGCTTGCTTGGCCGCTGCAGCCAAAGATACAACCATATTTTTCATGAGGTTGATTGATCAAAAAGTTCATTACTTTTCAATTTGATCCAGTAAAAAAAAGACATCATTTCAAGAAACAAAGCAAAGAATTAACAGATAATTTATCGCATAAAGCTCAACATTTGACTATTTGTCTTTAATTTGCGGTGGATTCATTTAGTAGTTTAATGCAACAGCTTTAGCCTCAGGAATCTCAGTTTTTATTTCACTTTTTAACATTAATCTCAAAGCGGGTATATTCAAAATAAAGATTAAAACTGTCATTGCATTCATATCCCTTTCTCTTTTATCTCTGCTGTATCTTTGTTGTCATTTTCCTCCCTGCACTATCAGATTACGCTTTAATATCAAGGAATAAACCTGTCTGATTATATTTATCTCTGTGGAAATTTGTTTTAATATTCAAACGTTAACCTTTCATGTGTGGATTGGATCAGGTTTGGTGTCTGGGCAGCAGCATGGAGCCGGAGCATCAGATAAACCGAACGGTGGACGGAGCGGTTCTGTCCATCCTGCTGACAGGCCTGCTGCCTGACGTCCGCTACACCGTCGCCGTGGCTGCTGTCACCAGCTTAGGCGTGGGTGCTCAGAGCCCGCCTGTCAGCCTGCTCCTCAGTGAGTCACTCAAACTGCTTCAGCCACTACACAGAGAGAAATATGGCGAGATGCTCCCTTTAGCGGGCTCAGTTTCCCGTGGGTGAAATATGTATTGGGAATGCTGACGCTGTGGTGTGAATGATTTAACAGAGGCTTAATCAGAACTGATGTTAGGAGTGTAAAAACATGGGAAAGTGTTATTCATAGACACACACACACACACACACACACACACACAGGTGGGTTTTGTGTTGTAGCCCTGAGGTGGTGCGCTTTAGTTTGTGATTTCTGGCACCTTTTTCTCGCCGCCTGTTGTCATGTTTTCAAAAGAACAACTTGATTATGCGACTGACAACAGCCGGATTGACTCTGCTGGGAGGCTACAAAAATCCTGTCTGGAGCAAAGCAGGTGAAAATGTTGTTTAGGTTGGAAAAAACAAGAGGGGGAAAAGCAACAACTTATTAAAGATACAGCTGAAAACCACATTTACACATAAATACAACAAAAAATCATAAAATTGGAGAGCTTTTACAACATTTGATCTATTTCTAGTTTATAAAAAGTGGATTTAGCCTCAAGGTTTACGAAGTCAAGCCATGAAAGACGTGCCTCTAAATGACCAGCAGGGGGCCAATGCACAGGTTGCAAAATACGAGAAGTATGATTATATTTATTCTTTGATCAGTAATTCTGTAATCTGTAGTAATTTAGTAGTATGTAGGGATGTCCCGATACTCCTGATACGATGCCATTATTGTAACCTTCAGTATTGGCCGATACTGATATTGATACGATATAAGCACAAACTTGTGCATGACAAGTTTTGCTCTCAGCTGCAATGTCTTTTTCTGACTTATACAAAAAATACTGACACATAGCCGACATCACTCCTACTCATTCCTACTTTGTTATTACCTTCATACACACTGTTGTTTTGATTAAGTGGACTCTGCACGCCGGATCAGGGCGCTGCTAGATAGCGGTGCTGGAGCGGAGTCTGGAATAGACTGCTTGTATTGGAGATTATAGATGCAGGCCGATATAATCCAGTATTTGTGTTTGCCGATATCAATATCAGATTGGGACATCCCTAGTTTAATGGTCTAAGCCCCTATTTTCAAGTAGTCTTTGACACGGTATTTTTAAATTGAAGTCCCAGTTAGAGTCTGACAGTAAAGTGGGTGTGGCTCAGGAAGTGGCTACATGTGATTGACAGTTAAGGTGGATTTAAACATATCATTCATGCCCCCCCAATCCAAAAAATTCTGGATACACCCTGACAAACATGAACTTGATCATAAATCAGCTCAACTAAGTCTCAAACTTTGCTGCTTTTCTCTCAGCTCCCTCGCTGGACAGGACCTTCACACCCGCCAAGAAAGGCGGCAACCTCAGCATATCAGAGCAGATCACCAGTGTCGTCCGACAGCCGGCCTTTATCGCAGGTCTGGGTGTCGCGGCCTGGTTGGGGCTGATGGGCTTCAGTGGTTGGCTCTACTGTCGGCACCGCAGGAGGAAACAGCTGGGACACTACACCACATCCTTCGCGTACACACCTGCAGGTTCGCTGGAAAAGTCTGATTTGTGTTTCTTATCTAGATCCTGACAGCTGCCGGATGTTCAAAGTATTAACGGGGATATGTTTCATATCATATACAGATGGAGTTTGGGGATGTGACATTTCTGGTAGATTTTCAGCACCTTTGGGTTTTTTGATGTCAGGGAGATTTCTCCTTAAAGAGCCAACTTTGGATCGTTGGAAAAAGTTACCGTGATGTGATCCAGGAGGATTTTCAGACACCCTTAGATGCACTCTGTCACATTTGATTCATTACATTCCTCTTGTTCACCAAAAGGAGAAGTAACAGAGAAGAGGAAAGACTCGAGCTGTGATAAAGCAACGTGTCAAATTCAGTTTTGAACAATTGGCAGAGACGGAGCTCTCAAAAGACCGCTGGAGTTATCTCCTGCGGTGATAAACGATTTTGGTTTAAGTTGAATCTGGCAGAGGGGGCTCATGCACTTTCACTGTATTTTCTGTAATTAAAACATATTCATCCCCACTGGGTAGGAATATCACTGAAGCTTACATAAGCTCCATGCAGTTTATTTTAGAATAAGCCCTTTGGTGCAGAAACACATTGGTAGTTTTCTGACTCGGAGAGATATTTGCTTGTGGTTGCAAAAACTCAATGGATGGCAGAGAGCTTAAGAAAAACTGTTAACTTGGTATAAACAAGATTTATACTTTATATCAGCTCTGGGAGTGTACATTACATGATTGTATGTGAAAACTACTCTGGATTGATTTTCTCTAACAGTTGGCTTCGCTCACAGCGAGGGATCTGGAATCATCAACGGAGGGTAGGCTGAATATGACGTTTTATCAACACAACATCTCTAATAAATATCTCTATGATGAATGTGAATATTGATACAACACCTGTCTCTTTTCTAGGCCTGGTTTGCTTGGATCAAATATGGGTAACTACCCCTGGTTAGCTGACTCTTGGCCCACTCCGAACCTCTCTCATAACGGCAAAGACTCAGTCAACTGCTGCTCAGGCAAACTGGACACCGACAGATATTATAACAGTAAGAGCTACCTGCCTTTAAATGTTCGGTTAGATAACTCTATTCAGAAAACTCATATCTGTCTGTAACATTTAACCATCCAGGCATCATGAACTACCCCAACCAGACGGAAAAACGCAGCACAGCATCCACTGACAGTCCCATCTACAGCACCATCAACACGGCTGCGGAGGACGACCTGCTGGCGTACTATGACACCTACTCCAGCACCTCCTACAACCAGGGGCCGGACCCATACAGCAGCAACCCTGTACTGTCGAATACTGGGCTCGCAGGTCTGGAGCAGGACCTGGACCAGTGGACATTACAGTCCGGTCAGTCGGGGTCTGAATACGCCAAGCTCCAGTACACCAAGAAAAATAACGGTACGTTTTCCTCGCTGCCTCTTTTTATAGAAAGCATAAAGGTCGGAGAAGAAGATGTCGTGTTCACCTGCCTGTACATATTTTAAGATTATAGTCAGCTTCTGTCAGGAAATTTTTATTGGCGTGTTTGCATGAAATGTGGCGTGAAGCTTGAGGACTGTTGCCAAGGTTACCGGCAGTTTAGTTCGCCTCGCTCTCTGATTCTTAACTATGGTTTAATGAGAGGCGAAACTGTGCTTGTTGCATAGTGATGCTCGGTTTTAATGCCTACAAAACTTTTTTATAGCCGTGAAGTAAATTCAAAAAGTTGCTGCAGAATAAATAACGAAGTTGTTGCTCAAAAGTTAGAAGTTGGCCTGACTGTCATAAATGTAGCATGTGAGCTTCAACCTTTTTAAAATGAGGAAGAAATAGACCAGCATGTCTTAAGGTCTGGAAGCAAAATAACAGATTTTTTTTAATGGAGTCTGGTGGCTTTTGAATCAGCAACATATTGGCTGAGTGTTAGTCAAAAAGAAAATTGAAAAAGCGATAGTGTGGTGGAAAATCCAGCATAAACTCAGTAAACAATGCACAGGAGACAGGATGAGATCTGAAGAACAGCCTGGGTGTCTTTTATTGTACAGATGTAGAAAGCAGAAGTATGACAAACACAGTCTGGACCAAATCCAAGGAGAGCCTTCATAAGCTTTTCTTCTACTCCCTTTTATACTGTCAGACGTGTTCCTGAATACAGTCATTGAGTACTGCTTGTACCTCTGATGTGTGTGTGTGTGTGTGTGTGTGTGTGTGTGTGTGTGTGCTCTTTCCTACCTATCCAAGCGGGGAATTTGACATTGTAACACTTCCACCAAGAGGGGACCGCATAGCCAACAGGGGACATCTTTTAGGTCCCCTCTCAGTCATGCTTTAAATCATGCTAAAATTATGTGTAACACACTCTGGTGATGTTTTAATTTGTATTTTAGCTAAGTGGGGACCTGAAGGTGTGTGTGAGTGTTTAAGTCCATGCGAAGCTATCCCCCTGTAGGCTGGGACCGGAATCACAATGACCCTTAAGCACACATCGTTTTACACACACTCCCTGAAGGTGTGAATGGTTTGCACTGAAGGCAGCCTTTCAGACTGCAGAGGGGCTGTTTGACAGGTTACTGGGTGCAGAACATGTCTCTTAAAGATGTTTTCTCTTTGTTTTGAAAAAAAAATTAAAGAAATTCCTTAAAAAACACACACATTTTAGACTTTGACAAGACTCCTGAGGTTTTCATTCCCAATACACTCGCTTAACCAGTTTTCACAAGCATTGGATTTCTATTACTTTGTTTATTTAATTCAATATAATTCAAAGATCGGTCTACACTTCTGAGAATGAAATTTTTTTTAACCATGCACATTACAAAAAAAAAAGGGACTTCCACTTTTTAAAGCTGCTTCACACTCCGCCATGGATGAAAATAATAAATACGTAAAATGAATAAGTAAAATGATAAACCTAAATATATAATTGTTGGTCAAATATGATTTTTTATGCACATTACAAAAAAAGGTACTTTTACTGTTTAGAATGACAGAAGTTCCCTGTTGGCTGGTAAATAGTGACAGGAGTTCCCTCTTAGATAGAGTAGAGTGACATTCACACTCAACCATGAAATTTGCCAAAAATAAGCAAAATAAGTCATCATGGGTACATCATATCTATCCTCCAGGAGGCTACCCATGATGACGTGTTGCACTGAAACTCAACACTTTGTTTAGATTAGTCTTACCCCTCCAAGAGATTAGCTCTAAATGTTCTGGCAGACAGATAGTTTTGGTCTCTGCAAAACAGCCTTACTTACAACCTCTTAGTCATGAGGCTGCATAAGTAGGCCAACCAGATTATTTGTAACCTCTTCATAAAAGATAATCACTCAATATTTCTTAACCTAAATGTATGAAAAAATTCAACTACAATAGCACCCTGTACACTTTTGTGTTTTTTTCTTTGTCTCTGTAGATAAACTTTTGAAACAGAAGTCCAGCGGATCCATGTCAAAGGCAGTTCCTCTCACCTGGGTGGATGTTTTGTCGCTGCCTCTTCCTGCTAACAAACAAAAAGTTCACGCAAAGACAGGCAGAGAAGAGACGCAACACAGGTGAGACTCGTCACAACATTTTGAAATGTAATTAAAGTGTTAAATAGTCACTTTTTGCTTTCTTAATGAAGGGCTGTCTGCCGTTTAGTCAGTCAGTTTATTATTAGCATCAGGACCTCTGACTTCCACTTAATGACAAAGAGAGTTAAGGCCAATGAAAATCAAAGCTGCCCTGTAACTCTGCCAAAGCTGTCAAGGAGAACTTTAGTCTCTGGGAAGTTTCCAAATTAACAACACTTCTTTCTGCAGGCAGTGAGTAGATTACGCTCCGGGGTTATGTAGGGGGGCGTCTCCTCTAACTAGTTCTGACAGATTAGACTGCGGACATACAGGGGTGGGATAGTAGGGCTGTTCTGACTGTGCCGTGTCTGTTGTAATGACATTAGCCACCATCTGACAGTCTGAATTAGTACTTTCCACTTTCAATGACAAGTCCATCATTAAATTAGCCCCCGACGGCACTGAAGTGACAACAGAAAGCATGGGGGAGGTCCTGTTCTCCTCAACCCTTTTCTATTTCTTATATCTGATGTTGTTAGTTTTATTTTTTTAACAGAGTGCTGCAAGGTCTAAGGGTCTGGTTTGCGTGTTTGCGTATTCATAGTCCCAGAGGATGACTCTTTTTTAACTTTTATAAAATACCTGGCAGCTCATCATGATGTCAGCAATTAGGCAGATTTTCTAATTCTAATTTAATTGAGATAAAATCTGATATTGTTCATGTTTCCCAGAGGATGAACTCAGCTGACTTTTGTTAAATACCTGATGCCCTGTATGATCTGATCATCTCTTTGTGAAGAGTTTAACAATCTTGTCCTTTTAATATCTAGAAAATACCAAAAATCATGTCCCCCAGAGAATGAATCCAACTGACTTTTGTAAATATGTTACACCTGTTATAATTTAAGCATCTCTTGATGAAGTGTGTCCTTGTCCATAGTATTTATTTTAACTTAGGAACAATCATTCATGTCCCCCAGAGGATGACCCTGATTGAATTTGTAAATACCTGATGCTCTGGGTGCTTTCAGCATTTCTTATTTAAGTGTTTATAATCTTGTCCTTTGGATTTCAACTGACTGATGTACCATCATTTATGATCCCCAGAGGATGAACCTGATTGACTTTTCAAATACCTGACACCCCGAATGATTTAGCATCCCTATAAAAAGTGTTTAAAGTGTTCTTTTTAATTTCCATTAACTTTAGTACCAACATTCATGTTCCCAAGAGGAAGAGGAAGAACCCGACTGACTTTGTGATTCAGAATCAGAATTCCCAAACTGGGAAATTATGATGTTACAGCAGCTTTTTTCCTAGTGAGCCAAAACAATATAGTAATATAAGAAAGACTCATGTCAAGAAATTACCTTAATAAATAATATGAATATTGGAATTATCACTGAATGCAAGATAAAACAGATATAGTGTGCTAGCATGCTAACAGACTGAGAGATTGAACATGGTCTAAAACAACTGTAGTATCTCCATGTACCTTATGTTGGCCTCACAGAGCCCTCAGCATGACTGAAACCTTGTGTCTTCTTCACTTTCATTTCCAAGAATTAATGAGGTTTGTTCAGGGTTTTCCTTTGAGGTACACACTCACACTGATGTTACTCATATTTTCTCCACTAGCTCCGAGGAGGAAGATGACGACTGGTGTCCTCCGCTTCCTGCCAGAACCTACCTGATGGACACCTCCAGGGAGGAGCTCTCCAGCCTGCCCTCCAAACCAGATGAGCTGTCTCGCACACCAACACGGTTGTCCTCCCCTCAGCGAGACACACACAAGCTCAGCGACAGTCCCCGGCTGCAGCACTTGGACCTCTTGGCCCGTCACCAGATCTCCCAGTCCAACCTAGATCTGTTTACTAACACCAAAACTGGGAACGCCGGTGAGGTGTGCAACACCCACCAGTGGGCTGAAGACTTGAAGGGGAATAGCCTCAGCAAGGGTCAGTTCAAATTAATTTTAATGTCCCACATCTTTAGAGGAGACTTCCCATGAGGCAGCACACAACCACACAGTGTCATGTATAATTTAGATTATGAAGTTACCTAACAGAAAGTATTTGTACATGAAAATCATGTCGCATTTGCTCAAAGTGCTGCTCAGTGCTCTCTTGTTTCCTTTAAGTTTCCTGAGGATGACATCAATGTGCTTTCTTGTCAGGACAATCTTCTGCTCCCGCTGCCGAGTCGAGCCCCACAGCGCAGGCACACAGATCCAGGAGTAAGAAGAGAACAGCCAAGGATGGACCACCCAGGCGAGAGCTGCACATCCAGCCAGGTACGACACTCTGGTTTTTAACACATCTGACTTCTGTTTTAAATTTGGATCAAAAGAAAGACGAGTTTTAGTATTCATGAGACTCTCTTCGAGCATTGCTAAACCCTTCAGCAGCAGCGGTTATAAATTAAATATCACAACAAGAATTAGATGGAAAATTCTGTCATGTCACCCACGGGCTGAATTATTAAAGCTTTTGTGATCCTCCAATTCTTCATCCAGAGTCTGAATTTTAGTTTCCCTGGCGCGACTTTCCGACAAAATAATACTCTTGGAAACTCCATCTGTCTGTCTTATCTTTGGTTTGATTAGTTTATGGGCGTGTTCAAATCTGATAATGCGGCTGTTGACGTCTTTTAAAGCTGCTATAAGGAACTTTTGGTTTCTATTAGTGGCGCCCCCTGTGGACAAAGTGATGCTGCCTTTCTTTTGTTCTCCACATGACAAAAATCTTAACCTGGTGTGTTGATGAAATTTATCACTCACTCAGTATGTTTACATGACACTCAAGAAAACCAAATTATCGCCTTATTCCGATTAAGACCGGACAAATGAAGTGCATGTAAACACCTTAGTCCGACTATAATCGGAGTTTGACAAGTCTGATTGGAGTCGAAGAACTCCAATAGAGACACCCAGATAATAAAATTGGAATTCGTTTTTCTCTACCATGTAACCAGCGTAGTCGGAGTATGATCGGACCATGCATGTGCCCATGCGCCACGCCCACATAACTCCAGAACAAAAACACCAGAGAAGAGGAGTAGCATGCACTTCATCTGCAGAAAAAGTAGCGCTTACATCATGTATGACAAAAACAACGCTGTACGATGCTCAATCTTCTTGCTTGAAAATAACCAGCAGCAGTTTGAGCCACTTCTGACGTCTGGCACGGACCCGCTGTTGTTGTTGACAGTTGTATGGAGTCGGAAACAGTGCCGCTGTAAAGACCCATACCGCCCCCTAGTTTTGGGGAGGACACGTTCACGTCAATAATTTAATTTTCTCAGCTTGCATGTATACGCGGAAAATGAGAGAAGTCCGATTTGGCGAAAAAAACAAAATATGAGCTCAAAACAATAATAAAAAAGATGTTTTTCCAGCCGACAATCAAGCATTTGGTTCAGCTATGTCCACAGGGGGCGCCAAAATCGACACAAGAGCTCTGACACTCTTACACAAAATTGGTGTTGGTCTCTTTATGACTTCCTGTAAACACAGCAAATAGGTTATATGTTTTCTCCTAAAAGTCTGAACTATTCCTTTAACGGTCATATTCCTGTCTACCCATCATTCCCAGAACTCCCCCCTCCACCAGCACCTCCCCCAGCAGATGACTCCCTTAAGCTCTTAGCTGAAGTTTTGAGCCGAAGCCGAACGGACAGCGAAAAGAAAGACGGGAGCGACTCGCCGACTCTTCAGAGGAAGGGGGAGCATTTCTCACCCCAAAGGAGAGGACCCACAAAGTGGTTATCGGAGGGTGAGTATGAATGTGACACTCTTCTCTGTCGCATCACTTTATATCTGTCAACAGAATTTAGACAATAAAAGAACAATATCCGTCCCAGCAGCTAATGCCGTCTTGCCTCGACAGCTGGAACCCAAACAGATGTATTAATACAATTTTGATGCTTCATGTTAATCCCTTTGAGCTTAGAAAGACCACCAGTTTATGCACACTCTTTATCCCATAGTCCCTCCACTTTTAACTGCAGGGGGGCTATTTCCAGTCTGCCCTGTCACTTAAGGCTTAACCTATATAAATTCAGCTGTACCTTTGAGTGATTTGTTTGTCATCTGCAGATGAGAATGTAATCCCATATGGGCAGTCCAGCTTCCTGCCCAGCGACCAGATGTCAGGCTATGGGTCCCTGGGTGGAGGAGTCTTTTCACGGCCCTCCACTGCTGGCCGGAGGAGAGATGAGGTACGTCTGGACTCGAATTAGGAGCTGCTTGCGTCGGCGTAGAGTGGGTCACAACCTGTCTATCAGGAAAATGAGGGCAAATTGAATTTTCGGCTTTCCTGAGAGAGTGGATGGAAATAGATTCCAGTGGGTAACCTAAGGTTATCCAACACTGCCTCTAAACAAATGAGCCAATTCTGAAGCTCAAACGCATGTTAAAAAGTTATTAGTTGGCAGACAGATGGAAAAACTCACCCAAACACTCCTCATACAGGTCTCTGAAAAACATCTCTCCTGATAGATGAGGATGGAGTCATACCGCCCCCACCAAATGTACCTGAAACTCTCCTCTCGTAAGAAAGAAAATAGTTTGCATGTCGATGAAAGTTTGACAGTGTTACCATTTTGATGTCAAGGAGGAGAGGGATGTAATGTTTTGAAAATCGAGGGAGGGGTTGAAGGTCAACAAAAACCTGTACAAATCACCAATTCAGCATCATCCACTTCACTGTTATTCACGTATGAATCACTCTAAAAGCTTGTTTTGAAATTATGGTCAGGCACTCTCTTTTAGAGACAACATTTGTCAACTTGGCTACTTATCGAGAAATAACCCTGATTTTTTATTCATGCGTAGTCATTCAAACAGAAAGTTAACAACATATTTGTACTTTAAATACTGCCTCACCACAGTCGTTTCTGAGCTTATATATCAACTCTGTTACAAGTTATCTGTTAGGTTTTGTTGGTCACATATTATTGGAAGTTTGCATCCTGTATTTCGGTCTAGACTCAGTCGTCTACCAATTTGGAGGTCAAGGGTACGACATGTCGAAGTTTCCTTGGGCAAGACACTTGACCCCACCCGCCTCAACTTGTTGCACCCATTGGTGTGTGAATGGGATTAATCAAAAACTGATGGGCTCTATTCATAGCAGCCTTCGCCATCTGGTGTGTGTGAATATGGCATGTAAAGTAAAACCACTTTGAATCGCCAGAAGACTTGAGAAAAGGCTTAATGTACCATATGTTTTAAAATATTAACAATTGCAGCACATGCTCACACAAAAAAAAGCCAAAGAAAAGTCTCATTATCAATCCATTATTATTTTTGAGGAGAGGGATATGTATTACCCACCCAGCAAAAAGTGGTTGAAAAGACGTCTTCGCCATACGTCTAAACAACGTCTAGATTTGGTCCATCTAAATAAAGCTTAATTTTTAACATCTTTTTTGGACTAAATTAGGACCAAATCGAACAGTCTAAATGAAGCTCAGTTTTCTACGTCGTTTTTTGGGCTAAATTAGGACCAAATTGGACCGTCTAAACGAAGCCCAGATTTCAATGTCTTTTGTGTAGGCTAAATTACGGCCATGACGGGCCGACGTGATTTAGCCTGAAAAAAGACGTCTAAATGACGTCTGGTGTTTGGTGGGTAATGTCACACCCTGAACTGGCGGGAAAGGCTATTACTTCGCACAAATCTGAGCTGTCCAGTTTTTTGAAACCAGAGGGGCCCAGACTTAGGGGCCCTTTAGGCCACATGCATCATGTATGTAGTTTTTTTTACCTCCAAAGTTAGTGTCCTTTGCACCATCTTATTTTTCGCAAGCAATTATCAAATGGCGTTCCAAACAGGTTTATTCACATTAAAAATATCCTACAATAGTTTGACCACTAAACAAAATTTGAACACGGAGAGCTGGACTTTAACTCATCATGATGTTTCTGCTTCCTTCAAGCTCTTGAAAAACTAGGTTAGATTATGTTGATTACACCCGTAGTGACAGGTTTTCCCATCAGCTAACACTAATTGCAGCAAGACCAACAAACACTACAGGGGAGCCCAAAGGCAAAAAAAAAGACAGGATCAAGCATCCAAGAAAATCCTCTGATCCAAAAAGGAACTGAGCTTATAGAGGCAGAATTACAGGACAAAATCAAGGGCTACATGACGAGATTTAACATCAGTAACCATCGCTTTAATATTTTCATGTTAGTGAGATGCAAATAAGGAATTCATCACATTTTGACTTTGTGCAATAACTCATACTAACTAAGAAATTGATTGCAGGCCTGTCTTAAATTAAGAGATAATGATTTGACTTCAAAAAAAATCTGTCAGGGTATTTGTCGGCTAATTGTCTCTTCAAGTTTCTAACTCTTAATCGTCTCTGCTTGTTTCTTCTCAGAATCTCATGTAGACGGATGCAGATCACACGACACAGCTTCCCCTGTCTTCATCCATGATTTTCTGTCTTTGCAAAGCCATCAATCTGTTGCCATGGTAACCTGTGTGAGAAAAAAAAGCTGAAGACTAGAGGGAAAGCGTCAAGGCTAGCCATCTGCCTTTTCACCAACTATTTTTTATTTCATTTCAATGATCGAATCTTTATATTTTGGGGGTTTCCTTCACCTTGTCTCCGTGTAAATAGACATCTTTACAATTTTTTAAAAATGTGATCAGATATATTGTTAAAAAAAATGGATTAGGGGATATAAAAAAACTGTATTTTTAGGCAATGGGGAAGTAAATGTAACTCTGACATAAATGTACAGCAGATAAATGAATGTATCTTCTGTTTACTCCCGACTGTGACACCATGACGATGTGTGTGTGTTTAACGAAAGACCTGAGAAGACACGAGGCAGACAATGTGTCAATAAACATCATGTGGTTGTGTGCGCGTATGCTTGTGTGAGTGTGTCGGTGCATGTGTGCAGTGTTTTTGTGCGTTACTGTTTTGCTCTCTCATCTCTGTGTGACTGTGAACTGTGGTATTCCTGTAGATCACCAGTGTGTTAGTTCTGTCGAGATTTTTAAAACGGCCAATAAAACATTTCTAATGAAAATCGCTGCTGCCTTTGTGTGAAATATATACTTGATTATCTTTTGACGGTGATGTGAGGTGCAAGATATTCTTGAAAAGTGAGAGAGAGAAGAGGAAATAATCAGTGCAGCCTGTTATAGTAATCATTTGTTTTGATTTTTTAAGTGCTTACACATACTGTAAAGAAGTTTTTGGTTCTCTTTCTTCATCATTTTTTACGCAAAGTTAAAAGCAGATTTTTCTTTCTATCATGGAAACTGTTGTGGGATGTGAGTGCCGTGTGATTCAGTTGCCTTTTTTTCAGGCGAGAAAAGCTCAAATTTTTTCATCAAAGCCAATTGTCTCGGAGGTCTGAGTGAATTTTCGGATTTCTCATTCGCAGAGAAATGACTTTCCTGTTACAGGATACTGCGTAGGCTAAGATTTAATGCCCTCTTCAGCTTTTTGAAGAGGCGCATTTGTGAATGTGGCTTAACGAGTGAAGAAGTGCACATTTTCACTGTGCAGCTCCTAAAATGTGTCAGCTGTGTAAAAGGGACAGAAAAGACTGCCTCTTTATGTCTGCACCTTGATGGGCTCTATGAGTCTCTTGTGTGCAGATTTCTTTGGTCGAAGCATTTCAGTATTTTGGCAGGCAGGGAAAACGGATGCTGTGGAAAGTAAAGTTGGACTCGACTGCGTTTGGCATTTAGTGACGGTGTCCCGCCAGACTGGGAGGATAATGGTAATCCTGTGCAATTTGCAGGGGTTATGCAATTTAGAAGGTTCTGGAATTTTTATGCTTTCAGGCCTGTTGCATGGATTAGGGTATCTGTGGTTTACAAAGCCCCAGTCTTGGAGACACACTACATGAATCAACAAATGTACCCCATTAGATCAACAGCTTTATCTCCCTGCTGTGGAAACTTGTGTCTTTGATGATGTGTTGTCACCGCTATTTACATCTCTTCAAAGACACCCTTCGGAGCTCGTTCATCAAACAAGAAGTATTTGTTTTGAATATTAATATCTGATTATTTTTCTGGTTGCATTGCAGGATTCAGAGTTCACATCTGGCTTCCAAAATGTGAAAGCCAGATGCAATATGAAAGCAAAATCATTTTCTCAATGTGCGTCTTTGACTGAGCGCAGAGTTGGAAAATATATACACTCTTTCAGGAAGATGGGCGTGAAAGCAACTTATATCTTCACTGTGTGGTGAAGGTCAAACTCACAAGAACAGTAACAATGACAAAACGTGTCTCAGAGATGAGGAGATATATCTTATAGTTTGAAAAAGTGGCAGCTAAGAAACTATATATATATGCCTCTGAGCCATCGTGACACCTGACTATTATGTTCTTAATTAGGACAGTAAAAACATGGTGGATAAGAGATGAGTAACAGCCACAGTAGATGCAGGATTATCTCACTTGAATGCCTCTAAAGATGATATTACTTTCACCCTTCTCACGCTAACACTGTCTAAGACTAAATCCTGGAGAGTAGCAACAGAATTCAAAGTGACTGACAAACAATCAGAGAAAAGACAGTCAGTTAAAAAGCAGGAAAAATGGGAATAAGTCTAATGGCTGAATAAACTGTGAAACCTGGAAGACAGAACTGTACATCTGCTCAAAACACTCTCATATTTTAAAGTTAGGTAGTAGTGAGAATGAAGATCCAGCCTCACATAGAAGAAACTTAAACTAATGATTCAACTCTTTGCTACCAGATTTGTTAATTTGTGCCATCTAGTGGTCATGACTGAAACATGCAGGTTAACCATCAGACCGGTGACTCCATGTTCTGGATTTTGCCAATCATACAAAAAAAATACTCTTTACAAATACATTATTAGACTTCCCTGCAGATTTTTATACTTTTAGAATTTATTTGAATTTGTTTGGGCTTAACTTTGTTTAGTTGTATACTAAACTGTGTTTACTAAAGAAAACTGGCCTGTCTTGAAACAAATCTATTGAGTGGGCTAACTTAGTTCCTTCTGTTTGATGCATCCATCTGTCTAATCAGATAACACACTGGAGGCTTTATGTGTTGGCGATAGTTTGTTGAGTTTAATCAAAACAAAGTCTGCACATTTACTCAATGTCACAAAAAGTTCATTGAATCCCTTTAAGTAAACAGAAAACAACTTTAAGTCACCTGACACATGCAAGAAGGCCAAATGTAGTGATTTAAAAAGCTGTTTTTCAGGAGTCAGATCTGGAAGGTGGATCAAGTTTACTTTCCCCTTTTCCTAGCTTAACTTTTCTGAAAAAGTCTTAAAAATCGACCACATTGTCGATTTTTAAGAGAGCAAAGCATTACAACTTTTTCAACACTCTTCTTCAACTCCTACTCTGTGTTCAAGCTGTGGCAACAATGTTCACCTTTTTTTTGACTGAAACTTTCCAAACCCACGACTCCAACAACCACCCACCTGCCAAATCATCTCACTTTTTCCTGCCAAATAAGAGAAATGTTACGCAACTTTTTTTTTCTTTTTTGTAAAACTCAGAATTACTCATGTAAAAACGATCTGATGCTGCTCACTGACCCCCTGTTGTTGCACCCTTCAGCATGAAGTGAGCAGGTCCAACATCCCAGGAGGCATGTGGCACGCCTTCCTGTCAGAAAGCTGTAAAGGTAAACTTCTAGTTGTCTTTTCTCCATCCTCAGTTTGGCACAGGTGGTCAGACAGAAGTAAACTTTTTTCTGGCTTTTAACCATTTCTGAAAAAGTGTATGTGGTCCAAAGATACAGCAGCATCACACTGAATTTATATATAAGCTTTAAATTTTAGATTCACTCTTAATATGAGCAATAAAGGGACATTAAAAGACATTTCTATTATGAGGCATAAAAGCTGATTTTATGTAGATTAAAACCTAAATTATTCAAACAATCTGGAACAAAATTAACTTTTTTTTTAAGGCAGAAATGACCTGATATGTAATAAAAATCTAGCTGCTTTCCCTTTTTTCTCATCTGAATTATAATTTAAATAACAAGAGGACTCTGTTTCTGCAGTCTTTTGAAGAAACCTCTCCTAAATGGAACTTTTTCCAGCATTGACATTGGCCGAGCTTGTTTTAGGCCGTGAGTTTACCGTGTGTGGTTGTGCAGCGTTTTGAATGAAAAGCCCCGTGTCATCAGTATCACTCAGATGTGCGCAGCGCTTTAACAGTTTTGTATTTTCAGCAGATTCCCTAAAACACAAAACTCATCCCCTGTGATTGGTTGTGGCTCAGCATGCTCCATTGTTCCAGCGGCCCGTTTGTTCGCTCGGTTTCCTATGCACAAACAAAACTTTCCTGCCTCACACGGCAATATTGGGCTCCCTGTGCTTTCACAACCCGAATTATTGGAATCTCTGACTTTTTCTGAGGGAAAAAAGATAAAGGTAGGTTATTAAAATCAACACTGAAAAGGTGGGAGTGTTGTATTTATACCTGTATAATATTTTGCTTGTATTGAAGTGGACAGAAAGTTTGTCTTTCACTGCTAGAATTGGAAGTTAATCTCATGAATAAATAAGCTGAGAATTAGCTTCAAAATGAGTTGAAAGTTAAAAATTCTAGGAAAAAACTTTTGAGTGTGACATTATAGAGATATTTGAAACTACATGTGCACCATATTTCATATTTTAGCAGAAAATATAGGATCATTTTAGAAATCTGATGATTTTAGATAGAATTTACAAAAATATACTTGTCCGCTCATGTTTAAATTTTATCTTGAGGTTATCAGTGTTCGTTTGTTGCCTAAAAAGTGAGTCTGAATTCCAACATCACATAAAATTTGTTGCAAAATATTCATGTCATCCTGCTTAATGTATCTGGACACTGTTTCACTCTGTATCTCTGTCTGGTTGTTCATCTATCAACTGTGAAAAGAAGTGTTGGGAGACCCTCACCTGCTCTGCTATCTCTCTGTCTGTCTGTGTGTCTGTCTGTCAGTCAGTGTTGTTTGGCAGGATGTACAGCTTTATGGGAGGTGGGTTGTTCTGCGCTGGAGTCGGGAACATACTCCTCATTGTCTCCACAGCAACTGACTACTGGATGCAGTACCGTCACTCCAGCAATTACATGCACCAGGGCCTGTGGCGGTACTGTGTGCCTGGGAAATGCATGACACACACAGACAGCATTGGTGAGACATGCAGGGTATATTTTTTACTTTTTATTTTACCAAGCAGGGAGAAATTTGGTTTTGAGCAGCTGATGATGAGTGTGTGACCTCAGCTCTAAACCTTATAAACATCAGGGTTTCTGGGGTGAAATAACCTTATATGTTTCTGAGGTTATTTTACTTGAATATGCACCAGTTAGAGAGCAGATCTGAAAGCCTGATCTTGTCTCGTCTCTCGCAGCATATTGGGATGCCACCCGGGCCTTCATGATCCTCTCCCTGCTGGCTTGTTTCATTGGCATCGTGATCGGGGTCATGGCCTTCATCCACTACTCCTCCTTTGACGGGTTTGACAAGACGTTTGCAGCTGGCATCCTCTTTTTCATCTCCTGTGAGCTCCGACGACACAGAAAAACACACATCTCTCAGTATATTCCAAACATTACTATCAGTTTAACTCTGTGATTTGATAACCTTTGTGCAGGCTTCTTTGTGTTGCTGGCCATGGCTGTGTACACAGGAGTGACAGTGAACTACTACGGTAAACGCTATGGCAGCTGGCGTTTCTCCTGGTCCTACATAATGGGCTGGGTGGCTGTGGTGCTCACATTCTTCTCAGGCAAGCCTCTTAACACTCTAACAAATAAAAACTCATCTCCTTTTTTTTGCATATTTCCATAACTGTCCCATTATTCTCTTTTAGGTATCTTCTACATGTGTGCCTACCGGATGCACGAATGCCCAAGAAACTCAAACTCCCGCTGAACTGACAAAAAAGCTTTGAAACACAAAAAAAGACATGCGCGCTTTAGCACCGGTCCATTAGAACGGCAAAGAGGAAGCAACCAATGAACTTCATAACCACTGCCTGTTAACAGTAATATTCATGAACAAGCAAAATAAATGAGAACAGAAAAACTAGTTTGTTGTTTTCTCTCTTTACACAACTAAGACACCACACAGAAGCAGACATTTTTGGTACTTTCATTGTATGCCACACTAGTATGGTGTATGCATGCTAGATCTGTATCAACTGTGCCACTCTTTAACCCTTTCCTCCCTCATTAGGTCATTATCATGCAGTCAAAGAAAATGGTTGTGTAACATTCAATGAATAAACTTAAAGGGATATTCCTGCGTCAAATTAAGTTAGAGTCAAACACACCGTAACACCGAGTTAGACACCCCGTCGAGAGATGAATGTTGCCGAACGCTTGCTTCTCTAGTTATACCAACTTTAGTAACAACCGCACGATAGCAATACACAGCAGTCTGAGGAGCCATAAACAAACCTCAACCAAAATGCCACTCTATAGCTACAAATAATGCTCAGAACAGCACCTAACTTCATCAACAGTTCATATAGAGTCCCAGCCATAGTACTAGCCACCAAACATCTTTTTAACTTTGTCTAAATTCTTTAGCAAAGAGACTAAACACAACTCACCCACTCTTTATGATCATTACTTTATCATTTCCTTGAAGTAATAATCACCATATTAATCATTTTGCACTGCAGACGTGGTAGTTCTTCTGCCTTAGCGTCTCAGTCTGATTGCATTTCCATGAAGAAATTATCATAAATGTTCTTCCTTGAGCTGCGTCACCCCGCAGCAGTCAGTAATGGATTGGCCTAAGGTCTAGCTATAAACAAGCAACTGCTGGAAGAGAGTAGGTGAGTTGTGTTTAGTCTCTTTGCTAAAGAAATTACAAAAAGTTACAAAGATATTTGGTGGCTAGTACTATGGCTGTGACCCTATATGTACTGTTGTTGAAGTTAGGTGCTGTTCTGAGCATTATTTGTGGCTATAGAGTGGCGCTTTGGTTGAGGTTTGTTTATAGCACCAACGACCGCAGTGTATTGCTATCGTGCGGTCGTGACTAAAGTTGGTATAACTAGAGAAGCAAGCGGTCGGCAACATTCATCACTGGATGGGGTGTCTATCTCTTTGTAACAGTGTGTTTGACCCTAAATTAGTTTTACGCCGGAATATCCCTACAAGTTTAAGACTCATCTGTTCATGTCAACAAGTGACCAGCAGGGGGAGGTGTTCCAGGTCTGGGTAAATTGGTCACAGGCAGTGGGTCTGTTCAGACTTCACAGCTGTCAGCACTGCTGCACAACCGCAGGCTGAGCTCAGCAACAGTAGGGGGTAGAGCTGGCAGGGCGGCAGTAACAGACGGTTCTAGAGAGAGCTACACATCAGCACAGAAACTGCACTTTGGTGAACAGTTGAAATCTTCACAAAGGAACACAGTTCAAACCTTTTTCTTTCATGCCAACCTCCAGGGAAAGACATTTCTTTACATTTTGTGAGACATTTGTTAGTTCTGAATCACACTATCTGATACATAATTGTAAAAAAAGATAAATAAGACAGCAGCAGAGGTGGTTGTGTTTTGTTGTGGTGTACCCCTAATCATGAGTGTGGATACTAATAAAACTAGGACCTGAGTGCATTACAACGCTGAATGAAGAACTGGAAAGTTATCTGGAAAATGTTTATTTCTTAAGAGTATTTTGTCACTATAAGTCTACTGAAGGATAAGTATAAAGAGACACTGAGTCCATGGCCTATGGTCAAAAGCCTTCCGAGTGGATTCAGTTCATCTGATCTTTTCCTTAACTTTGCTATTTTTTGCTCTGTCATAAGAAAGCAAAGCAGCCCTCAGTATTAAAAAGACTACCTACATTGACTGCTTGCCTCTATAAGTGTCACTTAAGATAAATTCAGGTCGAGTATTTATTTTGACACTCAACATCAACATGAAGTAGGTTTTATGACAGCTCAAAGAATACAGAAAAATGAAATGCAAAGAGACAGAGTTCAGAAAATGCTTTGGTTTATTCTTGTTAGCAAAAAGTAAAGCAACAACCAGAACTCTGGTCACCAACCAATCCTGAAACGCACTGTGGTAATGCAAACATTAGCAGGATTAAGTGAGCACAAGACAGTCATCTGAAAAGACTACAGACTAGAAGAAAAACAAAGAAAGTGCCGCCTTAAAGCCAGGCATACAAAAATGATCAAAACAACCCTAAATAAGGCCAGTGAAAAATCAGAGAATGACAACGTAGTAACTTGTGCGCTAACATGACTGATCACTCTTCACACTTGACTCTGAAAGGAGAAAGAGAGCAAGCATATGCAAGTCTGGTCAGCCCCCAGTTTAGTCGACCTCTTCGATGGTGGGGCCAGATGCGCCACCAGCTCCTGGAGCTCCACCAGCTCCTGGGAAACCGCCAGGCATTCCTCCTGGTGCACCTCCTGCGCTCTGGTACAGCTTAGTCATGATGGGGTTGCACACTTTCTCCAGCTCTTTCTGCTGATGGTCAAACTCATCCTTCTCTGCGCTCTGCAAAGAAAGCAGCCGGAGGGTTAAAATCACAGAAGAGTTTGAGAGTTCACCTGCTGCTACCACAACAAGTTAAGTTCGCCGTAGTTTACATTCACTACGATTCATACCTGGTTTCTGTCGAGCCAGCTGATGACTTCGTTACACTTGTCCATAATCTTCTTTTTATCCTCATCGCTGATCTTGTCCTTCAGCTTTTCATCCTCCACAGTAGACTTCATGTTGAAGGCGTATGACTCCAGAGCGTTCTTGGCTGCTACTTTGTCTCTCTGCACATCATCCTCAGCCTTGTACTTCTCAGCTTCCTGGACCATACGCTCGATATCCTCTTTGCTCAAGCGGCCTGATGATTTTAATATCAGACAAAATAAAGCTGAGTATCCAAGATCTAATTTTGTGGTTCAGACGCACAATAATACAATATTTCATTACAGGTTACCTTTGTCGTTGGTGATTGTGATTTTGTTCTCCTTCCCGGTGCTTTTGTCCGCCGCAGACACATTCATGATGCCGTTAGCATCGATGTCAAAGGTCACCTCGATCTGAGGAACTCCACGTGGTGCAGGAGGGATTCCAACCAGCTCAAACTTCCCCAGAAGGTTGTTGTCTTTGGTCATGGCCCTTTCACCTTCAAATACCTGCAGACGTAACACCAAATCTGTCAAATAACAGGCTCTGAATTTTTAAAAAAGTTCTTCACGGATACCGTAAAGTACAAACTTGGTACCTGAATAAGCACTCCGGGCTGGTTGTCTGAGTAGGTGGTGAAGGTCTGGGTCTGCTTTGTTGGAATGGTTGTGTTCCTCTTGATGAGGGCGGTCATGACACCTCCGGCGGTCTCAATACCCAGAGACAACGGGGTCACATCCAGCAGCAGCAGGTCCTGCACATTCTCTGATTTGTCGCCCGACAAGATGGCCGCCTGCACAGCTGGACATCATTTAAGATTTTAAGTTCTGATGTGAGAAGCTTAAATCTTGATCTACACTTCAATATATAAATAGAAAAATGGGTTTTACCTGCTCCGTAGGCCACTGCTTCATCAGGATTGATGCTCTTGTTGAGGTCCTTTCCGTTGAAAAAGTCTTGCAGCAGCTTCTGGATCTTTGGGATACGTGTGGAACCTCCAACCAGGACAATGTCGTGGATTTGAGCCTTGTCCATCTTTGCATCACGCAGAGCCTTTTCAACGGGCTCCAGGGTTCCTCTGAACAGGTCCGCATTCAGCTCCTCAAAGCGGGCCCTAGTGATGGAGGTGTAGAAGTCGACTCCCTCGTACAGAGAATCGATCTCGATGCTGGCCTGTGTGCTGGAAGACAGGGTGCGCTTCGCCCTCTCGCATGCCGTACGCAGACGACGAACGGCCCGCTTGTTGTCACTGATGTCTTTCTTGTGCTTGCGCTTGAACTCGGAGATGAAGTGGTTGACCATGCGGTTATCGAAGTCTTCTCCACCCAAGTGCGTGTCGCCTGCAGTGGACTTGACTTCAAAGATGCCGTCTTCAATAGTCAGGATGGAGACGTCAAACGTGCCACCGCCCAGGTCGAAGATGAGAACGTTCCTTTCGACTCCAACCTGTACATTCATATAATTGTAATTATTGGACTATTGGTACATCCCACACATGTTGTGTAATTTACAACAAAAACCCCTAGAATTTGAAACTGTATCATACAGATAAAAGATGTAACCTAGAGATTTCTTACCTTCTTGTCCAGGCCATAAGCAATAGCAGCAGCAGTTGGTTCATTAATAATACGAAGGACATTCATCCCAGAAATAGTCCCTGCATCTTTGGTAGCCTGGCGCTGAGAGTCATTGAAGTAGGCAGGAACAGTCACCACAGCATTTGTTACAGTCTGAGGAAAAGGGACAGTTGTCAGGTTAAGCAGAACTGAGACACTGTTGGCGCTTTTAACACCACATTTACGGTTTCAATTCTAATTTGCATAAACAGGGCTAACAGATATTTTTAATGTTAATCACCTCAGCTAGAGTAACCACAGTAATATAGTTAGAGCACAAAATAACCGGTCTGTGCCGGTGATAACTTCTTTTCTAGTTGGGTATATGTTATTTGTCACCAACACACACAGACACACATAAGTATATATAATATAGATGTACCTTTCCGAGGTAAGCCTCTGCAATCTCCTTCATTTTAACTAGCACCATGGAAGAGATCTCCTCAGGGAAGAAAGTCTTGGTCTCGCCCTTGTACTCAACCTGAACCTTAGGTTTTGATCCATCACTGACAACTGTAAATGGCCAGTGTTTCATGTCTGACTGGACAACAGCGTCATCAAAGCGACGGCCAATGAGACGCTTTGCATCTGAAGAACAGCGAGAGAGGCAAACATTAATGAAAACAGGTCGTTTCAAAATAACTATACATGACTTGTCCACATCTATAAAGAATGCCTCATACCAAATACTGTGTTGGTCGGATTCAGGGCCACCTGGTTTTTGGCCGCATCCCCAATCAACCTCTCAGTGTCAGTGAAGGCAACATAGCTGGGTGTGGTCCTGTTTCCCTGGTCGTTGGCGATGATCTCAACTTTGCCATGCTGGAACACGCCTACACAGGAGTAGGTGGTACCCAGGTCAATGCCGACTGCTGGTCCCTTGGACATGGTTCCTGGGAACATGAGGACAATCAGCTGTTAATCGTATGTTGGCAGTGAGATGAAAATCTGGGTATATGGAAATGAAGACGTGTAAACCTGCTCTGAGTAGCATTTGTGATGTGCATTTGTACTGCTGAGTAATAAGGCTATTATGAGACTCTGAACTGTCTAAATGAGGTTGAGGGTCCACAGCACCTGCTTTCAAGGCTCCCTTGTTTGACAGCTTGTCAGCAGCTGCTTTTGTTATGGCAACCCTGTACAACAGGCAGGACATGGCCTTTTAGAGGGTTAACGTATGTTTGATTGATGACTGATGACCAGACTGAATTGCTGAATCATTTTAATGTAAGTCTCTTGGTTTCACAGAACACTGTTCAGATCATCAATTCATCATGAGGATTATTTTCCCAGAAAAGATTGTCACACTTTCAGTTCAACAGAAAGTGTGAAACTGCTGTTATCTGTCTGTGTGATGTTTTACATAACTGTAGAGTCAGACGCTCGCATACATTTTAATAACCGTTGGAAAAAAATACCTGTTGAACAGGTTGGCAAAATAAAGACTCGCACTTCGCTCCACAAACCTTATAGCCACCATGATGACTCAGTTGACAGGAATTACAGAGAACCGCCCTGTGTTTACTGTTGCTACAGTAGCAGAATCAATACACTGTAATGTTAGCCTATTAGTAATCCACAGGAGAGGTCATGACGACTCATCTAAGCAATAGTTCTCATACTTGGGGGCTGTGGAGGATAAGGCTACTGCAGGGGAAACTGCATGACAAAGTGGAGGAGAGCTGGAGGTTGTCTGATCACAGGAAAGATGTAAATTCAAATTCAACTTTATTTTGATGGCACTTTTCAGACAAAAAATGAGTTTCAAGAGCCTCACAGAGGTTAAAAACAACAATTAACAACAATTAAACCCAAACCTCCAATCCATGGACCCCCCCACACACACAAAGACACACACCCACCCTCACTCACCCACACACACACATAAGCGCACACAGTGTAAGGATTTAAGATATTGTGAAAGAGACCTGGCCTGACACCGTGACATTACATGAGATAAGAGCTACCTTTGGCAAACACTGGAGATAAAAATAGAGATAAAAATGCTGAAAAGAAAGACTAAAACCTGATGGACTAAAAGAAGAAAATAATTTAAAATGAACAGATGAGTAAGAGCTCTTTACCATGTAAAAGGGGGAAAAGAAGTAAAAACCTCTAAGAAGGGAATTAAGAAAAAGACTAAGAACAGAGATAACATCTGCAATAAGAGAAATATAAAAAGGCAATCAGTGAAAAGCTGGTTAAAAAGGTGAGTCTTGAGCCTCTTCTTAAAAACATCAACAACACATCAAATGTAAAGACATTTACAGATATTAAATTTGTTACTGGCTCCTGAACTAGTTTGCTACCTGACAATATTTTATTGAAACTTAAACTTGAAAAGGTGTCCCTAAAACACATGAATAGCCCTGCTTTAAGTCTAACTCACTTTTTTAATTTGCAGAACAGAAACTAAACACCTCTTAAGCTGAAATTGTTTGCAAACCCAAACATAAGGTGAAACAAAAGAGCTAAGAGTTGAGTGAAAAGCATGTGGTGCTGCATCATTAGCTTAGCTGTCAGTAGCAGCAGCAGCCTCAGTAGAGGGCGTGTCTGTACAATTTAGGAGGCTGAGAACTCTCTCGATTGTTCCTTTCACTTCCTTGTTAATTGCGAGTAGTTTTCCAGGCGTTATGTAACTTTTCCCCGCAGACATGCAAAACTTTAATGCATACTTTTGTCTCTATATCTTTAGCAAAGCGCGGAGACACACCAGCACAAACTTCAGTTCAGTAGTTAGCAGCATCACTTCAGACCTGTTGTTATCCACGTTAGTTACAGTTTGACCGATAATTTTGACATGTATGAAATAAGTTTGTCGTTACATGCAGAAAACATTAAAAAAGTGACAAAATTTAGTTATTAGAAGGGGGAAAATATGCTAGCAGTTAGCTTAAATCTGCGCGTTCAACAGCCGTTAACACGAATTCTGAAGTTTAATTTTAACGGCCAAACTGTAAGAAAATGAACAAACGGAACAGTTCCTGAACTTCTTATCAACGTTAGCAATAGTTAGCAAGTATTTTCACTCAGTTTTACTCACCTCTGCTTCAGTCAGACTAGTCTTCTTATCGTTAAAGTGGTTTTTATTAATACTGCAGGCCGGCTTCACCCTGAGCGTCTGGCTTTGACAGGTTCCTGGTCTCCACAGTCTCTACCCCGTGTGTGAGTGTCTGGGAGCGGCCGCACCTCCTCCACTACATTCCCCCTGAGAAGCCTCTAGAACACAGGAGGAGCGATACTGGCCAATCCTCTGCCATCATATCGCTGCCTTTATAAATGCTCCAATGAAAAATTCTGCATGCCGATTTCCGCAGCAGTTGCTATCAAGATCATGGCTAAACTCGAAGTGACATAGCTGTAAGGCATATTAGGTAAAAGTGGCTGGATGAAACCTCGTCAGTCTCAGTTTTCTCTCAGTTTGTGCTGAGAAAGATTTGAAACTTCGAAGCTTCAACCTCTGAAATATATAAGGTTATAAAAGGTTTTAGTCATTTTGACAAGTTAGTTTGACAAGAGTGACTTATTGAATAAAACCACCCATTACTCTGTATTTTTGGATATAAATCAAAAGTTAAAGCTCCAGTAAAGAATTTTTGATACATTAAAAAATAAGACTGAAATTAGTGATGGAAAGAACAGTTCTTTTGACTGTACTGAATCTTTCCGTTCACTGACTGATACATGTCACTTACAGACATTTCGTTCACTGACTGTTTCGTTCACTGACTGAAACATGTCGTCCACAGACGTTTCGTTCACTGACTGACTGTGATAACAAGACTGACCATGTCTATGTTGTAATTTTGATGCCTACTGTGAACGGATAGGTACTCTGCAGAAACCGCCTCAGCAACTTTTCCCACCACATTTAAGGTGATTCAAAGCTTTCACTGTAATGAGACATCAGGAGGAGGTTTTTAGCCAATCAGCACCACTTTAACCAGGATGACACAAAATCAGTAACCAGTGGGTTACCACTTTGTCAGGCCCTAAGGTCAACAGAGACAAACAAATCCTGGCAGGAGCTTTAAAATGTCTGGTGGTTAATAAGGTAGCCCACTTTCTTTCTAACTGTATCCAGTCACACATTTTATTTATGAAACCGTCTAAAAATACAAGAGGAATAAACAGTTTTTGAAGCACCAGTGATATTTGAAGATTCAAATGTCACCAGCCACCTGACATTTCATCATCGACACAAGCTCCAGTACTTGACTGAAGCTGTTCGGTTCACAAAAGTGACAGAAGCTTCACAGCTACAGCGTCTCATGCCCATTTCTCTATGTTCCTATCAGACAGATGATGGAAAGGGTTTACAGTCACAGGCAGAATCCACAGTTTGAGGCATAGAGGTAGAAACAATGTACCACTAACTGCATACACTTATCTGACACTTATACCCGATGGGTTTTTAAGCAAGCTTGACTTCAACATCATTTGTGTTTATTCGCACAAATCATAGTGGCCCTTATTTACAGCCGAACATGTATTTGTCTAAAGCAGAAACTCATCGTTGTGAAAAGTTCAATGACACCTGTACTGGTGTTTGTTTTGCCTACTCTTACCTTTTTCTCATTTTCACTGCAAATAGAAAAATGCCCCAGGGACCACATTTATTGACAAATCTAGTTAAACTTTAACTCTAAGAAATTAACTCTATAAAAAGCTCTTCCATTGAACTGTTCATTAAACTTAATTTTAGAAAGTACATTAAAGAGGCATATAAAAAGCTCCTCTTAACCTGCCAATAATAGAGCTGGGTGGAGTTCTTGATTGGCGGATTGACAGGAGCTTTTTGATCTTCTCCTAATTGGCCAATCATAGTGAGCCTTTTAATCACGAAATCTGTCAACCAATCAGAGAGAACCTTTCTGGCCAAACCGATTGCTCTCTTCACTCCATGAATCAGGCAGTTGCTTGCAGCTCACTGCAGTAGTGGATAACTTTTCTAAAAAGTTAAATCAAGGCTTGACCCTGTGTGTTTGAAATCGTTTAATTACCAGGATGAACAGACAAAATAGAGATACCTTGATAATCAGGCTGTTTAATGGTGTAGAGGTTAAGGTTCCTGCCTTTCAAGCTGAGTGATGTGGGTTTAAATTCAGTTTTTTTTTGGATCATTAGTACAAAGAGGAAGTACAGATGGCCCCAAACGTGACACCCTTCAGGCACTTTAGTGGTGTACTGATTAAAAGCTCCTGCATCACAGCCTGAAAGTTCATCAAATCAGGTGTATATGAAGTTAGGAAAAATCAGCAGACTCCTTTAATCTGCCAGTCAGAAGGCTCTTTTTAATGATGAATGAACGAGAATAAACAGAAAAGTAGGGGAAGACTGTAAAACTATGACCTTCTAGGCAACAAAGTGGTGTAGTGGTAAAGATTACATCCTCAAAACAGGAGGTTTAGGGTTCAAATCAGGCCTTTCCTGTGATCTGGAGTTGAGAACAAGCTTTTAAATTACTTAAGAACAGAAAGGTAGTGTAACCTTGAAAAAGGTTTACCTTCCAGGCACTTCAGAGGTCTAGTGGTTAAAGTTCTTGCACCACAGTCTGAACATTTAGGTTCAAATCCAGGCTTGGGGCTGTGTTTCTGAAGCTGGTAAAAAGCTTTTAAATTACCAGAGTGAAGGCGAGAAAAAAACTTACTTGAGAGGGTAGGGAAGGTACGTATTAAAAAAATAAATAGCCCATCAGATCTTGTGCCTCAGCCTTTCTGCACACAGATAAAAAGTCTACACAGCTGAAGTTAATACACCAGAGTAGTTCTATGCAGTGATTGTTAAGATTAATTCTGTAAAAGTGTTTTTGCTCAGACACCATTTTTAGTGAAAGGAGCTAAATCTTGGCTCTTCTGAACACTCAAAACTTATTGCAAATTGCACAACCTTTAAAAGAGCAACCAAATCCTGGTTATTTCAGAAAGAAAATGAAAAAACGGTATTCATTGTGACTGATTTTCTGCAATCATATCACAGTGTCAAGTATTAATTTTTCTATAGTGTCTATCTAAGGCTCTTCAAAGAAATTCAAAGTATTATAAAACATCTGCTCCTTGTGTTGGGTTTGCAATTAGGATTAATTATCATTATCATTAATTATTATAGGGTTTTGACCAATTAGAATCAGATGTGTCACACATCTACTTGCTTTTTAGACTATTGTATAGATAATTCTTTGAAGTCAATGCAAAGCCCTTTAAGCACTGGGGAGGTGGAACAGAATTAACCTTTCAGGGAAAATTTGTCAAAAAGAAAAAAAGAAGAAAAGCTTGACCACACCCGTTTCTGCTTTGAAGACTTAATAAATTGCGTTGGATGTATTAGTGAAATGTCAGCTGATACCTCATAAAACACAATAATCATTGAAAAATCAGAAATTCAGCTAATAAAGGACACTGATACCAGGGTGGATTCTTTCAAAGTTAAATACAAATGGGTCACTGATCAAGTTTTATCCTGAACTGTGGGATCAGTTTACCCTTACAGCATCAGGCATGTCAGTGCCGTGTCCTGATCTGCCCTTTACACATAAAAGACTCCTCCTATGTTACTATCATAACATGTTATGATACGTCCGGGATGCTGCAACCGTTAAATAGAGTGACTCATTGTACAGATTGTTCCAAATTCAGTCAATGGATATTGCTAGAAAGAACACTTGTAATGTTTACGCAATGAATTTGATACCTAAATACAAAAAAGAAGGGAATAAGATCTGGAAGACAAAATAACAGGATGCATAATGCAATGAGAGTATATCATTGGCCATGAAAGTGTAAGCATGTTGGAAATGGACAAAACTATTCACCACTTACAGTACTGAATGTGAAATGGCAAGATCAGACATACCTGAACGTTAGATAACTTTTTGGCTCTCAAGTCAAAACTATACTTTACTGGCAAGAATCCCCAGGTATGAGCCTGTACATGCCAAAGGGTGTGTATAGGGTGTTAAAGTGCTGACAACGTCTTATAGGAAGCAGTGACGATAAACCGCATGATTTAAAATGTCAGGTCTTATGAAACGTGCCAAGAAACGTGTCTTTTTGTCATGAAATTGAGGTTGCTGATGAACAGTAGATTTCACTGTATTTTCCCAACAGGCAGTGACTGTTCGCTGAATTGCCAAAACTGTTACAAGTCTTTAGAGACAAGACTCATGTTTGTTATCTGAAACTGACTTGATCGACCAGCATTCATGTGTCAATGTAAACATCCATGCATGCCTTTGTTTCCATTGAGCGCGAACAAGGTCTGTGATCCTTTACATTGCCATGGGTCACATTCATGAACACCTGAGCGTGTGATGTGCTCGGCCTGGCATTGTTTTGAAGTGTTACGGATGCATGTGATCCACGTGAAGCTCAGTCATTACCCAGACTTTATCTTGGGAGTCATGTACACTGAGTGGAGCTCATCTGTGCTGATAAAGTAGGATACAGCCCATTCTATCGAAATCTCTGGGTCATACTTCTCCATAAACCAAAACGTTTCTGTTGTATTGCAGTGGATTTCCGGCCAATTCAACCCAAGACCATATAAAATGTTCCTGGTATGTGTATTTTATAAAGACTGAGCAGAGCAAGGCCAGCAGTACAGGGCGGTTGTGGCTCGGTTCGTAGAGTTGGTCGTCTCCCAACTGGAGAGTCAGGGGTTCGATGCCTAGAGCTGCCCACATACTGAAGTCTACTTGGGTCAAACAATTGGCCCCTGATGTGATGTAAAGTGCTTCTAGTGGTTATAAGACCAGAGAAAGCTCTATACAAACACAGTCCAGTTTCTTTTTATGTAACCGTTTTGGTCGACCCTGCCCATGTTTGTTTTATGTAGTTATAGCTATGTCAACTATTGGGTTTTGGAAAGTCAAGCCATGGCGACTGGAAATCCTGACTGTCCATTTAACTTAAAATGACACCACGGTAAAGAGGCGGATTTTAGGTGGGGTTCATTCTCTGTATGTATGGCTGTTATAATATGGGCTTTAACAGGGTTTCCTTGGCTTTTGGTCCCAGTCTTAAACGGACAATCTAGATACTGTATGCTTTAAACTTGGCGTTGGCTTTACTGCTCTAAAAATATAACATGTATGCAGTGTTGATCACACTGCCCTGCATAATATATCCTTTGCATCCCAGCATAGCTCAGAGTACGTGCTCTTGGTGTTCTTGGCAAAGTTTTTATTCCCAGATAACACAATGCCGGGAAAAGTGCGTCATCCTATCTTGCCTTCATTGATTCAGATATTCAACGCCCTGTCTCTAGTTATTGTTAACGGATTACATGGTTGGGCACAAATAAAGCTGGTCCTCAAATTATAGGTGGAAGTAACATTTATGGGTGTAAGTAACACTAATCTATTTCACCCTCATGTTGAGTTACTTTGGTGTGAACTGTATAACAGCACGTTCAAAGCCCTGTAGCAAACAACCAACCACCTGTATTCATTCATTTATAACACAGAGTGTTTTTGTTCGGGATCATTTGTCTTGACCTAAATCTGCCACAGACCTCTACCTAGTTAGTATAATTATTTACCTCAGGCAACCACTTTTTAGTGCTTTGGGGTCAGAGTTTTTAAGAAATGTGCCCCTCAGTTACACTGATGGCATGGCTTCCGGACAAATGCTTATTAAGACAACAAAAGAGAGATTAAAACTGGCATTTGACATCGGATATGTCTAAAGTAATCTACCAGGCACCTTTTTCAGGCTGTATCCTCATCCTGTATTGTAGAGCTGTTCTTCAGGGACCGGAGTTACTCAGGAGGCCTTTTCGTGTCATGATGCTTGACAATAGACTTTGGATTTCTCTCAGATAGGCGTGTCTTTTATTCGTGGACTGTACAAAACAGCACAGAAATATTCTATTTACAGTTTCAGCCCGAGGCCATAACAAAAACTGATCTATTACAAAAGTTGCACTCTGAAGAACAATAATGTGACTTTTATCACATCAGAGGATCTCAGAGGAGAGCACTTGTGATCAGATCCCTGATCCCGCTCTTTCATCTGCCTATGAAAATAAAACCTTGTGTACATTAAGGCTTCTTATGCAACACCACCTCTGCCCTCACTCAAGAAAGCAAGTGAGTGTTTTTCCATCTCACAACATCGTGATGCGCCATTAAGTTTGCAATGTCTGACATATAAAGTCAAGCGTACAATATCTATGGCTGCTAATGCACCACAAATCCATAAAACATGAAGCAGAGTAAGAGTCGAAGGCTTTACCTGTGAACAAAACAAACGGTCTATAATAAAATTTGTGTGTGTGTAGTGTAAAGTGTAAATACCCTCAAAGTAATGAATGTACAGTGCTAGTTGTCTGCATCCGTCTTTGGATCAGCTTTTGCAAAATCTCCCTGCTGATATCAAATCTGGAAGATGTATGAAAAACGACTCATTTTTGGTCCTGTTGCATTTTGAACAATGCAAACAGAAAAATCTGACAAAAACAAACAGCTAACCCCTCAAATGAATGAGTTCATACTGTTTTTGTAATTTTCCAACCAACAGCAAAAAACACAGTGGTGATAAATCAATCAAATACATCAAATGTATTCAAAGCCGCTCCTACCACTTTATCTTAAAAGATCTAACTTTACTCAGGAGGGATAAATAACTTTTTTGAGCCATAATCTGTGCCAAAAAAAATGTCTTCTCTTCTCTCTTCTAACTGAAAGCAGGCTATAATGCGAAAGAGCGACAGGATGTCATAAAGTGAAGGTGACCCGGAGTTGACTCTCTGAGAAAAACATGCTTAGTGAAGATGACTTGTTATTCAAATTCAAATGTGCGTAGGATATTCAGAAAAATGAAAGATGTGAGAGGCCGAGCTCATGTTACCCCATTGTCTGAAACTTTCCCTCACACGCCTTGTGTGGAGGCGACGGTATAAATGGAGAGATTCAAGGGGCCGATAGCAGACACAGGATGAAGACAGCCAGGTGAGTCTGATTCTTAAAGTTATCTTTTATTGACAACATTTTTAAATCTGTAGATGTTGGCTGAATGTCTGGATAATAATGGATTTTAAACTGTTGGATTTTAGGCAGTAAAAAGAAATATCAACTTCATCATATTGATGGAGGAATGTTTTATTATTTGTTTCCTGGGCTGATTTGGTTTTAAATGAACTTGACTTAAAATCTATTTTAGGGCCCTTCTCTGAAAATTAATACACCCTTAATTCTATTTTTTTTTAAATGACCAGTACAAGGATTATTATAAAGATTTAAGAGTTGTTTTTAGGAGCGTGAACATCAAAAATGAGAAATTTTATCCGATACTGAGGAACTTAAAGCTTTTTTTCTGAGTGTCAGACTTGTCCCACTAAGCAATAGACGACTATTAGACATCTAGTTTTTTTTATTTTAGACCTAATTTGAACCGTCTAGATTCTGTATATTTTTGATGGAATTTAGATGTTGCACTTTAACCCATTATTTGATAACTATTTATTTCAAAAAGCAACTGTGAGTTGCATAACTGATGTCCAAGTACTTAACCAAAATAATTATGATAGCTGTTGAGCAATATACAGTGTAGTATAGATATAGCCCAGATTGAGACTTGGTCTAAACTTGGTCTAAATTTAGACATCTAAAAAACTTTCATTTTTAGACCTGCGGTAGCCTGATTTTATACCAGTCGTCTAGGCTACATTTAGACGTCTATTAGACCTCTTTTAGACCAAAAAATGCTGAGTGCGGTGTACCTTGACCTCAGAAGTTTTCCCTCTTCAGCACCTACATCCTGTAAGACGAGTAGAAATGGTTCTCATTGTGATGCACTTTCATTTTTTCAAACCCACTCTCAGAACAATGTGCCTGCTCATCCCTCTGTGCCTGCTCGGCCTCATTGTGAGGACTGAGGCCCAGATCCCGTCTGATTGCATTTTCAGCAATACGAACAGACCTCCAGGTTTGTGAAATTCAATTAAAATGTGGTGGCATTATTTTAAGCTCCAAACTCAACTTTTTGTTCATCTGTATTCACCTTTTTTTCTCTTCTCTCTCTCTCCCAGAAAACAGTGACATTATAGTAACCTGTGGTTCAGACTATATGGACCTGGCCATTTACCTTTGTCCCATGTACCAAGCTCTCTACAACGAATCGCTGATGGTCCTCAATAACAAGATTGGCATACCTGAGTGTTATGGCACTGCTGACTGGACTGTTGATCCACCGGTCTTGAGATTCTCATTTCCCATAGTTTCAGATTTTGGATCATACTGTGGCAACGTTGAGGAGGTATTTGTTTTGTTTTGTATTTTTTTGTTTGGTCTGCATGGTTTTTTTGTTTTTCCAATCAGTGAGGTGGTTTCTCTTTAATACTTTGATACTTGTAATAATTTGGAAAAACTTAATAAGAAGAAGTAAAAGAAATACGTTTTTTTTTTTCTCGTTTACTGATGCATGCCTGTTTGTCAAATTGGATAATTGAAAAATCAAAGCTAGGCCCAATAGAACTGAAAGGAACAATGCATCAATTCTTCATTGACTTTAAGAGCTTTGATGTGAAGATACTGACTTCATCAAATACTACGTTTCAGTTATGGTCAAGTATTTTTCACAGGCTGCATTCAGCCCTCATAACATCAAGACTCAGCTTCAATTTTATGACGCCTGGAAAAATGTCGATCACGGCTCAGCCAGGCAGTTGTTAGCGCTCTTGCATGCCCCTGACCTCTCAGTCTCTCTCTCTCTTTTATTGGGCTCATTCTGTCCTTTGGCTTTTCAGATACACACACAGATCTGCCTCTTCCTGCTCCCCTCCCTGGTCTCCTCTCTCCGTTTGTTGCTGCCTGATAGTTTGTAGGCAACCTATAAAAAACAACCATCCACCGTTTAATTGATTGTGATTCACGGCTTCCTTTGTAGCACACGTAGACTGAATGGTTGCACATCAATCTGATTAATCTCTAAGCCCTACTTCTTTTGCATTAAGATCTAATGCTATGAAAAAGGAGTCTACGACATTGAATAAAACTGATAAAACTTTAAAACTGATGAAATTAAGTGTTAAAAAGTGGTTTCATTTGTTACTTTTCGTCTTAAAGATAATAGAAGAAATCGGACAGGATGAATTTTCTGACTTCTCAAGCGTCCAGTCTATGATCATCTCTGGTATTGTTGCCTCATATGACTCCACCGTATCAATCGTCACCTTCCGCCCACAAATCTTTTACAAGTTCTCCTGCATCTACCCGCTGCAGTATCTCCTCAACAACACCGAAGTGGCCGTGTAAGTGTGACATTGGCGTAAAACACTGATAACACCCATATGAATGAGCAGGGAACATTTGTGCCGCTTCATGATGATTTGTCTTATCAATCACAGATCAGGTGTGAATGTAGCTGTAAACAGCGATGACGGCTCCCTCCTCGGCCTCCTCACATTTGGATTATTTGAGGTAAAAAACTACACTCACTTTCTGAAGTAGACATCATCTTTAATAAATGATGTTTTAAATTAGTTCTTGTTTTTTAAACAGGATGAACTGCTTCTATCACCCATGTTAATGCCAAAGGAAGGACTTGAACTAAAGGAGAAGATTCACGTGATGATAAAAGCTATTAATCTCACAGAGAAGTACTTAAGTTTGGATTAATAATAATAATAATAATAATAATAATAATAATAATAATAATAATAATAATAATAAGATATTCAAAATCCTTCCGTCTTTCCTGAAAGGTTCAATGTGCTGCTAGATGGATGCTTTGCAACGCCGACTCCATACCCTTCATACAACCAATCCTACTACCTTTTTTTAGGGTGTGTAATACTACCTTTGAGTATTGAATTCATCTGCTGCTTCTCTGTAATTTATCACTTGAAGTAACACCCTTCTCTCTTACTCCTAGTTGTGATTTGGATATTCAGACTCAGGTGACTCTGAACGGGGTTGCGCAGAACGCGTCCTTCACCTTCGAGGCTTTCAGATTTGTAAAGGACAGTGATAAGGTAGTCTCCACTTTCTACGTGCACTGCCTCACAAGACTCTGTCAGGTGGAAGACTGCAAGAGGTTTTTGCCGGTAAGTTACGCTTTTAGAAAACCTGGCGTTGAGTTTTTAGCTGGTTTTGACTGAGAAGGGTGGAGTGGAGAGACTGGGTGGACCGGAGGCACTGGAGACACAAGATTAGTTACAAGTTAATCCAAAAAGCTCCAAAAAGTCTCACTTAACAGTAATACTACCAGTTCTGGATAACAATTCCTGGCAACTTTCTGTCAGAGTGGATGAGAAGATCCAGGGTGATAATTCTGCAGCAGGTGATCAGGAGGCCGCGCCCAACGTCTGAAAGAAAAAGCACACAGGGGAAACCAGAAACCAAGTCCACAAAAGAAGCACTAAAAGTTGTACAAAAAAACAAAGAAAAATCTGGAACCACCACAATCGTCTACTTTACAGGTCTTTTATTATGCCTTTTCTTCTATAGTTGAAGTTTTGTCTACAGCTTAGTTTCCCAGCAATCCATTTCTGCTGTTCAAAGCCAACTGTGGAGTATGTGCAAAACGCTGAGGCCTGCTTTAGTCTGATGGAGACAGATAGAGGCGTACACGTGCAGGAGAAAATGCATTAATTAGGTATGTCAGGTTTGACTATGAGACACTAACACTAACTAGTGTTTGGCCATAAAATACTAATTGACAGGAGCAAATTTTGTCACCTCTTTATGAGCCTCAAAAGCAAATGTGTCCATAGTGCAGGATGGACTTATATTGGAGATCGGAGGTACCAGTTTGTCAATAACCAAAAGTTACCTACAGTAGCTTTGAGATTTCACAAGGATTAAATGTGGAAGTTTAATCCGATTTGTCTCTCTTGTCAACAGAATTGTTCAAACTCTGTAGTGAGGCAAAAAAGAGAGGCTCCGGATGAGACGTTGACAACTACAGTATCCTCACAGGCTATCCGTGTGGGCAGAAATACCAAAGGTGAGTCTTGGTGACATTTATACAACAACTAAAAGTCTCCCAACTAGTGGTAAATAAAGTGCAGAAAGCAAAGAACAAAATATGGCTTTGTTTGTTTGTTTGCAAAAAGTGGAAACAACATTCGTTCTACGCTAACAGACTGTGATCAAAAGCTAAAAGCTCCTCTGAGGAACTTTGGCTTTGCATCAATTTTGGCGCCCCCTGTGGACAAAACAGTTTAACAGTGTCTTCTGATAGGAATCTTCACTCTGCTGACCTTGAATAACCAAATATATTGTTTAAATTAAAAATTTAAATATAAAAATCATCAATCATATTTCTGATCATCTTCTTTGCTTGTGAATATCATAAAAAGGCATCAGTATGAACTTAAGTCTATTTGATAGATGTCAAAAAAACTCCTCACAGGAGCTTTAAGATTTAGCTTATTGATTGTTTAACCTTAAAGCGGGACAAGGTCAGCTGTTTTCCCTTTGACCACCATTCATTCATTCAAATTTTCACACAAACAAGAGTAGTTTTGATTCACTTGTCCTTTTTTTCAGGTGAAGCTCAAACATTTTCGGCTCCCCATGGTAAGACATATGAAGAGCAGCATATAAGCCTTTAATCAAATACTTTTATAGTCACTGTAGTTTCAGATGGTTGTTGGCAGCACTGATATATTTAGTCATTGAATAATGATGGTTTATTTTTGGTATGTCATACATTATTGTCTGATTTTCCCTCTCTGTTTTCACAGGTACTTCAAAAGAGAATACCTACAGCAGCCCTGTGGTGGCTGTGATCGCTTGCATCGTCATCCTCTCCATTCTCTTTTTTGCAATGGCCGCTTATTTTTTGTTTTATATCAGAAGAAGCAAAGCACTTCTTCAGTAACAACCCCCAGGCTGAAAGCAGAGACCGTTATCCTGGATCCAAGTCTGATACTCTATCATTACCCAAGCATGGTTAATGTGTGTGCCGCGATAGTTGAACAGGCTACTAGAACCACGACTAGAGAAACTGTGCTGCAATAACACCGGCTATCTTCTTTATTTCACAAACATGAACTGTAACATGGTTGTTCTCACTTCTACAGGTTTACTATCGTATAACTACTTGACTCACATAGTTTATAATATGGGTGCACTTTATGCACAATACTCATGTTATTATGTCAGTCCTATCGAAGTATTTAATATATGGTGTTGCTTCATGCCTTCTCTGAGAAATTGTGAACTTTTTCAAACATTTCATATAGAAATGTTATAAATGTACTCATGCATTAGTCTTTAATAAAAAGTGCCGTAGTGCTTTTATTTTTAACTGGCATAACTGTGTTTAATTAAGTACTGGTTTTTATTTTATTTTTAATAACTAAAGTGCTCTTTTTGAAATCACCAATCGATATCAGGTACAAGGTTTAGCAGGAACTTTTTGATTCACATTATAAGGCCTTCCTGAAGTTTTCTTTTGTGACTGGGTAAAAGTTGTCACGGCTGCTGAGCTGCAGCTTCTTTCAGCTGCCTCAGGAGGCCCCTGGGTTCATGTCCTTTTGGCCCTATTTCTCAGCCTGTTGGCTCCCTTGATAGTTGGCGTTCACTAACAGGTTTTCTAGCGACTGCATTGAAAGGGATTATATACCACCTAGCAAATCAGACGCCTGTGAGCAAAGCCTTTTTTTTGCGGATTTCTACATCGCCAGACGATAACAACACCAACACAACTTGCACCTAAGATTTTCTTTTCTGTCTCTTTTATTTCTACAAGAAGGTAAAATGAATTTGACTCTAAAAGACCAAGTTTTAAAGCAGAATTTTAGCTTTTACTGTGCTGACTGTATCACATTTTCTCAGAAGACACGGTGATAGAAAGAGACACTTAAAAATCCACCTGTTTGTCATCAAGTTTCATTGTACTGTATGACAAATACCACACGGAAGACGTCGACACCCAATGTGCTATAACTACCGTGACCTTTTTGTATGAAGAGTCTTATACAGTCACTCTGACACTTGAGCAGACTGCAGGTGCAGACACACACAAGCACACGCACACACACACACACACTCACACTCACACGGTTTCTTATCCCCTAAGGTGTACATATGATGCACAAACCAAGAATAATGAGATATCCCAAGAGGAATGTTTCTCCTGTGAGACTGTCAGCGGAGAAAAGTGTATCAATTAGACGAATCCTATTTCACATTTACATTAGAGTGTCCACTTAGAGCACTTTTTGTTTAAACAGTCACTTCACTGTCTAAGAGATCCGGGAAGTGAACCAGGGTGTGTCCAAGAATCCAGGGTGCAGACTTTGATCCCAAGATTAATTCATAGGTGTGTTTTTGGCTGAACGTGAATCATATCAGTCAGTGTGTCTGCTCTTATTATGACTAAGTAGACCAGCTCGAGTGGGATGTTTAACCCTTTCCTACCAGTGTACCCCTAGAACCACAGGAAACACACTTAGACCACCACTGTGAGAGATGTCAGGGCATGCATGAGGCAGACTGGTGTGTGCATGCTGTTCTAACAGTCTGTATAACTTGTTTTAATTAGAAATAATATTTAAAAAAAGTATTTTTTTAATGATTTCAATGTTTTTATAATTATAAAAATACATTAGGGATCAATAAAGTCCTAATTCTTCTTCATATGAGCAAAACATTGTTATCTTTTTTTTAGTTTGAGGAAAGAATATGATGAATTATTTACATTTTGTGCCATCATTTCAAAGAGAAGAATAAATGTTGAAATCAAACTTAGTCAATATAATTAATAGGTATCACTCAAATGTTGTAGTAAACCTCATGGGGGCAGTAGAGTTTAGTTTAAGGATCCACTTCTCAAGCATAAATCAATCCTAGAAGATTCATCCTGTTTTAACCTCTTTAAGATATAATCTTTTTAGATATCCAGATAGTCAGAATATTCTCATCTAATTTACATTAATCAGAAACTGCAAAATCAAAAGAAAGGCCTCTTGCTGTTTTAAACGTCTTTAATCCCACAGTTTAATATCATATATGCTGTTAAATTCAGCTGTTAAACAATACTGTTAAGCTAAGTGTCTTAGCAAAGTCTTCAGAGGAGTGAATATTTCAGATACGATGTTAATGTTGGATGTTGACAGGAGTTACAGTTTATAGTATGTTCAATATCAATATGTTTCAAAGGTCCAGTGCAATAAAAGTGCGTCACTAAGTGTCAAAGTCCGGTTACCTAAAGGAGTTCTACTGTGAAAGCCGAAGCTCTGAGCCTCGGATTCAAAAATCAGATGTTGTGAGAAATACAGAAATGTTATTTTTCTACATCAAATATGCTACAAAAGAACTCAGCAGAGACTGATGACAATCTAATAGGACCCTTTGGGGAATTTGCTTTATTTTCATGTCTGTTTATGTTACTCATCTTCCTCTAACGTCACTTCAGTGTCTTTTTGTTTTGAAAACCCCCCAGAGCCTTTACTGGCTGATTTAAAACCAAGAACAACTCATTTATTTAGGTTTTAGCTCTCTGTGATGTGCTGTCTTTGCTTGTGAAGCGCTCTGGTGTTATTTTGATTTGAAAGCAGTTTTGGCAGAGTTCAGCAATCTTAATGGGAGAACGTCCTCCACCCATTCATTCGGGGTGGCCTTCATGCGGTCCCAAAGCGCCACCTCATCAGGGGTTGAGTCCATCCAGTCAGCGAGCGCCCCATAACTTCTCCCTGAAATAAGAAAGAACGGTTAAAAATAGGTTTGCTGTACTAAACCATTCTGGATCAGGATTAAAAAAAGTCTATAGCACTGACCGGTTCCAGGTCCAATTCTCAGGCCACCCAGCAGGTTACTAGCGAGTCTGTCTCTGTCCCAGACGGTCAGCTCCACACAGGCCTCTGCTAGATCCGCCTCTCTGATACCGTCGTAGACCATGGTGTGGTTAAACACCGGGTTGACGGTCCTTCGCAGCACACGAGTCTTCTGGCGGCTCTTCCTGCTCGTGTCCGGCAGCACGAAGCTGTCAACGACGGAGCAAAAGGAAACATAACAACAGGGTTAGATTTGCATTTGCAGAGCTTTTCCCAAAATGCTTCACTGTAGGAAAATGAATTTTGTACACACCACTTGACATAGGGGTCGATGGAGGCCCTGATTAAAGGTAAGTTCTTGCATTCTTTCACCCAAATGTGAATCTCTCCAGTGTTCGGAGTCTCCTTCGAAAACCCTGTTGGGTGAGAAACGACAGATATTTTTAGGACCTCGAGATTGACCTCATTCTCGCTCCAAAACAACTCCTCCTTGTTAATTTAATCACCAAACTCTGCAGACCTGCGCTGTGGATGATCTGGGGCAGGAAGCGTATTGCTAATTTCATCTCTCCTCGGCCATTCGATGGAGCCAGAGTGGGTGTAGTCTGCGATGTTAAACACAGCATACATTACATAAACCGTGGATCCCAAATCGAGCGTGAAGCTTTAAAACTGCTTTGTACACAGTTGGAACAATGGTCAAAAAGCTTGTGATATAACCTTCTCAAATAGACTCCAGGCTAAACGAGGAGACTGACCGCATTCCAAGATAACCATGCGGCTATTTGATAAGAGAAACAAACAATAAAGCTGGCGGGTGTTTCTTTTTACCCTCGCTTTCAGAGCTAAGTAGTTCATCTGGGTGTGGTCGAAGTCCCACTTGGAGAGGTCCACGTCTACCTCGCCCAGGAAACTGTTCCTGCCAAAGGTGTCGTTGTGCCAAACAGAGAGAATGAGCGTCTGGGTTCTGAGGTACTCCATGCGAACTCGATACTGTGAGGACAGGAGAGAGCTGAGCTGCTTTTGTTCGTGCTGTCGAGTATTAAATGTTGCACTTTGAAAACGGCCTCATAATATCGGCGGATTCTCACCCTGAGGATCTCGTTGAACGTTGGATTTAATGTTTTCTTTTTCACAGATGTTTTCCTCTTTCCCAGATTCGCTCTGTCGGGAGCCAGGTAGCTTTTGACGTACCTCGAATAAAAAGACAACCTTTTCTTACAACTTGACCATCAAAATTTACTCTTACGTCTTATTTTTAAAGTCAAACATTCTGACTGAGCCATAATCGACCACAATGTGTTTCAGGTTCATTACTTACGGATCTGAACGGCCCCTCTTAGGATCGACTGCAGCCAAGTCTCGGCACTCGGCCACAAAGATGTGAAACTCTCGGAGTCTGTGAACGTAATTGATAGAGAACTGGATGCTTCCCTGAACCTCTACATTGCCAAAGTCTGCGCTGTACATGGTCATCACACTTCCACTCAGCTAGGAGGGGGGCGCACAGAGGAATGGATTAACATTTCACATCACGAGTTAAAGCTGGAATCATCATGTAAAGTTGTGTTGGTTGAGTGAAAAAGGCTAGTGTGCTAAATCAGTGTTAATCATAGTGATTTAGAGCAACTTTCTGATCAAGCTGAACGAAACAGCCTCAAACGACGTCACTTGAGTCAATGTTTTAGATTTGTTGATTCAGACAAAGGGGAGCTTATCAGACCTCCTGAGCCGGCTTTTTTATCTGCACTTGAGGGCAAAGGATAAACTGTTATCACACCACAATCTCTCCAGATGCATTGTGGGTAATGTAGGTGCCAGTTTTTGGCCAAATGCATCACCTTAAAGAGATAGTAAGCCTGTTCTTCTGCGATGTTTTTATCCACTTTGTTCATACAGGAGCAAATTGCTAACTACAGCTTAAAAGCAAACAAGCGGTGCAGGTCAAGACAACACTGTTAGAATGAAGCTCGTGCAAGACGTGCATGCTGTCATGTGTGAACATACAGTAGAAGACAAAGAGGCCCTGCCAGAAGACATGGTGAGGTTAGAGAAGGAGTTGCCGCTCATTAGTCTCCCTTTGTGGTTTCTATCTCCGTTG